ACCGTTGAGAAAATAAAATTCCTTTATGCGCTGCTTAATTTTCTTGTATCTTTTGCAGTTGTATTCGTCCACTCTCCCTTCGAATGGCAGTAAATATTGAAAATTATAATTAAGGTACTTTAAAAGTTCTCTATTAGAAGCAAGACCTCTAATCTTGCAGAGCGACGGTAAACTCGTGTAGCCAATCAAAACTGGCACATTGTTCACAGCTTTCCTATTGTACATTTCAATAGGTGTCCACTTCATAAATGGATCCTTAGAAGCAGTCTCGAGGGAGCATCCAAATGGATTAATCAATCTTTGATTATCTCTTACTTCAGTGCTATCGAAAAGTTCTCGAGACGCCGATTGCAATTTATCCGCTGTCCCGTTCTTGAGCAGTTCATATAATTCTTTCCTATTAAATCTCTTAAGTGGATCTCCAAGTCTATTGAATAATTTATTAGCAATCTCAAAGTTAAAATTCTTATAATCAGTCGGCGATAGTGCGCTGCCGCTTAAAACAATTATTTTAGAAAATAATTCCTTACCCATATTCAATAACATCGAAGCTGCCGGTGTGGCCGCTAAACCTGCACCGACTATAGTAATACTTTTAGGATCACCATTAAATTTATTCACGTTGTGTTTGAGCCATTCGAGAGACATCTGTATGTCTTTAACTCCTAGATTTCCTTCAGCGAATTCATCTTCAGTGTTCAGGAAGCCAAATATTCCGGTTCGAAACGAAACAGTGACGACTAATATTTCCTCGTCTATAAAGAAATCTGGACCATGCCAGTAGGAATGTTCATGAAGCCATACCAAGACTGGTTTCGTATTTTTAGAGAGAGGCATAAAGATTGATAGATGAAGACAATCCTCTGTAAACCCGTTCCATTGGTCTGTGTCTTGATCATATGCGTATATTTTGTAATTTTCAAAACTCCTAGGACCTATCGGAGGCTAAAATATATATACGTTACATATTTTAATGGTTGGAAGAGCAGTGTTGGCCTAGTGGCTTCAGCGTGCGAACATTCGTTCGAACGGTGAAGGAAAATATCGTGAGGAAACTTATATCTAAAAAGTCAACTGACAGTTGATTGAGACTAGCTGATCACATACTTGTCTATAAGATTGACAAATAAATATGAAACAGACACAGAAACCTGAGGCCCAGACCTAAAAAAGGTTGTAGCGCCTGATTATATACACTTATTTATTTATTTTATATTTAAATTGATCAATGTAATTTAATAACTAGAGCTATGCAATAATTACCACTTTAAAATTACGGCAACTGTCATTTTTCAAACTAAATATCATCTACAGATATATTACAAAAGAAAACGTGCTTAGAGGCACTCGTATAAGAAAACTCTTAAAGGGTTTCAGTGTAATTGTTTTGTTGATTCCTCTTAACGGAGAAAAGAAAACATCCGTAAGATAGCTGCGACAAAAAGAATTCTTCGGATTTGTTTGAACAAGAAAAATCACATTACTGAATAAATAACACTCATTTTATTTACGTAATATGCCGGCGCATATGGCACGATGTGCTGAATTTAGGTCGCACAGAATATTCGGAAATCTTGAGAAAAGTATTTATTCTAGTCGATATTGGTTTTAAAATTTGAATGGTATACTTAATTATCTATACAATTGTGAATTTAGTAGCTTTAGTAGGATTTAGAGTACAGTTAGTTAAGTACGCAAATTGTAAATAAAACACATAATATATTGTAAGGAACAGATTGAATATTATTATTAATGTCAAGGTCATGCTTCAAAAAGCAACAAGAGAATTTATTCATATTATTAATGTATTTAAAAAAATTATTTACGGTTAATTTCATTGTACCTTAAATCTTAATTCTGCTAACGGAGACTCCGCGTATGGTATGTTAAAAAATCCTGCGTAAGATTTATCCCCAAAGTTGGTACGAAAATATTTCCCAACGATAACACTTTCATTAAATGTAACAAAAATACTATCACACGTACATACAGCACAAACTAAAATGGCCAAAGAAAAACATGACATTCTATAAGAAAATTATTATTACAGGTGTTATATTTCAAACACGATTACTCCGTGAATGTTTTGCAAGTTGAAATTTTGTTTAAGTTACACTAATTTGAGCATACTTGGTCTGTATCGAAAGGATATATATATAGCTCAAACATCTTAGTAGTGCTTAATTTTATATCCTCGTTTAATTATAAAAATCGTTGCAAATTAACTTTTGAACTTGTAGCGTCAACCTCTGTAAGATTCGATGAAAACATAACATGACTTTGACAATAAATAGTTGAATTTTCGGTACATTTGAACCATACAAAGATTATAATTTTACACGTTAGTGATGTATTGTGTTAAATTAAATTATACGGTAAATTGCACATAAGAAAGCTTTTTGAACAACAGTATGTGATGATATTTAATTGCTATCGGCTTTCGTTAAATTTAATTTATTTGACCAATAGATATCACCCACAATAATCAATACAATTTACAAGATGTTTCGTTGATAAGAATATGATATTGATTTAATTTACAGTAGGCATTAGTTAGATATGACTTAAAGATGTTTCGTTTGTTTTTACTGTGTTTAAATTTTCTCACTGTTTTTTCAGAGCCTCCGACAGTGGCAACAAGCCATGGCCAGGTTTCGGGAAAAGTTTTGAAGACTTTGTATGAAAACAAAGAATATTATGCGTTTATGGGCATACCATATGCAGAACCACCCCTAGGAGAATTGAAGTTTCTTGTAAGTTTACACAGTTGTATCATAACAAAATAATTATTTATGCCCATAGGAAATCTTATAGCTGGTAGGTAACAAAATGAGCTGAACTTATTTTATACAAAAAGTAAATTACAAAACATTTTAAAACAAAAAGTACTTTAGGTATAATTATTTTCTAAATTCTTTAATATTAATACTGAAAATATGCGAAACTGTCATATTATATTTGTTTTTTATGTTTTATTTTATTTTAGCCTCCCAGAGATCTCGATCCTTGGAACGAAACTCTTATTGCTACAAAAGAAAGGCCAGCCTGTGTTCAGTTTAACAATAACATTAAAAAGAAGCAACCACTAGGGGAATATGGAAAGGAAGATTGCTTGTACCTTGACATCTTCACTCCAAATACAGACGAAAATAAACGAGCAGTAATAGTTTTCATTTACAGTGAACGCCTTTCTAATTCTTACAATAAAACAAAAGACTACGCGCATGACTTCTTCCTAGAAGAAGACGTAGTCGTTGTCACACCTAGCCATAGATTAGGAGTTTTCGGCTTTTTGTCCTTTGAGGATGACGTTTTACCAGGAAACTCCGGATTATTAGATCTGTACGCTGCTCTTAAGTGGATATCGAAAAATATAGGACGTTTTGGTGGCGACCCCAAAAGGGTCACACTAATGGGTTCTCAAGGAGGCGCCGCCGCTGTCGATTTACTTATACGCTCGAAAGCTAAGGAATTATTTAATTCAGCCATTTTACAGAGTGGTACATCTTTCACTTCGATGTATTTACAGGAAAGTGTTTTGGAGAGAGCGTTGAAACTCGGCAAGTTGCTGGAAATTCCTTCTAAGAAAAGTGCAAATCTTCTGAGAGAATTACAAGGCTGTCCCATTGCTAACTTTTTTACACAGGAACTTCGGGCAGTGCCAGACGATTACAATAAAGATATGCAAAGAAGTCTTCTTCCTTTTGGACCAATTGTTGAGAAAAGCCCTAACGGATTCATAACAAAATACCCTGAGAATACAAGTGACGAATATAACATTCCTTTGATGGTTGGATTTAATTCAAGAGAGGGCATAGAGCTTTCTTTAAACTATCTATTGGAGCCAAATTTTGTAGGCAGTCTTAATAAAGATTTTCCCGTAATAATTCCTAAGCGAGTAGACTTTCGTTTCGACCCAATAGACGACACTTACATTGAAGCTGCAGAAGAAATCAAAAACTTCTATTTCAAAAAGAAAAAGTTTTCTCCAAAAAGTGTGCCAGAGTTTATAACGTATATCGGTGATGTTATCAATGCTTATGCAATTAATGCAATGGTAGAGAACTATGCAAAGAAAAACTCCGTTTATTACTACTATTTCGACTATTACAGTAACTTTAATCAGAATAAAAATGACTTGTTAAAACTATCCAAGGTGAATGATGGAACCTGGGGGGCAGCACTTGGTGATGAATTATGCTACTTATTCAAATGTCCAGAATTAAACCAAGAATACATAAAAAACAAACACGAAGAATCTGATGTATGGACAATGCAAAAGAAATTAATTAAAATGTGGACAACTTTTGCTAAGTATGGGTAAGTGTCAATACTCGCATATCACATGTCAATCACTTGTCATAATTAAAATAACTATTATTAATAAATATTTTTATAATTATTATGCTAAAATATATTTTTACAGACATCCCACAATTGACGACAATGATGCAAACCTAGAATGGCCTAAATATGATGAGGAATCGAAACAATACCTAAGTTTCGGCCACGAAGTCAAAATAAAGAAGAATTTATTGTCTGAACGTTTTAAATTTTGGGACGATTTTATTAATAAATGGAAAAACAGAGCTGTAAATGGTGTCGTAACTTCGATAAATAAAAAAGATGAATTATATTTTTTGTAATTTTATTAATTTACTAAGTTTTAGGTTTATAAACATTACATACAAACAAACGTAACATAAAAATAGTGTGATATTCAAGTTAGTATTTACTAAATTCTGGAATTTATTTAAAAAATTACTATCAGACTCGGTCTACATAATAAATACTAGGTAATCCACTTACTGTAATTCCACGATACGAAATCCAATCATAAAACTATTAGGTACTGGTTATCTTTATCAAACAAATTTATCTTTAAAATATAGGTTCGTCGTAAAACTTCACTTGATACGAATTATCTATTGAACACGTCAGTTTTAAAGTAACAATAATGCTGTCGGCGTAAATAATATCCATAATTCGACGAAAATACAATGAGAGCGCTAATATTTTTATGTTTCATAAATTGGATAAAAGGAAATGTAGTCGTGGAAACCGAATCTGGCAAAATCGCCGGAAAAATAGTGCAATCTATTATACCCGGTGAACGGTATTTTTCATTTCTGGGTATACCCTTCGCACAACCCCCTATTGGGCAACTTCGGTTCAAGGTAATCTATTTTAAATTTATATCTCACCATAGTTTACCGCAGTCGTGATAATTTAATTACAAAGTTTTTTTAGGCACCTGTGCCTCATGAAGCTTGGGATGACGTATTAGAGGCTAAAAAAGAAAGAAAATCATGTGCACAATATAACATTCCTTCTAGTGGAAATGAATTTGGTTTTTGCGGAAACGAAGACTGTTTGTACTTAAGCATACATACACCTCATTTGCCTGTCGACAAAGATGTAAAGTTACCTGTTATAGTTTTTCTTTACAATCAACACTTTAAGACGTCCTACAACAATTCCAAAGATTACGGACCTGATTTTTTTATGAAAGAAGAGGTTATATTGGTAACGGTTAACCATCGACTCGGTGCCTTTGGTTTCCTTGCGTTTGGGGATAATGTTTTACCAGGTAATAATGGTCTGAGAGACATCCTTTTAGCTCTTCAATGGTTAAATAAAAATATCAAAAATTTTAACGGAGATCCGTCAAGAGTAACTCTAATGGGGCACCAAGGAGGGGCAGCAATGGCCGATATTTTAATGCGTTCTCCTAAATCAAAAGGCTTATTCAGCTCAGTGATATTACAAAGTGGAACTGCCCTCTCTCCAGTTTCATTTGCAAAAGATCCAAGCAAAAAGGCTATTTCATTAACAGAAAATCTTGAAGACAAAGCCACCACAAGTAAATCAATAATTGAACGGTTATCAGACGTAACAGCTGAACAAATAGCTGATGCTGAACTTTTGTGTATACATCCAGACGAATCAAGGGAACACCAAAGGGGAGTCCTACCATTTCCACCTGTCATTGAGCATGATCATCCAGATGCAGTTATTACATCGTACCCAGAAGATAACTCTGCGCCTATTAATATCCCCATAATGATTGGATACGGTTCACGGGAATCAATTGAAGCTTGTGCCCGCTTCCTTCATAAACCAAATTATCTTACCTTTGCAGACAGAGATTTTGTATTCCTTATGCCAATCAGATCGGGATACCGGTTTCAACTAAACGATCAAATATATTTAGAAGCGATAGACGAAATAAAAGAGTATTATTTTGACGAAGGCTACGTAAAAGTCAGTCAACCTGGAGAATACATGTCATACATAAATGATGCTTCAACATTTTATCCTATGGATTACACGTTACGACATTTATTAAACGTTTCCAAGTCATCTGTGTATTATTACATGTTTGATTATAATGGAGACCTAAATTACAAGAAGCAATCAATACTAAAAGACGCTCTCGCTCTTGATGGCACCTGGGGAGCTTCCGTGGGCGACGACTTATGTTATTTATTTATTTGTAACCCAATTAGAAAAAAATATAGAAAATTATTAGAAGAAGAAGACGTGGAAGAGATAAAAGTATTAAAGACAATGGTCAGGTTATACGCAAATTTTGCTAGAAGCGGGTAAGACAACTTTAATTTGTTCTTAAGTTACATTTAAAAAGACTAAAGAAAAAAAATATGAGTTTTATATAAAACATCACAATAAACTTTCCTTATTAATTAATGAGCATGTTATTTAATGTGCCTACTACTGAATATTTCAAGTACGTAATATTTATATCAATTTCATTTTTATAGAAACCCAACTCCCGAAGGAGAGAAATTCGTTTGGAAACCCGCAACGAAAGAGAATAAAGAAATCCTAGTAATTAGTGATGAACTACGTATCGTGAACAACCTTTACAATGACAAAGTGAAGTTTTGGGATGATTTCCTCGCAAAGTACAAAGCTTTAGCCGTTGATGGTGTTGTAAAAGATAAAGCCAGAGATGAATTATAAAATAATTTAACACTATTGTTTTATTTATTTCTAAAAAAACTGCTGGTTCTAATTCGAAGAACAACATTCGCTACAACAAAAAAGAACAAATCATTAACAACTATATTAAATATTTATTTAGCATGTTCGTTCCCATACTCATTCGAAACGGATCGACCGATTCTTATGAATTTTTTTATGCATATTCAGTAAGTCTGAGAATCGGACAACATCTATTTTCATCCCCCTAAATGTTTATTTTTATGTTTTAGACAAAACTTTATGTTTTTATTTTTTTATGGTATCATGCTGTATAGCATACAAAAATATATACAACCCTTAATTGTCACCCCTCTACGATCAACCCCAATTTTTTACTTTAGTTGATAGTTATTTTTATTGAAATAAAAAATGTTTCCTAGATAATACGGACATATATATGCTGTCGTAGATTTTTATAAAACTAAATAAGCGAAACTAGACAAGAAAATAATGGTCAAATGTCCACCATGCGCACATTTAAGATGTGTACGCGTGAACCGACGGGGATCAGCTATACTTTATCATATAATAATTATATTAGGTCCTTACATATGAAATTGGCGTTTTGTATGGTCCTCCCATTCACAAAAAGTCGAATATTTTTAAATATAATATATTTAATTAATCAAAGTATGAACCATTGTTTTCTATGCACTTTTGCCATCTCATGGGTAGTTCATTGATCCCTTTACTAAAAAAATCAGTCGGACGGGCATCAATAAAATCTGTGAAGGCGATTTGGACTGCCCCATCAGAGTTAAATTTTTTCCCTTGCAAGAAGTTGTCCAAATTTCGAAAAAAATGGTAATCTGTTGGAGCAAGGTCCGGGGAGTACGGAGGATGTCTTAGACATTCCAATTGAAACTCTTCTAATTTAGGTCTAGCGTTGTCGTGAAGTAGCAGTGGCGTGGAGCGATTGACCAGCCTAGGTTGTTTAGCCGCTAGCTTTTCCATCATGGTTTGCAATTGCTGACAATAGACATCAGCCGTAATAGTCTGGCTAGATTTGAGAAAACTGCAATGAACAATACCGGCACTAGTCCACCAAACGCTTACAAGTAACTTTTTTGGGGTTAATTTTCGCTTGGGGCAGGATTTGGCTGGCTGGCCAGGATCCAACCATTGCGCTGAGCGCTTCCGATTATCGTAAAGAATCCACTTTTTCATCACAGGTAATGATTCGGTTTAAAATACCTTCATTATTGTGCCGGTTCAGTAATGTAACGCAGCAGTCGACGCGCGTTTGCCGGTTTGCTTCAGTCAATTCGTGAGGTACCCATCTTTCAAGCTTTTAAATCTTCCCAATTTGCTTCAAGTGAATTAAAACAGTTTTATCACTAACACCGCAGCCTGCAGCTAACTCGGACGTGGTTTGCGATGGATCCGCTTCCACAATAGCTATCAATACTTCATTATCAACTTGGGTCTCAGGCCGTCCACGGGGCTTGTTCTGCAGGTTGAAATTTCCAGAACGAAAACGTTGGAACCAAAAACGAACTGTGTTTTCTTTTGCAACATGACATCGAAGAACAAATACATGAGTAAATAGCTGTACAAATTTGAATTTGGAATTCCTTACCAAAGAGGAGAACATCGTGATTAAAGTGGCCAGTACGAAATACGTCAATTTCATATGTAAGGACCTAATATTTAGAGATAGGAATTTAAAAAAAACGTCACTATGAAACTATTTTTTAATAATAATAATGTATTTATTGCAAGAATATGGTACAAAATATTAAGGTGATACAATCGTAAATCGTTCGCATATTCTGCCACATACAATGGCGCGCAAATTTGTCTTACGGAATTTTACATTATTAGTCAAAGTCAATTCTTATTCATTCATCATTAATTTATAAAAAAATTCTTTATTTCATCTTTTTTAATCGAATATTAATTATTTCGTCAGGCTACTGGGACACATCTTTTCTTTACGGTCAACCACCAAAGAGTTATCATTCGTATAGAAATTAGAGCTTCTAACATGGACACTGAAACACAAGTGCCCATAGTTTCCAAGTCATTGTTTAGAACGTGAAAGTTGACAAAAACAGCTGTAAAGTAAAATAGTTTTTAAATAATTCTATAATATAAGTTTTATATTTTATCACATGGTATGCAGATGGCTATTTGATTTGATCGATTGTTTTAGTTTTTACGTTATTGTATTTCTTATAAAGTTATTTCAAAAAACAGAATTATGTCTAATGAAAGTAATCCTATTGATGGTCTGTTTTGTTGTAGGCTTTGAGATTATTGACTATTGTTTTAATTAGCGTAATGCAATGCCTGTTTGTAGTAAAGCTATCAAAGTATTGTGTTGAGTCATAAGCAGTACTTAATGATTTGTATATGCGTCATTAATATCTTTATCCAATTATGTAAATTCTTCGTTACATTCCAAAATATGTAATTAAATCTAGTGAAATTTAAAAAGGATGGATGATATAGGTTAAACCATATTTCATATCGCATAATAAATTATAGTTACTTTAATTTGAGATATAATTCCTAGAAGCTTATCGATACAAGAGTGATAAGAAATACACCTTAGCCCATTCAGCCTTTCGTATTCGTATCTTAGTGATTGTTATTAGTTTTATAAAATATCAAATTATTGTTAAAATGAAAATGCATTATTTTCAAAAAACTTGGAGCTTACTTTTTCTGTTTGTTACGTTCGCAAAATGTAGTGTAAACGAGGATGTTAAATTGACCATAAAACAGGGTACGTTATCAGGATTAAGAAAACACACGTTTTTGAATGATAAAATATATTATTCGTTTACGGGAATACCTTTTGCCAAGCCGCCGCTTGGTGCTCTAAGGCTTCAGGTTAGTATTATGTTAGTCTTTATTGTACAGAAAGAAAACCTTGGAACTTCAAATTCAACTTTAAATTTACTTATGAATCAATTCGTAACAAGGCTATCCGCGTCCGAACAGCATGAGCAATTCAAATCAATAAGCGTGTTGAGCCTGACTTTGGCCCTCTAGTTATTGGGATATATAGAAATAATAAAAACTTACTAAAATTACTAACTGAAAGAATACATATTACTTTACATACTACTTTTTCAGCCACCTCAGTCTCATGAAGGATGGGAAGGCATACTAAAGGCCCACGAGGAAAAACCAACATGTTTCCAACTCAGTTTTAGAATGAGAAATAATGAGCCGCATGGTTTCTCCGGCACTGAAGATTGTCTCTTCTTAAATGTCTACTCACCTGACATAGAAAGTTCTGCTCCTGTAGTCGTTTTCGATTACAATGATAATTTCAAAACTGGCTTTAATGGATCACAGACATATTCACCAGACTTTTTCATTGAAGAGGGAGTAATAGTCGTCAATATCAATCACCGGCTGGGTATTTTCGGTTATTTAACCACAGAAGATGATGTTATACCCCCTAACGCAGGTCTACGAGACTTCATTTTAGGTCTAGCGTGGATCCAAGATAATATAAAGGCGTTTGGGGGTGACCCAAAACGTGTGACCGTTATGGGAAGTCGTGGCGGTGCAGTAATAGCTAATATCTTACTACATTCAGAGAAGGCCAAAGATTTATTTTCTTCTGTAATATTACAGAGCGGATCAGCAATGGAATCTATTTACTTTGATAATAGTCCTCGAGAGAAAGCATTTAAAATTGGAGAACTACTAAACATTACGACAGACGATTCGAAAATCCTATTTGAAAAGCTGCAATTAGTAGATGCTAATACTTTGCTCTCTCTCGAAGGAAACGTTTTGGATGACAGAGTTATGACTGATCTGCAGTTAAGCATTGACACTTTTTCACCAACTATTGACAAAAACACTAAAGACGCTGTGATTGCAACTATTCCTGAAAAAGCTAATATAGTTAATGATGTTCCCGTATTAGTGGGATTTAACTCACGAGAAGGACTCGACTTAGCGTCACCTTACCTAATGGAACCACGGATGGTTAAAGATATTAAAAACGCTTTATTTATATTTCCAATAAGGGTCGATTTCCATTTTGATCGCAATAGTAGTATATTTCATAACGCACTGAGCGAAGTCCTACATTACTATTTGAAAGATGGATATTTGCATTACACTAATATTTTAGATTACGCTGTGTATATGGGTGATCTATTTCAGAATTATGCGTTGCATACAGCTGCAAAGAAATTATCTAGAGATCTGAAATCCGAAGTTTACTATTACTTATTTGATTATAGAGGACTATTTAATGAAAATAGCGAGTACATATCTAGATTTTTAAGATTCAGCATGGAGCACTGGGGCGCAACAATTACTGATGAACTCTGTTATTTACATTTGTGCACACGAATTAAGAAGACGTACAATCAATATAAAAAGTTGCCCAGTGAGCAACCTGAGTTTAAGGTGTTGAAGAAGATGGTCAGGATGTGGACTAATTTTGCGAAATACGGGTATTCAAGTCAAATTGTTAAACTCCATTTGTTTTTTGAAGTCGGTTTATTTTTTCTAGGTTTAAAGCAACACACATATTGTTTTTTACAGAAATCCTACGCCCAATGAAAATGATGACATTTTAAAGGCTACAAAATGGTTACCGATGGATAAAAAAGGTGATTCGAATTACCTCCATATATCGAAAACGTTAAAAATGAAAAATAATCCTTTGGGTAAACGATCGGAATTTTGGGACGAGTTCTTAAATAAATACAGGCAAATGACAAAAGATGGTACGGCTGTACACGAAGAAATACGTCATATTGAATTGTAATTTATAATTTTATAATGCTAAACAACAGTGTTTTACAAGTCTCAAAAAATGTTTGAAAAATATCTGTACACCTACGTCGCAATTCTTCGATCTAGTATTGTCAATGCTGCTGTCTAGCGATGGAGTAAGGATAGCACGGATTTACTTATTACCAACCATATCGTCTTGTTGAAAATATAAACACTTTAGTTTGAAACTAAACTGCTAGATGGCAGTGTTTTCAGTATAATTTTATTAAAATTTATTAAGTTTTATTTGTATCAATATTAAAAGAACATTGAATATAGTTAAAAGACTTATGCCTTATGTACTTATGTACTTAAGCGGAAGCTTCATGCCTTATGCGAGTGGAAATTAAAAGTTCACTTTAGATGTACCTAGTAAAAGTGACAATCACATAGCCGCTTTAAATATTACCATATACGACTCTGGAACTTTGATTGAATAAAAATAACCTAGCATTTCCAAAAAGAATATATATAACATATGAATATTGTAAATAAAAATATTACCGATGTAGCCGGGGCCTATTGCGCGAGACGCGTAATACACCATTCGTGAAATAGTTTATTGGAAAAATTTGAGAGATAGAAAAAGTCCCTGGTCACAATGGCAGGGGAGTAGAGTATTATTAATAAGAAAAACATATGAATGTTATGTATATGTAACTGACGTTTGAAGTTAACTTACACTAGAATATACATATTCACAGATACTCTACTGTATGAATATTGCTTAAAGATTTATGCATTGTCATAAAAATCCAGATTATGAGATAAAACACGTAACTTTTGTACATGAAACTGATCGAGCGTCAACCTTCACGGGCATAACATTGCACCTAAAAGTTGATATTACCAAATAGCTGCATTTATACTTTCATGTTTCTTTATATTACCAAAATGCCGGTATACAGCTTTGTATACATTAAATTCAGGGTTTTTATCTGATTCATGGGAACTTAACTTTATTTAATGAGTGTTCTAGGGATTGTAAATATGTAATCTTATTCAATATTATCTTTTATTTAATGAACATATACAGTTTTCCTGTTCGTTTAAATTACTTAGTGCTTGATATCATTATATTATAATAAATAAATATTAAAACTGTTTTTAAAGTTTAGCGAAATTTATTTCAATTTTTTTATCGCAATAACGATGATACTCAGCAACTAGAATTTGGTCAAAACAATTCTAATTACTTAAATTAAAAACCTTTTTATTTATAGCAAGTTTTGTGTAAAGGTTTCTTTACCTGTGATCCTCACATGTGTCATCAATCTTTCTAAATACTCAGCGACGGTGCCGTAAAGCCACGTGCTCGTAATTATCATATTGACATACCTAATGACCTTAGATGTAACATAAAAAACGACCTTGTCCGTTTCAATGCGGAAAAGTCTTCTGCGCATAAGCAAGTCAGATCATAACTATTAGTAGAAAAAACCTGTTTTGAATGTTATTTCTTTTGTACAAAAATCGTGGATGTAGGAAATGTTTTTGTGCTATACTTCTCATAAAAGATACTTAGATTAAATGCTCATTAACATAATACTATTACAAATTTATACTTATCTTTATACAATTACCCAATATTTTTCATTTAAATATGTAATGTAGCCTTAACACTAATTAATTAATTTTAATTGTTTAAGACAGTTATGTTATTGAATAAACAGGTATTAAGAGATTTTTATTAAAATAATATATTTATATTTTTTCTAACTATGTTGGATATAATATTATCAAATTTATAAATAATTCAAAGTGCCAATAGTTAGCCAGTAGTTAGTTGTTACTTCTAAGCGACTTCAAAAGTACAACAATTGTTATTAAGATGATTGAATAGACTTCAGTATAAAATGTAGTCGGTTAAAGAGAATAACAAGGCGTAATCTAATAACTGGTAAAGCCATTTCCCTTTATGCAATTAGACTTACGTTAGTTCCTGCTTTCCTTAACACTTAACAGATACGTAACGATACGGTTTAATTACAGCCTAAGACAGATTACTATCTAATTAAATAGTTTCCACCGACGGAAAGAATGTTGTTTACGAACCCGATACCACTTAATAACTTTAATGGGTTCATTCTGTTCTTTTGTTTCCATAGATAATTTTAATTGTACGTGTAGTAGATGTACCTGCTTACGCCATCAGCCTTGCGATTCTGTAACTCACTTTTCGAACTCACACAGCGGTTTTCGCAGCGGCGGTGCGCTCAAATCAGTCGTGAAGCAGTCATTTTACGATTTTGCATTCTGATAAACAATAAACTACAAGCTCCCTCCTTATCCGCGCGGCCGCTGCGAAAACCGCTGTGTGAGTTCGAAAAGTGAGTTACAGAATCGCAAGGCAGCACCAAATTTTAAATCTCAACTAAACCAATGTTTTGTTGCATATACAACGTGCTGCGTGCATGTAGATGACCTTGAGTTTTACTTAAAAACTGGAAATCTGATGTGCCATAAAATCTCTCTGAGTCTCGACGCTTTAGATGGCGTAATTCATATTTCATAGTCATCATAACCCGATATTTAACATAATATTAAATGATGGAAAGATGGAAAGATTAATAGAGTATTATTATCAGAGCAGTGGTAGTATGTAGGTGAGGGAAGAATTCGCGAGATAACTGGTAGGTTTTAGACCCAACATTCTGCGATGAAGATGAAGGCTGATCACAAAGAAAAGTGCTTTTCTTTACCCTCGTGGGCTTTTCTAGATAGATATGGGACTGTGTAGCTTATGACAACCTGATTTCTGATGTATTTTTAATGTACTGATTTAGGCCAGTAACGCTTTCGACGCTTATATAAGTGGTACTTACTTACTGCACCACAAAAAGGGCCAATACTATCGAGGAGTGAAAGTTCACCTTTGTGTTAATTAATTCTATTTTCACCTTTGCGTGGCCATAATGGCCTTGCGTTAGTATTTGTTCGGCTCTCGGTAGAAGCAGCCCAAATCCAATTTTATTTTAGTGTTTTTTATAGAATAAGTGCTTGATAACATTTTAATAGAAAATTCAAAGCACATAATCACCAACATGTCCATCGACCAATCGTTGCAACCTGCAAAGGGTTTTCGCTTGTACTTTAGATAGATCATTAATACAGAATATAATGAATCACTCAATTCCTCTGTACTCTAAGTACCCTCAATGGAACCTATATAGCAAAAATCCAACTAATATTTATACTTGGAACAAGCATTTAGTTTCTCAATTGCTTCCTTTTCCGTCTAAAAAAACCTTAGTTGTAAACACAAGTTAATCAAGAAGTTTAAAAAAATCACGCTATTGACCTTAATTATACAAAATTTTGTGTAATTTGTATAATTTCCAATAAAATTGGTTTATCTATTTCAAGGAATCAATTAGTGTTAAACGATATTTCAAATGTTGACGCAGTTTTGTTTGAGCCTCCGTTCGTAGGACACATTAACGAACATAAAACCATATTGTACCCAGTTTTATTGCATGATATAAGAATATAAAGTATGCAATAAATTTTCAACTTTTTTATATTCAATGTAAAAAAGTATTTACGCATTCCCCACTGCCAAATATAGTAGACTCAACCTGGACTGGACACTCTGCTAGGCAATAATTCGAGCGGTCACGACCCACCAAAGCAACCTCAGGTTCCAAGGCCGAATTTAAAATTAAATTACAAACGATCTTATCGACTGTAAAAAAATGTTCTAAACCCTTAAAGCGAATTAAAACATATAAATAATTTGAGCAACGTTGGCCTTGTGTTTGTAGAAGCCAACATTTTTTTCTTTGCACTACACATTGATACACTTAAGCGCACACCGTTATTGATTGTATCATGTCGTAGCCATAACCTTTCTGGCGTGCATGAAGGTGAGATCTGAGTGGTAGTTGAGATGCCAGCGCGGAACAAACAGGACGGCAGTGCTAGTGACGTCTATGTTATCGACATCGAGGAGGATTCTATCGATAGCCCAGCAGTGATTGACATTGAGGACACCACGAACATGAAGACGAACGGTGAGATTTTTTGCACTTTTGTAGATTCAATACTAAATTAATTATTGAAATTGAAATTGACAAAACTGCAGTTCGCGTTTCGCATGAAATGCACTTCTGATGAATACTATTGTTACGAATTACATTTTATCTTACAACGATTTGCTTCAAATCAAAGGCTAGAAACGCGCGTACATAATTGCGGATAAGTGAACAATTATGTTCGAAGACAATGAATCAATCTACAATTAACAACACCATAATAATACAACAAATCCGAAAAAAAATATTTTATTTTTATATAAATTAAATATATTAATAGGGGTTTTTCTCAACTGATCGCAGCAGAATGTTTGACAAAAAGATGATATTTGAGCTTGGACTAATAAAAGAAAAACCTATTTACCAAGACTCAATGAAACATTTACTTTTAATTCGGTTCTTAATAAAAATCGTTTCGTAAGAACTTTTGATATTACATTACGTGCTCACTGTGTCGTGAAAAGAATAACTTTATTTTTAATATTAAAAAAACATAATACTTAATATAAACATAACTAATTTCTTGGCTCCAAGCTAGGTTGCTGTTAATAAGGATTAAATATCAGATTCACACTATCAGATAGCATATGGTTTGTGGTTTAACTCTAAATTCCCATCTTCCGTTTGTTGTATTCTCCAAAACCTATTGTTTATATTTAAATTATCTAGTAGGACACAACTTAACTAACTAAAATTAAAGTACTCGAGCTGGTTAAAATCCGAAAAAGAAATAACAATAGGTATTTTTAACGTCAAAACGTCAGGGAAATAATCAGCATCATATACATATTGAATCTGGTTTGATGGTACATGAAATAAACAAATCCAAAAAAAATTGAAAAAATTAATTAAAGTAGGTTTTTAAGGTACAGTTTGGAAAGAAAATGCTATATTTCCTATGTGAATCACTATCTGCAAACATTCACATAACGAAAGGTAACTTATTTAAATTAAGATCTTGTATAACTAAAAAAATTAAGTATTCTCATTCTTTAATCGTAATATTTTAAGGTTAAAGAAATCGAGAACTGTTCTAGACGAATCTTCTAAATGAATTCAATTTTTCTCTGTACATCGGACATCAATGGGAAATAGTTCTTAAGAAATCAAGATCCCCATCTCCCTGCAGCTGCTTATTAGAAGATGATTACTTTATGCAACTGTTTAACTGGGTTAGATCTTGTAACATTAATTTTATCACCTTCGACATTTATAACCTAATTATTATTAAAGGGTACGACTTGTTGACGCATTGAGAATCATCAGAATCCCCTTATGAAAGTAAAAAATTAAAAATACGAATAATACAAATGATTCGCGTCTAGCAAGTTCTTTTGAAGTTTCTCTTACCAGACCAGTGTCGATAATTTTTGAAACCTAAAAAAATAATAGTAGGATGAAACCCATTGGAAAAGGAGGAGAATATTATAAAAAATAAAGGAAAAATAATTTACGGGCGATCTGAGGTCGGGAAGGGGAAGGGGAGGGGTAAAGTTTATCTCGATTTCCGGCAAAAAGTCCGATGGAAAAAAGTCAAATGGATAGTTGTAGGTAATAGAAAGATTAAAACTTTAAAATATACAGATTTTTCACATAACCTCAAAATTTATGTGAAACTTCAAAAATCAAGTTTTTGGTTTTTAATTTTTATCTTCTACAAAATTTATTTTCACGAAATATGGTGAAAACTTACCTTTTTATATATCTTTAATACGCTGTAATTTATATATTTGAATATAATTTTTACCTTATAGTAATTAATATCAGAAAATGCACCCTAATTTTCAATTGAAAATTCACCCGTCAAAATATCAGCTCTTTTCAAAAGTAGTTGGTGTCCTGTCAGTCCCGTTGAATCTCTACTTATCCTATGGTAAAAAATACAAAAATATTTATATATATATATATACTAAATTTTTTAGTAAGTCACTCAGGTATCATATAATTAAGTCCTTTAATTAGATGCTATTAATTACTATTTTGATAACTATATAACCTGGTGACCCAAAAAAAAGTCTTTAGATGTTTTTCGTAAATCATAGAATGAAGGGATGACGGGGTGGGCGTATTAAAGATTTTCTGAAAAGATTACTGTAATTTTTTTTCACCAAATTTCATGGGAAAAAAATACATTTTGTAAAAGATAAAAATTAAAAACCAATATATTGGTTTTTTTAATTTTTTACATAAATTTTGAGGTTATGTGAAAAATGTGTGAATACAAAATTTTTAGATCTTTATATTACCTACAACTATGCCATTTGACTTTTTTCCATAGGACTTTTATTTTTGCCGGAAATCGAGATAAACCGTTTTTTAACAACTCCCCCCACCCCCCTCTACCCTTCCCGACCTCGGATCGCCCGTAAATTATTTTTCCTTTAATTTTTATAATATTCTCCTCCCTTTCCATTAGGTTTCATCCTACTATTATTTTTTTAAGGCTTTTTACCTTGGTCTATACGCGTTATATTTATCAAAACTGTCAGTTATAGATGTTGGTGCAGATTTTATCGATATTTTTAAAAAACCAGTTGATATTCACTCGAGCTATCCTAAGTGAAGGTCGGCGAAGGCCTCGCAATATTTTTATTTGATTGTTATAAGTAATAATGGCCAGCATTCTGGCTCTCTTCCAAATTCGATTTATGGACGTGTTCATTGTCTATAGTCGTGCCACATTTTGAAACAGGGCGATTGAAACGCAATATGAAGCCTTTATTATGTATTTCTTTATTCAAGACGAAACAATATAAATATTATTATTTATTTTAGTGTATTTTGGAGTCGGGTGTATTTTTTACTTTAAGGCATTAATAATACACAATGGAGGGGTATCTTAATTATACATGACTACACTTTAATTAGTGCAATGTACCTACAGAATTAAGTTTGTGTGATTAAAACGTTTACCGTTTAGCGTTTGTTAATACGACGGGTGGGTTAAATGGTATTTTTATCATCTTATTGTTAAGAAGAATCACAAATGTAAATAAACAACAAGAGGTAAATGTACGCTCTTATATTTAATAATTGTATTAGTATTGCATTGCTAAATGTGACTTAGTTTCGGGCATTCTCGACTTGCTTTCTTGGTACTCCATGCTTATGATAACTTTAGAAAATGATTAAATTATTTTTTATTATGCCGAAGCTAAAGGAAGTTAATTGAATTACATTAAAAAGTAACAGCATCTTAAAGGACTATATCTAACGATATTGAGTTGACTAGTTTATGTCGTATTATAGATTACTATTGACTCCATAAATGCAAGTACAATGACGTACAGTTGAGATGCTGTTATTTTATTATTACTTTTAAAATGAAAAGTATAAGTTCACATTTGCTTTGTATAGAATTAACTTAATATAGTATTATGGTGCTTACCTACTATCGTTGTTAGTAACTTTTTTTATTAACCGCATCGGATTTAGTCACTAAAGGTGCGCTTCAAATAGTTGGAAATTTCATACCATTGGAGCAAATATGAGCAATTTCAATAATTTTAAATTTGAATAAATTAATTCGTATTATAGATTACTAATTGACTCCATAAATGCAAGTACAATTCCTAGTTCGTTATAGTCCATTTGACTTGTTTGATATGCGTGCTTACTTTTAATGTAATTCAATCTTGGTTAAAAAGTACTTTAAGTCTTTCTGACATTCTACAAGTGAAACAGCATGTAACTTTTCGCAATGCATTGCGGCCAAGAACACGCACCACGATGACTTACTCTTTTTTTTTGATTAATAAGAAAAAACCGCCACCCAGCATGACTGTCGAGGAATTCTTAAGTCTAACCATCATTTATCAGCCAGAACGTAGTGTTTATCTAGTGGTTCACCGCATCGGATATTTTCGTTGTCACTTAATGGAGTGAAGGAACAAATCAAGTTAATCTCAAAAAATGATGACGTTTGTTAGCCACAAAAGAGTGATGGCCTCACTTGTGTAATATAAAAATAATATAAGCGACGACGAGGCTTCCGGTTTTTATCTTTTGTAGTGTAAATTACTTAGAAATGAATCTGCACATGCCCCAATGTGCGTCAACGGACTGAAAATTACACAAACTAAAACTCTGAAAGGAATCTAGGGTGCTAACGAAACGATGTTTGTAGACCAATTTTTAATGTCTTCTAACAGAGATAATATTATTATCTGTCACAGTCCACAGTTTTTATCTTAACAATTAATCTAAGATAGGTTTATTGACGATATTAAATAAACAACAACCAGTATTAATGAATTATGCGTCGCAATTGAAAGACAAACATGTAAACATAATTTAAATATATTAAATCCACTTCATCATGGCAAAGATCATTCGGGATATAAATTTAGATCTAACCGGTCATTTCAATATTTAAATTCAATATAATAATAAAATGAGTGGCCCAGTGCAAAAACATGTGAAACCGGAAGTTGTGTATGTTCCCGTGGATGTACGGGACTCGGACGTCGTAATTGACATAGATCCCGAAAGCGGTATGTAAACTATAATAATAATAATAATCCAGTGGCGCATTTTATGATTTAGGATATAACTAGGCGGTCGAACGCATTCTTACTAAGCGAGTACATGTCTTAGACTCTACATAGAGCGGTTGAGAAAAGAAAAACTTTTGTAAAGTATGAATAGATTCGTTTGTACTTTGTACCACGTTTTAACTACAATCAACTTACAATGTATGTTGCAATTGAAAATGTGTTCGCATATTTTTCCAGTCAGGTAGCGTTCATCTTATTATTACATAAGCAAGTGACACGTAAATTAATTTATATTTCAAAAATGTTCAGGTAAATTTCAAATGAAATAAAATATATATATATTTTTTTTACGATATATTTTTAGTTAGCCCTGATACCTTGATATAATATGTTTGACTCAAACTTAACTACGAAAAAGGCACACAATTGTCAGTTGTAGGGATACGGAACCAATGAGAATGATTACAAATACTGTGCCTTTAAAAAAATCGCAATAGTTCACTTTGATTGAGGGCGTAATTAAAAAAAACAAAATATAATTTATTCGTGTAGGTAACATAATGTACACTTATGAACGTCAGTAAACGAATTAATGATTCTTAATTTACATTTATGATATAATAAACAAACACGTAGTATCAAGGTGAATCAAAGCAGAAGAAACAGAAATTAAATTGATAAAAAATATATAAAAAACCACAGCGAAAAGCAAAAGTAATGTACCTACCTGCGCAGGCATACCTGCACAGGTGGACCTCTCTGGTAGACCGTAGTGTGTATGGCCGGCATAATAAAATGTGGCTATCGCCCGTGTCAAAAAATTATGAATCGCACTCAAAATTGTATAAAATAAAAATAGTAACAATTTCGAACAATATTTAGGTTTAAAATAAGCTCCATACGTGCACAATGCACATACAATAAAAGCGAATGCAATCAGAGCAATACTGCAAATAAATTTAAATTTAATGTACTTAATTGTCTTTGCAGGAAATTAACGAAGATTATTTACAATCACTGTGCTACTGGATTAAAATAAAAAAAGCAAAATTTTAGAATGTGAAATGGCCTTTTGAACGTATTTTTAAAATCACGTACTTGATAATTGTTAACTTATCGGTGGGCCATTATTCCCTTGACCTAATATTTGCATTCAGTAAGTTCAATTTTAAATGACATTCCGTTCTTAATAAATGATACTTAATATTATGAAAGTAAAATTTATATTTTATATTTGTTCACTTTATGCAGTTCTTTGACAATATGACTGTGACAAATAAATTGGTGAAAATTCACAGATGTAGGTAGACTATATGACTTTATATTTAGAGCTTGAACATAACTAACCCTGACACTTTTGCGCTGGTAATCCTTGATATACATACGGAGTTGCGAATCAGTAGGCCAAAGGTAGCTGTACTTGATCTCGCTTAATAAGGATAATTTCAATTCAGATGCGGTTACAGTTCACTTAACACTAATTATGGGTTAGGTAATGACTATGCGTTGTGAACCAAGTCTATAATAGCTAAGACCTTCTTATATAACAGATATAATAATAAATAACATAAGATTTCGTTCTTCCGTATACCTACCCTTTAAAAAAATAATAATTATATGAACAAGGAAACTGGGGATGTTATCAATCTGGGCTTATTTAAATTTTCTTTGAGGAAAAAATTATAATCACAATTCTGTATCTTCCAAGAGATTTTTGCTTTCCAAAGACCTAACCAGAATTTCAGAATAAATACATTTTCTTATTATAAAAAATAGACTGTGCATATTAAAGAACTGCTTTATATAACAAAATGATATAAAATAAAGTATAAAGCCGATCTTTATTTTATTATAGCATTTTCAGACATAGACATATCATTTATTACAAAAAAAAACACACACACATAAACAGTGGCGTAGCTACCAAGGGGCTAGGCGGGGCAGTGCCCCGGGGCCCTCAAGCTCAGGGGGCCCTCGAATCCTCACCAGAAATCTCGATCGTTCTGAACTTTTAGAAATTTCTCCCATTTTCAAAATGAATATGACAGGTTGCAACCCCACTTTAATCAAGCATTAATTTGAGAGAAATTCAAAAGTTATGCCTAGGGAATTTCCCTAAATTCTTTCTGTAGGTTGGCAGTGTTGCCAATTTGACGGATAGTGATATGTGCATTTTATTATTCATCGATGTGCATTTTATTGTGAAATCGAGTTTTTTTTTTGAGAACGGTTAAAAAATTCATTCTAAGTAAGCTAATGTCAATAAACTTTTTTGTATTGGTCAAACTCAAACTCAAACTCAAACTCAAAATATCTTTATTCAAGTAGGTAACAAGTACACTTTTGAATCGTCAAGTTAAATTAATCGTAAATTTACATTTACTACCAGTTCGCAAGTCAAGGGCGTAGAGCGGGTAAGAAGAACTGGCAAAAACTTTCCGCACTCTTTTTATCAAGTTTGTCATACAAATTGTTTGAACTGGAGAATTAATCCAAGATTAGGATCATTTAAGTAGTCCTCAAATTTATAAAAGCTTTGTTGATTAATTTTCGTTTAACGAGGGCTTTGAATTTATTTAGTGATAATTCTCTAATTTCGTTGGGAGCTTGTTGTAAAACAATAAATTTCCATATAAGGAGTGGTTTATCTTTTGGAGCCTGGTTGGTCGTACACTCAAATTAGTTCTATTTCCGTATTATACTGGTGAAAGTCACCATTTGTTTTAAAATCGTTTATATTTTTTGGAATACAACAAGGCTTCAAGAATATATTGACCAGATAGTGTCATAATATTTAATTCCTTAAACTTATTCCGTACCGACTCCCTCGGAGAAACACAATAGGTCAATATAGTGATTCAATTTTATTTGATTTTACCACTCATATTGATGTCCGGTAAAGTCAATAAATCGTGTCAAATCTAAAGATTTCGGCTACATACAGCTCATTGTACTAATGGGTGGCGCAAAAGTACTGGCACTAAAGAAAATTTGTTTATTTTTTTTTATATGACATTTCCTGTCATTCTGTAGTTGAAAATTGTGTAGTGAACAAATGTAAAATACACTGAAAATAAACATGGACCGTTTTAATCCCCAAGAACGTGGAATAATCGTAGAGTTAGAGAGCAATTGAAAACAAAACCGCATCAAGCCTGGATTTAAACGAGGTCATTGATACTTTTGCGAAAACTAAAGCTAGGAAAAAATTGTTATTTAGTCAGTTGGTAGGCCCGATCTTTATATAATAAACCCTTGAATCTTCTGGTTCCAGGTTTGGCGAATAAAATTTCACTTTATTCGCCAAACCTACACCAAGTATTAATTGTAATTTATGTTGTTACTGTTTAATATTTTTATTACCTGCCCTGCACAAATAAGAGCTTACGTAGCTTAGTATTTTTAAAGTATTTGTATATATCATATTTTTATTTGATAAAACAATCAGTTTACATAGCAGTGGGGCCCAATTTTTTTTGCCCCAGGGCCCTTGGTCACCTAGCTACGCCACTGCACATAAACACACAAAATAACAATAATCAAAGAGAAAAAATTAAACAAAAGATATTATGAGAGATATATAAAAATATATTTTTTTTCCTTTTCCCATTCAGTTCGTCTCAAGTATGTAATGCGTGTGTGCTGTAGCTGTAATTGGCCCTGGCTCAGCATTATGCTGAGGAGCAGAATGTTCCACAGCTCTGGTCATTCTGCCACATACCACATCAGCTAGTTTGCGCCTCAGTCGCAAAAAAAAGAATATATTAATGCTTAGTAGAAAATAATAATAATAATATTAGTAAAAGTTAGCAGTATAAGTAATGAAGTCTTGTGTAATGTGGTGTGAAGTAAATAAAATAAAATTAAAAGTTAAAAATAAGAATAAGTAACTGTTAAGAATTAGATAAAAATTTTTTTTGGGCGGATTAAAAACTAGATTTCATGGGATTTTTGTTGAGTTAATAGATGAATTTTATAGCTGCGACTAAAATTAGACTTTAATCTAATACGCTATATTTAATTTATGCGCTATATTTAAAACTCCCACGAAATGAAGCCGTCCGATGTTGGGGAATGGCGAGCTCCTGAGTACAACGCTTTACTTGGTGCTTGTTGGCATTACTACGCCAGAGGAGCTTTTTGTACAAATACTCAGTAGGTATGCTACAAATCTTTGTTGTAAATTCATTTTATTATTATTTTTTACTTAAGATGTCATGTGGAAGATAGTGTAATGGTTGCAGCTCCTTACAAACGTTGTATAAAACAGAAACTTGACAATTAAAAAGAGTGGCGGAGAGTTTATTGCCAGTCTTCCGTTCTACGCCCTTGATTAGAGAACTGGCAGTAAATGTAAAATTAGAAGCATTTAATGTATATTTATTTTTTAACGTTCATAAGTGTACATTGTGTTACCTATATGAGTGTTAAATCCAATACGTTTTTGACATAATATGGAAGTCATACTTGGCGCTAAGTCGTCACTCTAATGCCGGCTATACACACTACGGTCTATCGGAGAGGTCCACCTGTGCAGGTATGCCTGCGCAGGTATACCGGAATGTGTGTGGGAATAGACCTGTGCAGGTTTTTGAACCTGCGCAGGCGACCGGCGCAAGATCTAATGCCGCAGGTAGACCTCTCCGGTAGACCATAGCGTGTATGGCCGGCATAAAATCGATTCTTTCGAGTGACACCGTACGGTGTACCTGTGCGTGTGTGCGTGTACTCCGGTCGCCTGCGCAGGTTGTTAAGAGAGTAATCGGCAATGATGATAATTTTTCCAAGTGCCAGAGGCGAAATATTTGTTGAAAATTTTAGGTCCTCATAACTTCTGCCAGTTGCGAGAAATCTCAATGTATCTGATAATCTTTCGTGCGCAGAAATACTATTTCTCATAACTCTGTCTTCTTTTTTTATTATAAGAGTAACCATTTCAAGTAATTTAAGGTATGTTTTCTCGTCCATTCGAAGATAGTTTTTAAAATCTTCTGGTTCAAATTTCAATTCATTTAATTAATTAACATGACTATATGTTTTCAATTTGTTTTGTTTTCAACTTCAATAACCAATGCTTACACCACTTTTCGCTTGTTTTTCGTATCATTTTTCTTCAAAATTAAAGCAAGACCTAGCAACGTCAGCGTGTCATCGTCCACATTCGATGCCATCGCAAAGAGAACTGAAGACCGCTCCGATACACCGGAACGTCCCCATACACGCTACCATTGTTCGGTTGACCTGCGCAGGCATACCTGCACAGATTACCTGTCGGTAGACCGTAGTGTGTATGGCCGGCATTAATTTGAGGCTGCGTTTTACTCTAAATTCCACGACACGTCATTCAAAGACAAGTGTAGCCAAAAACTAATTTGCCTAAGATATTTTTTCTAAGCTCTGTTGGGACAATTTAATACGAAGTTGTAAACTGTGTTAAAATTGTTATCCGTTATCTTCTCGCTTCGTAGTTCATATAATTAGAAAGTTAAAGTTTATATGGTTGAAGAATCTTCATTTCTTTAACAACTTTAAAAAATGTTTTACACAGAAACATTTATATAATTATACCTAATTAATTTTTTTGCACCGACTATTAACATTTATACAACGCAAAAACAGAAAAAAATATAAAATAATACAAATAAACGACAACATTTAATATTAAATAGAAGTAAAAAAAATAACATACAAATCTATAATTTATTTTCAGTCATAAATCACGCCAAATGTCCATCAAACATAATATTATATAGAATTTTGCTTAAGTATGAGTATAGTAGTTAAATATGTATCCTAAAATATTGTAAAATTATGACAAATTACATTAAACTTGTCGTCAAATCATTTGAATAACTCCAAGCTTTTCTTATACCATTAGAGCAGCAAAAACTATAATTTGCTGTAAAGAACTTCCTTAGTAAACATGCGATATCGTAGACAAACATCACAATATTTTGTCTGTGGGAAAAGTCTTAACTGATAATGAAACTGACATATAAGGAGTTTTAGTAACTGACATTGAAACCTGTCAAATTCGGTCAGACAGTTTATTTTGATGGTACTCACTACTCAATGTCACAGATTATTATAAAATAAAAAATTAAATTAAATTTTTAAATATAATATTTAGATTGGAAGGAAGTAGTGTGCAAACGTATCTGTTTTCTGCCAATATGACTTACGGTGAGTTTTAACAATTCATTAATTGGAGCGGAGCAATAAAAATAAACTTCTATAAACTCAATATTATTTACTATTAAACACTTGAGAGATTTTAATAAACTTTATTCACTTGAATTAAAAAAAAAAGATTGCTTTTGCGCATTTTCAGTTAATAAGAAGTATTTCCCTTAAATAATTTATTTACGATAGTAGTTAAGTAGTTAATCCAGCAACAACATCAAATAACAATTATGTTGTATAGTATATTAACTATTCAGAATAAATAATAGGAACCTTAGATAAGATAATTTGTGCAAAATAAAGTCCATTGTTATTTTAATTATAATTTGTTGCTTGTTCAAAATTTCACAGTGTTGTCTCTGAACTGTAAAAGTATGTAAAAAATCTAAGAATAAATGTTTGGTTTCTCCTTGAAATTTTAATTCAACTGATTAGAGTAATTAATTAGTAAGATTATTACTATGTGATTTGTAAAGAGAATGTTGAAGTAGAGAAATACATTTATTTAATTTATAGTCTCTTGATTACCAATCTTAGGTTGCACTAACTCCATACCCAGGTAGTTTAAACAGGACATTAAACTTGTGTGTAAGGATAATAAATTAATCTTAAAGGGACTGATAAGTTACCATGGAATGCATGATACTATTAACTTATTTCAGGTAATCTGAGCCCATCTAAAGCAAAACCTGTGAATATTGGTGAGGTAAATATTACTGGAAATTTCCTAAAATTTTGATTGCCACAATTTATGGCTTTTACAAATACATATTTTAACAAAATGTTTTTTTCTTCTTAAACCTTCTAGAAATAAATATAATGTATGTCTGGAAAATTATAGGTTGTAGAAAAAGCACGCGATGCTTTTAACCGTGGCATTACAAAACCTTTAGAATGGAGGAAAAAACAGCTCAAGAGTCTTCTACGAATGTATGAGGAGAACTACAATGTTATGATTGAGGTATTGCAAAAAGATTTAAGAAGAAGCAAGACTGAAGCTGTGCTGCTAGAAGTTGAATATCTTATTAATGATTTGAAGAACACTATACATTATTTGGAAGAATGGGCGAAACCGGATAGAGTAAGTTATAGTAACTATAGATATAAAGAAAACTGAATACATATTTCATCAAAAAATAAATTCTAGAATAATTTATGTGATCAGCCTGTGCTGGATGTCCTTAATAGATTGTTAAGTATGAATGTGTCGATAGTGCACATAAAATGAAGTGCACCATTCTTCAAAGGTCAGGGGTTCATAATTCAAATTCACATCCTTATGGTAAAAAATCTCAAGCTTGAAGAGTGGGCTAACATCTTAAATCTATAGTAAAAATAAAATTATAGTATATTTCGACAATTGAATGTACTCTTATTATATATAATAATTAAAAACCAACGAATTACGTTGTTTTGCGGTCGAAATATTACATTATTGATACAGGTCAAACCGGTTTGTCGTATTTTGATTCAGTGTTATGTTTTTTATCGCATAACATGCTATTTTGTAAGTCGACACGAAAATATTATATCGCTGCCTAATACAAAAATGTTAATCAACTTCAGTGTTGCCAGATCCAAATTTAATTTTCCGGGAGGTATATCTATAAAAATCCGGGAGTCTTATGGTAAAATTACAAAAATAATCGGGAGAGTTTTAATACATATTTTTATTAAGTTTCTGTAAAATTTGGTCTTTAATTTCGAAATTGAAGCAATTAGAATTTTTCAAAATGTTTTTTGTATGCAGGCCTCCCGATATTACCGGGGTAGAGAGTTGGTTCCGTAACTTTGTTTTCGTTAAATTTATTTGCGAAAACAGCCTTTCCACAGATGCACTTGAGTGTGGCAAGCACATAAAACTCAAAACTGTCAAAGTTAAATTTGGAAATATTTTTCTGCCATCACCCAAATGCATCTGGGCTATCTTTTTCCAGAAAGCTCCTACTTCTAAATTTTCATCTTCAGTATTTAACTTCGTATTCCGAAGAAGCCGCCATTCGGTGTCAATCTGAATAACATTTGAAGGTGCTATATTTGGGAACCTTCCCAATATGTCAGCGATGGATAGTATTTTGCCACTACAAACTATTTTTGGATCCATAAATTTTTTTCAAAATTTCCATTTTTTCAAGGAAATCGCTGTAATATTTTTAATTGCCCATATCGTCTTCAAATGGAAACAGCTTCTGAGGCGTTACCTCGCTTGTAATTAGTTGTTTAATTTACTGCCTCAATGTCCAAAACTCTATTTTTTTTTTGAAAAATGCAAACAGCGGAACTTGAATTTATTTATTTCTTCGGGACTGATTGTTAATGTTGGTGAAGATAATGTCGCCCCTACTTCAGCGCCTAAATACCAATCTTTTATATCCATGTACTTTCTGGGATTTTTATTGACGATGTTTTTGTGATCATTTCTTGAAATGTATTCTTCTTTCACATAACATCCCAAAATTGTGAAGATTACGGTCATCACCCTGTTGTAAATTATGTGTACATTTGTATTTTCTGATTGCATGGTTCTGTTTAGTTCGTTGAATATTCCTAAGGCATACGCCATAAATTGCAGATATAGCTTGTTCACTGGATTTTCTATCATTCTCAATATGTTTTCTGCAGCTTTAATACGGTCGCTGAAAATAGCGTCCCTAAAGTACAACTTTAAGGCTTCGTATTGTTCTAGCAACCTCTTTACTACTGCCTCTAAAGAGAGCCATCTTGTTTGAGAAGGTTGCAGCAATTTGTGTGGTTTTAATTCCAAAAATTCTTGGAATTCTTTCAACAAGCCGGTACGTTTTGGGCTACCATTCAAATAGTTATACACATCCCGTGCTAGATCTTCGGGTTCTCGAGGCAATTTTAAGCAAGCGTTTGACGCTACAAGATGTACAGAATGGCATACACATTTCATAACGAAAAGGTGTGGTATGTCTTGTTTGAACTTCGTTGCAAGAGAATTGTTCTTTCCCATCATTACGTTGGCACCATCTGCGGCCAGCCCTATCATATTTTTTTTATAAGGAATCCCCAATTCTGTCATTTTTTTTGTAATTACTTCATGCAATTTTTCGGCGTTACCTTCAAGAATTTCAAATAATTCAAAAAAAAAATCTTCCACCTGAAAAAGAATAGGGTTTAAAAAGTATACAAAAGTAACATATTTGAAATGTAAACTTTACATTATAAACATAATATTTACCTTCAGATTATTTCGAGCAATCCTCACAATTACTGCCAAATGCTTTTTTGTACTTTTATCAGTACTTTCATCAGCTGTTAATGAAAATTTATTTGTCTGCATGGCTTCAACCATGATGTCAACGTCACTTCTTCCCAACACCTCCGAAATAATTTTTGTTGTTTTAGTACGTCCACAGGTAATCCTTTTTGCAACTTCAGAATCTGGGCATACTGCTCTTATTAAATCTGGGAAATGTTCCATCACATTGATCGGAATATTATGTTCAACTATGAATGCGGCGATTCTAATTTCTGATTGTTTTACTAGTTTTTCTAACGATGTAGATTTTTTTGTAAACATCTGGTCTAGACTCTGTTGACCTCGAATTTTCAGCTTATTGCTTTCGTGTTTTTTTGTCTCTTTATGTCTTTTAATATCATTTTTACCCCCTCTCGTTATATTTATATCGCAAGAGCACACTTTACAATAAGCGAAATCTGGACCTGAAAAGTATATTTTTTAATATAGCCTAAATATCGCAACAAAAATGCGTTAATTTCTCAAGACAAAAACTCCCGTACTTTAAGCATACTTTTTTAACCTGGCAACTTAATAGGCCGCCGTCAAGAAGCTAGCCGCCGCGTCATCGACTATGACATTGACGTTAAGCAGCGTGCGTGAGCGTTTTGCATCGTCTATGTTTGCATCCAATCCAATACACTACACGCACACACACAATTTTACATGTGTATGCACACAAATCCAGGAGTTTTCCTGATAACCGGATAATAACGAATGAATGGGTTTTTTGTATTCAAGTTTTTATCGGCGAGTAACTAAAAAAGGCTTTTATTATTTATCGCTTACCTTTATTACTTTTTGATAACCATCCCTCAAACAGATCATCTTTTTCCCAATCCGGCTTATAGCTGACACTGTACTTCTTTTTCTTTGGAGGTGTATTTTGCACCTCTTTATCACTCTCAGAACTAGACATTCTAAATTCTGATAATTTTTTACAGCTTTAAAACTTGTTTATAACACTTTAAAACGATATTTAGTCCGAGATAACAAAAACAAAGCGATTGCAAAATGCAAGCAAACAAAACTTTGCTCACTTCACTTCACAGACGCAATCTAATCTAATGCTGTTGATTTAAAATACCTACTAATACTATTACTATTACTAAACTGAACTATGTCTCCTAATTTGGTCGTATAATAATTAGAGAAACCGGTTTGTCTATGTTCTCTGAATTCCAAAGGTTTGCTGTTTTATATTCAACTTTATTCCATTCCATCAAGGCATACTTTACGCTACATACTTTACAAACTCATTACTTTTGTGATTCGTTCGGTGGTTCGGTGATTCGTTTCACGCAGTAGAGGCAGTGTTTTTAGTAACTTGAGTTGAATCTGTGGAACAGTAAATTAAAATCGGGAGGTTTAATTAAGGATCCGGGATATCGGGAGACATTTAGTAAAATCGGGAGAACTCCCGGAAAATCGGGAGACCTGGCAACACTGATCAACTTATATATTCTTTTATAATTTGAAGTCTGAACTGAAGTTTGGTGCTTGCGATCTTTTGAAGTTATTATTTGTTCAATGTCAAATGGAGTCTCGTTTTCGGACTCTGAATCGGGGCCGTAAACATCCTCGACTCGAGACGAGATTTTTTATTAGATGAGTATGTCATGACACTAAGCTTAAAATGATCGCAATGTTTATCTTCATTGCAAAAGCAGCTTAAAGACTTCATTTTCAATGTTGTCGGATCTTCAATGTTCCATGACACGTGATGGACGCGCAAAGTACCAGCAAAAGTCTTTATGTGTGTTTTAGCACTAGCAAGAAAAACGTCTTTATCTAAAATATCTTTGTCATTTATAACGAAAACATTAATGCTAGGACAGTTTTTCTGAATAGCATCTAACAAATCGCTCAGACATGCTATATCTTTGCGACTATCTACCAATAGGTCGGCTGATCTTTTGCAAACAGCACTGATACCATCTGGAGCTCCCTTACCGTGTCCAGCTTCATGGTAATTCCAGGTAAAGTCTCTAAGAGCTGGGTAAAATTCTATTAAATGAGTGACAAGAAAATAAAACATGTATTTGTTGCGATATTGTGTTACGGGTCCATCGCTCCAAAAATGAAGGATCTCTACTTCTGGTGGCAAGCTGTTCAAAATTGGCTGTAAGTGTGCGTAATGTGGCGTGGCATGTGGCCCATTCCCGATCTAATGAAACATAGTAAAGTTATTCCATTATTTAAAGCAGGTAGTATGTCCGACCCCAGTAACTTTAGACCAATTTCCGTACTACCTACTTGTAGTAAAATATTTGAAAAAATTATATTAAATCAACTGGTAAGTCATTTTAACGTAAACAAATTATTACATAATAATCAGTTCGGTTTTACCAAGGGTCGCTCGACAGCCGATGCCGGTGTTGAGTTATATAGATATATAGTTAAGGCTTGGGAGGAGTCGCATGATGCTTTAGGTGTTTTCTGCGACTAATCCAAAGCATTTGATTGTGTCCAACACGAGACCTTAATCGGGAAACTCCGCCACTATGGCATCAAGAATACCGCACTGAATCTGAAACTGGTCGGCAGTAGATATGTGGGTACCACAGGGCTCAATTCTTGGCCCTTTCCTCTTTCTTGTTTATATAAATGATCTACCTTTCATGGTAGAGAGAAAACATCAGATAGTTTTGTTTGCTGATGACACGTCCTTGATTTTTAAAACGACAAATAACAAATTTTGACGATGTGAACAATGCTCTGTCTTCGATTGTCCATTGGTTTAGTATGAATAACCTTCTACTTAATGCAAAAAAGACAAAATGCATTAAATTTTGTGCAAAAAATGCAAGGGTTATGGATACTAGACCAATTATAATCGGTGAGGAATTGGATCTGGATGATACAACTGTATTTCTCGGAATCACCATGGATTCAAAACTTCAGTGGTCCCCTCATATTAACGGATTGGCGAAGAGACTTAGTTCTGCAGCCTACGCGGTTAAAAAAATTCGCTCACTAACTGATGTCGATACAGCTAGACTTGTTTATTTTAGTTACTTTCATAGCTTAATGACTTATGGCTTATTATTATGGGGTCATGCTGCTGATGTCGAAACTATTTTCATCCTGCAGAAGAGGGCTATTCGTGCAATCTATAATTTAAAATGTAGGGAATCTCTTAGAGATAAATTCAAGGAAATTAATATACATTACCTTTCCCTCGCAATATATTTATGAAAATATTATGTGTTACAAAAATAGTGATAAGTTTACTAGAATAGAACATACGCACAATGTTAATACACGGAACAAACGCAGGCTGCAATTTCCCCGTACTAGACTATCTAAATTTAGTAATTCTTTTTTGGGGAAAGGGATACTCTTCTTTAATAAAATCCCAGAGGCTCTTTTATCTCTGCCTTTCAATAAATTTAAGAAATGTATTAAAGAAAAGCTGTGTAAAAAGGCTTACTATAAAGTCAATGATTATCTAGTTGATAAAAGGGCCTGGGACTAGTGCTAGACAGGCTACTTCTAATTAATTTGCGATATTTGTTTTAAATAAGTGTTGTTTGATGATTTGCCGTTTTAAAAGAGTACCGAGAGTTTTTTACGCCGGCTTTTTCTCTCGGCCTACACCCTCTGTCTTCTTTGCCGATGAGTAGGGATGCCTAAAAGTTCAAATTTAATGACGTGGAATAAGTGATACATGTATCTTATGTTCCATAATAAACATATTTTATTTTCATTTTATAGCTGGAGGGGAATATAATTTTGTGACATCGAACAATAGCATGTTGTCTTTAATTCACCTGATGCCTCTTCTTTCGTGTAAGTTACAACTGTGTGCAGACTTATCTGTTGACGTGTACCTCCAAAATGAAATGCTTGAATTTCTTCTACGTATTTTGTTAAAAGTCACTAAGGTCCACGTGAATCACAGCTTCTCTTACTGTCAAATTTGTCTTCTTATTTTTAAAAGCAGAATGTTGGTGGACTATATTCAGTTCATGGTGAATAAAATACTCCAAGTTGTCTTCTAACTGCATAATCAAATCACGTACATAAATCTGAATCACCTTTTTCAAATATTTCGTCACCTTTCTGGTCTTATGCATTTTAGGATCAGTTATATTGGTAGTCTTGGATTCCCACTTTCTGCAAAAAAATTTGATTACTAATATCAAATTCTTTATTTTTACAATTGATGCATTCTCGCGAAAGACACTGTTCGTTATACCTATTGCAACAAATTATATGAAGAAGATTTTGATGGTTTGAAATTGATGTAACCTTGGCTTGGAATAGTGCCGTAAGAATCAGATCCACATTGGCGTGTGTAACACACAGACAATAAATAGATGGCACAATTATTATGATACATATCTCCTCTGGTCAGTAAGTCTCTCCTGGTAGTATTCTTACCAGGGGAAATACGTTTTCATAACATAATACGTTATTTTGATTTATACAATATTTTTTTCAATTAATAATAAAGCAAGCTTTGACCATTACAGTATTACTAAGTTAGGACAGGAATTGCAAATAAATAAAATGATTATTATAACTTTTATTACTTACCAGTGGAGAGACACAATGACCTTGCGAAACCGTTACATCGCACGGACGGTCACAACAATTGGCAAAGGGCGTCGATCTAACCGCTTCTGTGCTTAGTATTCTGTGCTTCACGTTGTTAAATGTCAATTAGCGAGTTCGGGAATGTGGCCATCTTATATTTTATATTGTAGCAGCGGTGCGAATATTGCCAGGGTAGATACACAAAAAAAGCGGGACAACAATTAAGTTTAAAAATTATTGAAAATAAGCAAATATTTTTAATTTTTTGTTTAATAATATATCTACTTAAATTTGTGGTAAACATAGTTTGTTTTAGCAAATAATACAAATATTGTATGCTAGTTAAGCTGAAACCGGGAAGGGGACAGGCCAGGGTAGAGACTTTTTTAGACTATATAACGAGTTTTACAAAAATATGCTTTAATTAGACATTTAATTGTAATGTTATTTAATAAAGGACAATAAAGTGATGTGATTCATTGCACAATATAGCAACGTATAGATTAAAAAACCAACACTGAATCAAAATACGACAAACCTTAACTTAGTGCTAATTCTCGTATCTTAGTCTCACCCTAAGTATATAAATAGATCAAAGCTCAAATAAAATGCTATCCTTTGACATTTTTCACTGGCCCCTGCGATTCACTAATCGAATTCGCAGGTGTGAGCTGAATTTTTATTCATCTATGTAACATTTTGTCCCAACAGCCTTCAAAGGGTTTAGTCAACATCCTAGATGACGTTGTCGTCTACAACGACCCATATGGCTTAGTGCTGGTGATCGGTGCATGGAACTATCCCCTACAACTTCTGTTGCTACCGATGGCCGGGGCCATTGCAGCCGGTAACGCAGTAGTTGTCAAGCCCAGCGAGCTGGCCGAAGCCTCTGCTACATTCATTGCTGAGACTCTTCCTAAATACTTAGATAGTGTAAGTGTTTAAATTATACGCCTCTGCCTTGTATTATTGTTTAAAGTTGGCAGCAAAAATGTGTTGACATTCATTTTCTTATCCAAGGACGCGGTAGCCGTAGTAGAGGGGGGTCCGGAGGAGACAACGGAGCTCCTAAAGAACAAATTCGACTACATATTCTACACGGGTGGGACCAATGTGGGAAAGATTGTATACAGTGCTGCTACCAAAAATCTTACACCGGTCACGTTAGAACTTGGAGGGAAAAGGTAAGGGTGGGTGATAGTTCGTAAATGAAATAGGATATTTTTTAATACGTTTTTAATTTAACTGATCATTAAATTAATGCTGACTTTATTAATTATAATAATAAGATTATACACTCAGCTCAGGTCAAGGTTCACACTCTTTTATAGTTGTTTTATTGTTTCGATTTCTCTACTCGGTCTTCGTACCCCAAATCCGATCATCTCTATTATGTAATTGAAATTCACAGCCCGACATACATAGACAACACAGTTGACATAGAGGTGACCACGAAAAGGATACTATGGGGTAAATTCATAAATGCCGGCCAGACCTGTATCGCTCCAGACTATGTTCTGTGCAGTAGAGAAGTCCAGGACAAGTTCGTGGAGTACGCAAAGCTCATACTGAAGGAATGGTATGGAGAGGACCCACAAAAGTCCCCAGACCTATGCAGGATTATCAACAGCCGGCATTATAGGTACATGTCGAGTTACTAATATAATATGTCATTATTTTTCTTTAAACTTATTTAGAGAACCATAATATTGGGTTTTACTGATCCAACCTAACGATTTTATAATTGCTAACATCAAATTTTAGTCGCTTGCAAGCGTTATTGAACGCGAGTAAAGATAAAGTCGCCATTGGGGGCAAAAGTGACCCCCAGGACCGGTACGTATCGCCCACGATACTCACTAATGTGTCCCCAGACGACAAAATAATGGAGGACGAAATATTCGGCCCAATTTTACCGATCGTGCCCGTCGACAACGCTTACGAAGCCATCAAATTTATCAACGCCAGGTAAGTTCGCGCTACAGGATATCTTTCAATTTGTCTAGATAATTACTGATAATGCTGCGGATATCTGATAGCCTGAAGATCAATTTATATGAAGTCAATGTCATTTCAATGGACCTTGAACTTCAACCACGTTCGATAACTACGTCTGGCTACCGGGTATCGCGTAACCGCCGCCACGTTACCTTGGCAGGTTTAGCTTAATCGGCTTGCATTTGGAAGACCCCAAATTTCATTATCACATTGGCATTTTGGTCATGCAGCCGCTAAGAGGGCTTATTGTAATCTAGCCTACATTTGGAAATGAGTGGGCGAATAACAAATAACTTCAGGATGGAAGTGGGCCTTTAGTTTGCGGATAAGCGAAGTGGAGGACTATCGCCGTTGTCCCACCTGTTTAATCCTATTATTTAGCAAAAGATACAATAATATAGAGTTTCAGTTAGAACTCCACTTCACTCGGCCGTCCTTTTTTGTATCATTAACTAGCAATGACGTTTGATGTGAGTCATGACGTTATTACATGTTCATTGTGAGTTGTGTTGTGTGTGATGTTTGAACTTTGACATTGGTGGCATAGATTAACGATTTTGCTGCTGTACAATTTATTATTCTATACAAAAATACCATTCATCGTTTAATGTTCTCAGAAGAAAAAATAAATGTTCAGCTTTTTGAACGCTGCCGGGCTACCGACGCAGTATTATTTGATGAATTCACGAATAACACTGCCGATAGTTATGGTAAGCCTGTGGGTGATTTCAGGGAGCATCCATTAGTATTATACGTGTTCAGCGAGCAAAAGAACATCCAAAAACTGTTTACGGAACAAACCCGTTCGGGCAGTCTCTGTGTGAACGATACTATTATGTTTTATGGCGGTAAGGAATAAGGATTTCGCGGACTGGGAATGTTGCACTTTGAATGTCTCATTTCCAAACAAAAAATCGATATAATTAATATACGAACAGCCCGATATTCAAATTGCAATAAACGTAAAGTCCGCTTCGAGGTGTTGCTTTGGTAAAGGGTATTTTAATTGCACGTAGCGACGCATGTCACCTAGGTCAATGCCAATCGAATAATTTACATTTTGATCATTTGTTTATCTGTCGACCATTTGCTATCGTTGGGCAGTAGTTATATATATTCAAATTCACTTCAAAGAACAAAAGAACTTGTTTTTATATTATCGAAAAAAAAACGTTTTACTACAATCAGTCAAAATTGTTCGTAGTTGCTCACGTTTTCTAGAATGTACCAGCTAATTTTGTTAGATTTTCCTAGCATTGTATGCATAATGGTCTGACGTAGGAATGCATAATAACTGTTATCATTGATGACTTAACATTTTACATCGTACTTTTTACAATATAGGTACAAAACTGCGCTCGTACAATAATTATCAAGAATATTACTTAGAAAAGGGAATTTCTGGAAATACAATTATTGATTGGTTTTTGACTCTAAATTAATGCATTGAATGCCGGTGATGGATGGTTTGGTTATTGGTATCTTTCATAGATGGTGGCGGAGATCTTTATACTTATACCTTGATTCTAAATGTACTTTTTATACCGTGTTAATTAGTTCTTTCTCTGCTGAAAACTCTCTATAGTCTCTGATTATTAACGGTGGCGGTGTATGTTTGTTTATGGCGTAGAGCAAAGCCGTTGGTGCTGTACGTTTTCACACAAAGCGGTGCAGTCCGAAGGAGTTTAACCGATAATACATCTAGTGGAGGAATGTGCATAAACGATACCATGATGCAAATGGGAGGTACGGATCTACTTGGCTACGGCCAATCCACTATCGAAGTATTGAATATTGACAAGAACATTTTACTCTTAACAATGTACATATACCTACGCAGTTCACATAGAGTAGCAGTATAACGCTGTAGACTTTAGATTTCACACAATTTACACATAATATTAAATTACAAGATTGAATGTTGAAGGTATCTCGAAAATTACTGAAGCTATTTCACACGTATTTAGTGTCGTTTAAGCGAACCAAAAATAATCCGACGTATTATGTTTAATATTTCTTGTAAACGTGTTCGTTACACTAGATAGAGGCACGTTCATAAGCGCATTTAATACTCTTAAAAAATAAATGAACTAATTGAGTATTAATGTGAACACACAGTTGACACACTGCCCTTCGGCGGAGTGGGAAACAGCGGCCTCGGGGCCTACCACGGAAAGGCTTCCTTCGACACCTTCACGCACAAGAAGAGTTGTCTCATCAAGAACTTTGCAGCTATCGGCGAAAAACTCGCTTCGTAAGTTACCTTTGGTTTAACAACTTAAACTTAATGAATATGGATTTAGAATTAATTAGAATATTGGTAACGTATATTTCACTAAAAGATTTATTTCAAAACCCGCCGAGTATTTTACTAGAATTGCAAGAATTTAGCAAAAGCCAAATGCTGTATAAATTACGTTGGTGCTAAAACATTCCAGTGGGCGTTACCCTCCATACACTGACGGCAAGCTGAGTTTCATATCGATGTTGATGCGCAAGCGCCACGGGCCCTCACTCAAGTACCTGCCTTATCTCCTGACCTTTGCGTTGGGCGCATCCGTCGCCTACGGCATCACTGTCTGGCAGAAGGTAAAGAAATAATCGGGGCTTGGGACTTTCTATTATTACTATCGTAAAAGTACAATGCAATTCTAATCAGATAGGAATCCTGTTTTGTCATATTGCTCACAGATAAAATAACTCTTTATTTTGGAACGGAACAGAACAATAATACTTAGTTCATAATTAATTTTAGTATCGCTTGTACAATAAGAAAGTTAGAACTGAATTTGCTTTCTTCACTTTTACTTTGATTAGATTAAATCTTGTGCCTCGCGCAGCCCTTGGGCATTGTATCTTTCTAGTATCAATTCATAATAATTAATCTGACAATGACGAATGCCACTAATTTACAATAAAGTAAATAAATAGATTCCGGGGCTTCATCATTTTAATGTTGTCCGGGCCTCCGTAGAACTACTGGTTGACTGAATTATCGCGACTTTTGGCATTACTAAGAGCGGTTTGCCTTTCGGTGCAGGATATTGTTTCAAAGTTTGATTATTTTTAAAGTTGAATAGCCATTTACACAAATTCTCATTTTGTTGACAGAATCGACATTCATAAATAATAATTAAAATAACATTTTGTGAAAAAATGTTATTTATAGATATTAAAACCTAGATAAATTTTCTTTTTTAAGACGATTATAAAGTCTCAGAATATATCTTCTTCATATTTCAGTTAATAGTAAAAGCTGTTTAATATATGAACATAAAATTGCTTCTCTATCTGTTATTTAAATTAAAACATAAAATAATCAGTATTAATGTGAAACATTTTTCTTTATTCATTTGCTTAATTGATTTTCTCAAACTATATAATACTAATGAATATGTGTTTGTATTGAATTCCTATTCACAATCATATCAGCGGATTTTTTAGAAATAATTTTAAGACTTGATAATGGTATCTGTCCATTGTCCATCTATATAAATATATTATTTTGTATCATTGTTTTACGTTCATCAAAGCCTAAATTAGTTCAGCTAAAAAGTAACACGACATTCATTGACTGTTAGGCGGTACGAAGTTCGCCGGGTCAGCTAGTATAGTATAGATTGATTTACTGTGAGATTTTTACACCAGTATTGTTAAGAATGTTTTGAAAGAAAATCGCCATTATGTAGAATATTCAAGATCATCAGTATATCTCTTTGCGAAAACTATAATTTAGTAATAATACTAAGTGGAATACCAAATAAAGATTGTAAAATTTACCCTGAAGTAAAAACCTTTGTTATTATAAATAAATGTGTTTCTTTATACTATTTTATTGCATTAAATGTTATATGATATAGTATTTGTTTCATTACTCTACTTATCATTTATGTCATAAATTATGATCATGATTTTAAGTCAAATGAACTTGATTTAGCATCTTTGCATTAAGTAATGGCTAGAAAGCATATAAAATGCTGCTTAATTTCCATTTTGATAAAAATCCAATGATATTTAGGAAAAACCCACTTGAAATTGTCTCTGAATCCTACACTCATATACCATAGATTTATTTGAATTTAAATACTATCTTTCAAATGTTTACAGATTACCCTATCTATGTCATAATCATCATAGTAATCACTATGATGTGAAGTATACTACACAATATAACTGAAGTATATTTTATTTAGAACCTCATAGTTAGCTAAGTATTTTTCATTGTCTTAAATCTGATTTCAGATGGGAGGTGAAGAGCTTTAAGACAGAAGACAGGCTGGGTGAAGATATATAGTGTGATATTATTAATTTACACCCTATTTTTTATATCAAAATAATTCTATGCAATGGATTTTAATCCATTTATATCTGAAACAATAATTAGGGTGTAAATGTAGAGTAACAATGTTTTTGATGTAAGGAAGATATTTTAATTTTGTGTATGGTCATAGGCCCCTTCTTTATGTCCTGCCTTATATATTTAGCAGTCTTTAATATTATAGGTAATAGTTTTTTTTAGATTTTACTCAAATTCACCAAGATTAATAATTCTATTATGTATATGTTTTAGAGTGTTTTAGATTATGATTGAACAATTAAGCTACTGTAATAAAATGCATTTATTTTGTATACTTACCTTATAATGAAACTTGCAATCAACATTTTCTATATTCTCTCAAATGTATATATATACATAATACATTTTTAAATGTATTGGTTTTTGACAAAAATTCTTAAACTGTGAATTGTATGAGAATGCAATAAAAATATTAATGGTTTTGAACTTTTATCAATACTTTAAGTGTGAAGTTTTAACTATATATTTGTTATGATTTTTGATATGATTATATTTTGATAATAAATGGGAATAACATGTGTTTATTTATTTAATAACAGCTAAACAGTCAATTCAATACTGTGAGCTGTGTGGAGCTCACAGATGTCCTTACGTAAAATAGAAAAAATACCCAAGACAGAATCACTTGATTTAGCAACACAAATATGGGTGATCCTTGTGTACCAAAGCATAGGCATTTTAATCGGGTGACGTAATATTAAATCCAACCCGAGTCACATAACAAGTTGAATTTAAATCAACCATTTGCTGACACGAGTCTTGATCTCGACTCGACTTGAGTAGGTAGTAGGTACTTACTGTACAGATATGAATGTTTTATTTAGATTAAAATGGTATTTTTCAGCATTACAAATTATTACAATAACAACATTAAAATTCATATTTTTAATATTGTCTGATTTATATATATTATGTATGGAGCCCTAAGAGTAAAATATATCAGATGGTTGAAAATTTGTCTTTAAAGTTAGAAGCCGAAGACGCCCGAGTAATTTTCGCTTTAGGTACTACATACACATACACGTTCGGGATACCCATATTCGTATATCGTAGATATATGTTAATAATTTCATTCGAATTTCCCACTTCACTTCACTTTATTTATAATGGCGACATCTGTGTAAATCACAATTCCGCCAATGTCACGTTCTAAGTCTTCACACAGTGAGGATAGATTTGATAATTTTACTAGATTGAATTTTATCTAAGCAGAGTTACCCAAAACAAAAATGACATCACAATAAATACAACACACACAGACATCTAATAATATATACAAAAGGTTAACATTTTACTACAAGGTATGGAGGGGAGAATCTTATTTATAACTTTAATTTATTAACAGAAATAAATTTCCCTAAAATATTGACGATCGAGCTGGATGGGAGGGAAAGTAGGGAGTTAAGGTTACATGGACGAGGGAAATCTGAAGAAAGATGGTCAAATAACGAGTCATTAATTAAAGAACAGTTAAAAAATATGTGGTCTGTCGAGCCTTCGTCCATACCACACTCACAGAGAGAACTGTCTTTAATTTTAATTTTGGCTAGATGAACGGGAGTACAAGCGTGCCCTATACGAAGACGGCAGATTATAGACGTGACCTTTTTGTTTAAAAACTTATATTTAAAAAACCACGGCGAAGAAGGGATTGAATACTGAATATTAGCATAGTGCCTGCCAGTTTTTACTTGCCTACTAGAAGATTGCCAATCAATAGTCCAGGATTTTAAAAGGTGGGAGTACGCAAGAGCTGATAGGTCGTGGGCCGAGATGTTGGGATGCTGACAAGATCCGCAGAAAATAGCACCTTTTGCACAAGAGTCAGCAGTTTCATTACCCGCTATACCACAATGACTAGGTATCCACAAAAGTACAATATGAATATCTTTTTTACTACACCTAAACAAAGCTTCTCTTATTTTTAGAATAGTATTATGTTTTTTTAGACCTGAATGGATTGGAAAGAATTGCCTGTAAACAGCTGCGAGAATCGGAAAAAATTGTAACTTTATTTAGGTTGTGGGACTCAGCATACAAAACCGCTTCTAGGATTGCAAAAGCTTCACCTGAAAAAACGGAGGTCAATGGAGGAAGTTTAAAGCTCAATACTGTTTTGAATGAAGGAACCCATACAGCCGCACCGATGTACTCATTATTGGGAATCTTGGAAGCATCAGTATACATCGGTAACCAACCCTGCCAGTCTTTTGAAATTTTTTCCAGAAAACAAGTGGAAGCTTGGGTGGATTTTTTTTCAATTCCAAAGTTTAAAATTATTTTAGGATCAAAAATGAGGGATTCATAACTATTTAAAAACAAGGGATTACTAGGGAAACTTTCAATAGGATTAGGAAGACGAGAAAGTTTATTAAAACTGTATAACAGGCATGGAACATTACCTGTACTAGATGGCATCGTGAGATTAGATAAGCGACGTAATTTGGACAAGATGGAATGTGAAGAGTATTGAAGGACTTTGATGAAGAAGCGGTCACTTAAAAATTGTCTACGTAAATACAGGGGGGGGTCAACACATTCTATTTGGAGAGCATTGATGGGAGAGGATTTCATAGCACCAAGGATGATGCGTAAAGATTTCGATTGAATTTTGGAAATTTTATCAAGGGCTTGCTTGTTGCCATGAATATCTTTTTTACTACACCTAAACAAAGCTTCTCTTATTTTTAGAATAGTATTATGTTTTTTTTAGACCTGAATGGATTGGAAAGAATTGCCTGTAAACAGCTGCGAGAATCGGAAAAAATTGTAACTTTATTTAGGTTGTGGGACTCAGCATACAAAACCGCTTCTAGGATTGCAAAAGCTTCACCTGAAAAAACGGAGGTCAATGGAGGAAGTTTAAAGCTCAATACTGTTTTGAATGAAGGAACCCATACAGCCGCACCGATGTACTCATTATTGGGAATCTTGGAAGCATCAGTATACATCGGTAACCAACCCTGCCAGTCTTTTGAAATTTTTTCCAGAAAACAAGTGGAAGCTTGGGTGGATTTTTTTCAATTCCAAAGTTTAAAATTATTTTAGGATCAAAAATGAGGGATTCATAACTATTTAAAAACAAGGGATTACTAGGGAAACTTTCAATAGGATTAGGAAGACGAGAAAGTTTATTAAAACTGTATAACAGGCATGGAACATTACCTGTACTAGATGGCATCGTGAGATTAGATAAGCGACGTAATTTGGACAAGATGGAATGTGAAGAGTATTGAAGGACTTTGATGAAGAAGCGGTCACTTAAAAATTGTCTACGTAAATACAGGGGGGTCAACACATTCTATTTGGAGAGCATTGATGGGAGAGGATTTCATAGCACCAAGGATGATGCGTAAAGATTTCGATTGAATTTTGGAAATATTATCAAGGGCTTGCTTGTTGCCAGGATCTAAAAGGAAGGTGCCATAATCAAAATGACTTCGTACCACAGCATTGTATAAAAGCTTTTGAGTAGGGGTGTGCTCCCCACCTCACACCAGATAATGAACGGAGAACATTAACACCCTTCTCACTTTTTTTAATCACATGGTTAAAATGAGGAACACCGTTTAACTTTGAGTCTAAAATAAGGCCTAAAAATTTTACTTGCTTACAACACGATACCAAGGACCCTTTATATGAAATGTTACACCGTGGAACCTTGTATTTTGTAGTAAATGTGACTGCCGAGCATTTGGGCACAGAAATAGAGAGACCATGATCATTTAACCAATCACCCAAATAATCCAAAGCCGAATTTAGGCGTGATGATGCCTCTTCAATAGAATTTGATGAAAAGTATAAGGCTACATCGTCCGCGTATTGAAGAATCTGACAGAAGAAATTCACAACAAGCTCCAGGTCATAGGTGTAAATGTTGTACAGAAGGGGACTCAAAACAGAACCTTGAGGTAAGCCCCTCCAAATAGATCTAGGAGACAGCTCCGTATTTTGAGATCTTATAATAATATAACGATTCGAAACTGCATTGCAAACAAAACGTACCAACTTCTCAGGAATACTCAGCTGAAGCATTTTTTGCCTGAGCACTGGAACCAGCACGTGGTCATACGCAGATGCGATATCCAAGAAAACACCCACCAGGAACTGTTTCTTTTTAAAAGCAATGCGAATGTCGGTCGTTATTATACTTAGGCTATCCATCGTACTTAAGCCTTTCCTGAAACCAAACGGGGGTTTTGCAAAGATATTGTTACTTTCACAAAACCATTCTAAACGAATTTTAATCAAATGTTCCATAATTTTTAAAAGGGTAGAAGACAAAGCAATAGGTCTGTATGAAGAGAAATCTGATGGATCTTTGCCAGGTTTTAGAAGCGGAATGACGATTTGTCTGTTCCACGATTCAGGAATAATTCCAAGATCGAAAAAACAGTTTACTAAATCTAGAAAGTACCTCTTAGTGCCTAATGAAGAATTTATGAGGAATGAGTAAGGGATTCCATCTTCTCCAGGGGAAGAGTCAGAGATACCATTTAATGCTTTGTTAAGTTCTTCCAAGGAGAATTGACAATCTAGACTGTTTGAAGAGGGGATGTAAGAATTATACTTATAAGGAAGACAATCATAAAAAGGGACTGATGGAGGAGCCAATTTGTCGGCAAAGGAGGTAATCCAGCTAGACGGATCATTAAAAGGGACATCATAAGAATTGAGGGAACAACGGAATCTTCTGATCTGCCTCCAAACAACAGACGAAGGGGTACCAGGGCACATGCTCTCACAGAACTTATGCCAACCAAGACGTTTCTTATTATTAAGAAGTCTGCGAGCAGCTGCAGAAGCTTGTTGGTAGACTAAAAAAATTTCCAAGGTCATGCAAAGACTGTATGACCTTTCTGCCGTTTTTCTTTTTCGAATCATCTCAGTACATTCGGAATCCCACCAAGGAGGAGAAATTTTCCTTTGTGTAGAAGATTTGAGTGGAATATGTAAACTGGCAGATGAGGTGAGGGAGTTGACAAAATCATTGTATGAAGATAGGCAGTTTTCAACAGAAACTGCGGGGAGCGCAGCTATCTTAGAGTCAATAGAAGATGAAAAGTCTGACCAATTGGCCTGATTCAGTTTAAATTTTAAAAGAGGGGAAGGGCGAGTAACGCTCCTTAAATTGGTTGGGAGATCAATTAAAATGGGGAAGTGGTCACTCCCACAAGTGCTCTTAAAAACACGCCAGGATAGAAAAGGGAAAAGATCAGGAGAACAAAGTGATAAATCCACTGCGTTAGCGGGATTCTGAGATGGAAGACTCCTTCTCGTAGGACAACCATTATTCAAGACACTTATGTTTATATCATCGAGTAAATCTAGTAGAAGGGACCCAAAAGAATCTGAGGAATGACAACCCCAAGAAACATGGTGGGCATTGAAATCACCCAACATGACAACAGGAGGAGGAACCGAAAGGATAATAGAACGTATATCAGAAATGAGGTCGATATGGGGGTGGGGAATATAAACAGAAATAAACGAGATATTAAAAGCTCTCATAGCAACAGCATTGATACCATCACAATGAGGAAGAGATAATGAGTGGAAGGTGAGGGATCGGCTGACCAAAAAGGCACAGCCAGCATAGCCATCATCCCTGTCATCTCGGAGACATCGATACCCAGAAACCCTAAAGCGGGAACCCGGCAATAACCAAGTCTCCGAAATGGCTAGAATAGATGGAACGAATTTATTGATAAGAAAGTTTAATTCTGATTTTTTACTGCGAATACTGTTACAGTTCCACTGAATTACCAGATTCGCCATTTTTGGTGACGAATGAGTGGAGCAAATTAATTTTTTGGGCAACGTGGGACGGTATGGGGATGTCATCATACTTGGATAGCATATTACAAATGACTGCCCATAAGCAGTCAAGAAGATTTTCATTTGGGGATACTTCATTGTTGATAAGGGAAGGGGAGCTTACGGCACAACCATTGGGTAAAGAGGAGGGTAAATTGGAAGTAATGGCCTCATGGGCCGCCTTATCAAAGGATTTTCCTGATGTTGGTCTAGAGCGAGGAGGGAGAAATACAGTTTTCCTGTAAGATGTAGTCTGACGGGAAACTTGGGAAGGTAAAGTAATGGGCTGGGATAAAGAGGAGGGGGTTGCTTTTACAGAATCTGCAAAAGTTTTGCCATTGATAGGTCTAAACCGAGCCGATGCTTCGAGATAAGAAATGCTCTCTTGAGACATACAACTCTTTATATTTCTTTGTCGATTATGTTCAGGGCAAGCTTTGTTGGTCGCAAAGTGTGAGGCAGTACAAAATAAACATAATGACTCTGTTTCAGGGATATTACACTCATCACCAGAATGGGCTAGACTACAACGAAAACACCTAGGCTTCGATCGGCATTGTGACTTTACGTGACCAAACCTACAACAGTTAAGGCACTGAATTGTAGGGAGTTGGTACGTTTCAACGCGGAGGGAACTATGACAAGAGAATATTCTCTCAGGAAGGGTTTGACCTTGAAAAGTTAGAACAACGGTTTGTGTTGGGATCCAATTAATTTGACCATCGGAGTTCGTCTTGCGGTTTAGGCGTCTGGCCTTGAGGACTATACCTGTACCTTCGGGAATTTCCAAGGTTTCGACAAATTCCTGCATCGACCAATCAGCTGGGACACCTCTCACAAGGCCCATACGGGAAACATTATAGTTAGGAATCGTAACAGAATAGTTGCTGGAAGGTACAATGGGATTAGACACAAAATTATTCGCATCTAAGCCCGACTTAAACTCAACAGATATTCTGTTACGTCCCACTCTTTTAACACCATCACGAACAATGTTACTTACTTTATTTTTTACCAAGAAGTGACCAAATTTAATTGGGCGGATTGATGTACCGGCGGATGGGTCAGATTCAGGGCAAGAAACATGGACTAAAAAAGGGCCCTTGTCATTGACAAGGTATGACTTGGGAGAGCCAGTGAGAGATGGATGGGAGTAAAATCCTGGGTTGACGTCATCAACAGATGACCGGACATCAGTCATTGGTTTTTTGGAAGGTTCCACTAAAGATTCATTGACAGTATCAAGTCTGCGCTTGACACCAGGTTGGGGCAACAGTGGGGTGGATAAATCCATTGATTCCACCGGAGAAGAGACCCTATCCGGAGGATCAGGGGGGTCTGGAGGGCGTTTCTCCATTATAAACTACCAAAAATATAACAAGGTAAAGGGAGAACTATAACAAATAAATAAAAATAACTTACGTAATTAGTTGATGTTATTAATTAACCACCACCAATAGGATAAGTCAACTTATATTCATTAAACTACGAGAAAAAATAGAAAATACTAAATAATGATATCCGAAACAGGTGTAAACACTTATACCCGCAACGACGGAAAAAAAGATTCGAATTTCCATTCCATCAGTATTAAAAATAACATTACAGAAATTAAGTACATACATATTTGTCAACTGTTTTTTTTTTTAATATTATGTCAATAGTTTTAACTTTATGATTGTCAAGTGTCAACTGTTTCAAGTTTCAACTTCATTGGCAGTCAGCAGTATTGCCAACCGTAGTGGTTGGAACAAAGTATTATGCGGCACAAAAACATCATCTGCTAGAAAAAGAAGCTAAAAAGTTTAGCTACGAGTTTAAAAAATTTGTCTGCCTGACGTCAACAAATTACTAAATCTAGCAATATATAAAGTAGCTAAGTCGGCAATACTGTACATTCGACAAGAATTTTGTTATTGTCAAAAGATGTCATCTACTAACAGCTGTCAAAATGATAAAAAATTTCATTCTGTTTACATTTTTATACCTGGCAAGGAAATGATGTCCAGAATGTATAACTTAAAATTACATGTAGAAATTTATTTCCAAGTCCTTTTTAGAAATTAACTAGAAGTCAATCTACAAATTAACATTTTTTAATAAATATCGCTGAATATTATACTTTTAGTAATTTTAGTTTTACCTTCCTCGGCATCAGACAGTGCCAATTTTTCAAAGTGGTAACACTGGCATATAAATGAAACGAAAGTGCTTGTGATGAGTTAAAGTGTCGATAGGTCAATTTTCTACAGAAATTAGCCAGAATCTTCAGGTATCTACAAAATATACTAAATAATTACCCTCGCATGTGAGGGTACTATGTGGTGGTGCTGTTCTTCTTCCGCTAGTTCAGGTGCTTATTCACATTTGAGGGCTTGTCTGACTACTCCCTTCCCATATTCCTATACGGCGGCCATATTTATAAGTCATGAAAGGCGTTGACGCTCATCGAAATAATTTGCGTTTTATTCTTTTTCAGGACCGATGGCTGCGATACGTAAAAAATTAGTGATTGTGGGTGACGGAGCTTGCGGTAAAACATGCCTGTTGATCGTATTTAGTAAAGATCAGTTTCCGGAAGTGTATGTGCCGACAGTATTCGAAAACTACGTTGCCGATATTGAAGTAGACGGAAAGCAAGTAGAGCTCGCTTTATGGGATACAGCCGGCCAAGAGGATTACGATCGGCTGCGGCCACTCTCATATCCGGATACTGATGTGATCCTGATGTGCTTCTCGGTGGACTCGCCAGACTCGCTTGAGAACATCCCTGAGAAGTGGACACCAGAAGTTAAGCATTTCTGCCCCAATGTGCCTATCATCCTGGTTGGCAATAAGAAAGACCTGCGTAATGACCCGGCCACAATCAATGAGCTGCGTAAGATGAAGCAGGAGCCGGTCAAACCTCAGGAAGGTCGTGCGATGGCTGAAAAGATCAATGCTTTCGCGTATCTTGAGTGTTCCGCTAAGAGCAAGGAGGGTGTTCGCGAGGTGTTTGAAACAGCAACCCGTGCTGCATTACAAGTCAAGAAGAAGAAGAAGACGAGGTGTTCTCTGCTGTAATTGTGCTGTTGTCGCAAGAACTCTGATTATGAATTGTTCGCATACTGCCTGAAACTTAAGTTTGAAATGACTCGAACTCTGCAGCAGTCGCGGCGTCGGCCACACAGTGCTTCCTCGATACTGACCCGACGATGTCGCGCCGCGCATAGCACGCACACCCACTCAGTATTCGTGTGGCTATATTTTCACAATCGGTACTTGTATATTTTATAATAATCTATAAATAAGCGTAATAATTGCCTTAACAGAGTAGTCGAGGGGCGAGGCGGGCCCTCTTTTTGGGCTCACTACAAATTTGTGCTATACTATCATGTTATATAATCAAGTAGCATTTCTTTAACTAATAGATTTTATTCCTCGACCTGTGTCGTCTCAGCGAGACTTATTGTTTAGTTTGGTATTTTGTATTTTAATTTTTCAATAAAATAGTGTATAAATTATGTAGGATGTTTATTTGACAGAGGAGCGCTAGCCCCATTCTGACAGGTTTGTTGCAAGACAGCACTTAATATTAATTTTATTGAATACCGATTTCTGGCAGTTTATTGTAATCTATTTTTTGTGTGGAATATTAACTTGAGTATGATCTTGCATGCTATTATTTATTAGTTTTAAACCCCTACATTTTAACAAATCTTTTCTAGACTTTTTGACTTTTATAAAATTTAATACAGCATTTATAAATCAAAGGTTTAGGATGGGGAAATATTTAAGTTAAAATTCAATTTGTCTATGTTATGTTTTATTAGTATTGTAAGTACAAAATTATCTTTGAAATATACATTAACTTCCTTTTATGATTTAAGATGTTTTGGACCTATTCCAATTACAAATTTACTAATGAACCATGCTTTCAATTTAGGAATCCCTTGTCATTTTTAGGAGCTGCAATGGGTTGAATCGCCTTTTTGGAACTGCCATTAGCTTTGTCTGTTGATGTTGAGCTGAGGTTCTGTATGGTACTTTTGTTCCTTCAGAAAGATATACTTCCTGTCCTCTGAGCTCTGGTACCCAGTCAGCATACACCAATGTATTCACTAACCTCAGCTCATCACCAGACAAAGGTGTTAAAACATATATAACCTCATTTTGCCAGTCTATTCCCCGTATAAGACCTGCAAACATACATAGTAGAATAAAGAATTGTATTGCAAACAGTGCACTATCAGATAATCCAGTTGTATATTATAGCACTTATATTGATAACACAAATATGATATTAATGATGTACTTTGTTCAAGTTACATCATCGTTGAGTCATTTCAGTGTTACTTGAAGAAAGAGCTAAAATTATAATACTTTATGTAAATGTTCTTGTCTTAAACTCACTTAAGTTCTGAGACAGTAAACAAACTTTGTTAAGGTTAATATTTTCTTGATATATAGTAATAAACTTAATATTCTTTTTAATCATTTATCATTTCAAAATTTAGATTGATTTTTTATTTTCAAATGAACATGGCCAATAAATATACACTCAATTAATATAGAATTTAGGTTTATGAGTTTTAAGAGTGATAATAATGTCGTTACCGTGTCCGTGGCACAGCAGCGGTTTATCATCCAATGTAAACACCCTTGCGTTGTGGCATTCTGTCGTTTGTTGACATAACGCTACCACTTTGCCATTGATCACTTTTGTAATACAATCGTTTTTCAACCTCACGTTTACAGCGACAGTCAAGTCTTTTAAGCTTACCCTATAACAAGAATGGAATATTAAAAAAAGAGAACAAGATGCGAATTACTTATTTTGTTGTACAGTTGCTACACTTAAGTCCCAGGAGCTGTAAAGCTTAGTTAAAGTTAATTAAAGTGTTAAAGTGGTGGTCAATTATAACATTAAAATCCTTATAGTTAGGCAGGGTAAGTTGGGTCAACATAGCTTCTTCAGTGCAGGCTAAAATTTTACTTGTCTTTAAACTAGCCTTCCTGTCTATTGTCTGAATTTAAATTGAAATTTCTAATTGAATATAACATTATAAAAAAAACCTGAAGGTAAGTGTAGATAGTACGTGTTTGTGACGTGACATCATTGGATCTCGATGCGTCATGAATTATAAAACATGACGAGAAACGAACTTCAATACGAACTAGTTTGATCAAGTATGAATTAGACTAAATTAGAAGTTGTAGTATAAACATAATTATATACATATATTTTTGTAGCTGGCCTGCGTGAAACTGAAATACAATATACATAGACGGAAGTCATACTTAGCCCCGAGTCACGACTATGAATTTTACCCTGAATGTTAGGATGACACTCTTTATCAAGGTCTCATTGTAGCGGCACCTACAATCTTCGGCTACCAATCGGTATGATGACGTCATATCCTGAATCGCGCTAACAAAATTATTCCGAACGTATTAAGGACATTATATTCAACTTCTCGACCCTAGCCACTGGGTCGTCGGGTCAGGGCAGGGTTAGTTGTTCGACTGGTCGAGAATCCTCCCTTTAAGTTGAATGAAGACCAGCACCTCATTCCCAATTCGACCCGTTTTTTTAATGATAATTTAAGTACTTTAGAGATAGGTTGGCACGTGTATAAAAAAAAAAAAATTAAAGTCTTGTATTGTTGTTGCTCTTATGAAAGTGTTATTTTTAAACTGGCTGTTTCACTCGCGTTAATTTCTAACCCGTGCACATCATAATAACGCGTGTGGTAGGTGTATGACCATTATTACGTTGCAGACGTTGACGTTGTTATTTTTGACTATGATATTACCTAAGATATTCATGGAAATCAAAAGATAGAAATATTTTTTTTGTAATATATAGGGTTAACTGTAAGTAATTAGGTTTGAGAAAGAGTAAATAACATGTTTAAAACACGTTCCCATTGTTGCCTAATGCCTATTTATAGAACGAAATTAATAAAAATTACGACTGAAAAAGTTATCGTGAGTCGATAAAAAGGACAGACACACTATCGCGGATGTTTTTTTTTTCAACTTTTTAAGACATGTTTTTTGCGGATGCAATGGAAGCTCTCTATTAGATTTTTTGCAAATTTTCTGTCATTGATGCTCCGGTCCTATTGGTAGTGTAGTAGTCAAGTGGCTGTCCTTCATAGCCTACTCTTCCTCATAAATGGACTCTTCAAAACGAAGATAATTTTTGAATTCGATAATATAGATTTTGGATTTACCATCTCTTTAGTTTTATAATTATTTTTCGGAAATCTAATGTCGATGAAACAAAAGAGTAGCTGACAAGAATTTGTATTTATGATTTTCAAAATGCTCCAAAAATAACCTCGTCAAAAATTCCATTTTCATAAACTGCTGAGGTTGGATGAACTAAAGTAAATATTTTATTCAACTTACTCATATGGCGTAATTCCAAACAAGCACTTTTCATGATCAAGATCAGCAGCCAAATCACCAAAATAAGCTAAAAAACTTAAATATCTCTCATCGCGTGGTATAAGCGGAGATTTATTTGGTCCTAATATCTCCGCTTCTGGTGCCATTATTAGAGAATATTCAGAAACATCATTTTTTACATTTGAAAAAATTTTATCATATTTATATTTTCGTAACAAATCTTTAACATTTGCCGCAGTAAGCCTAGTGTCAAAGCACTTCTTTGCATTTCTTGAGTCATATTGTAAAACAAAGTCTGGTTGGGCAAGTGTTATTATAAGAGCCATAAACTTTAAGCCTACAGCATTAGTCATTCCCATAGTATTAATTACCCAGGGAATCATACTAAAGTTATCTCTACTGTATGAGATAACACTTTTAACTGCATTAACATATCGCTGTATATTATCCATAGTACTTATTATTCCAATGTTAAGGCACCTGTAATAAGTCAAAGCAAAATTGAGTTAAAACATGTTTCATAAACATATTATTGTTTATATTATATAAGCATGATCTCCGATGGAATCCGAGAACCATATAGGTCCAGGATTCCATTTCTTTGATTATTTTACTTTAATAGACTAGCAGATGATCGGCCTTCTACGTCTCACATATTTAGCAGGTGGACAAGTTTCCTTACTATACCATACAAGCAAATGAACATTGTATACATATTAACAAAATCCATTAGAGCATTACCAAAATTAAAACACAACCTCAGGATTGGGATGCATGCTCAAAACACTATACCAATATATAATATACATATTTTTAACAAAAAATACCAACATGTTCGGTTTCTTAAGATGTGTAAAACTTGGCCCAAATATAGGTTTATCTACAATTGTTGCAGATACATTGCCAGCAACAGTGAATTCACTCTGCCCAGGATCCAAATCAATAACAAGCACTGGGCCCTGCTGAAGTAGTCTGTTTACATAATATCTCATAAAAGTGGATTTACCACTGCCCTTTCCTCCACAAGCAATTGCTATTGTTGAAGCTGAAAGGCATAAATTTTTTATATTAACAATATCAAAAAGGAATAACATAATAATTATTCTACTTACATTCATTATGAGGCAGTACTGTTTCCCAAAGAGGATTTTCTTGAAAGAACTTTTGTGGCCTTGTCGAATATAAAGTACAACCTAAGACTGTAGATGCTTTATCTAACTGTTTCCCTTTATGATTATTAGTTTTAAACAAATTTGTGTTACGAAAGTTCTGAGCCACAAAATTCATTTTTGGACATTCCATAGTTTTCAGAAATAAAATGCCATCATAGTTACCAACATTGACAACTATTTCCTCAATTTCCTGAAATGTAATTCCAGTTTCCTGTAGTTTACTGAATAAATATTTGTAATCATTATTATTTTGAACAGTTTTGAAACACTGGGCATATGAGTAGAATGGTGCTATAATTGGACATTCAGTATCTGTTAGTTTATGACCAAATACTTCTATTGATCCTCCTAGAGCTTTAACTATTACTTTACCATGAATATAGAGCTCAGCAGGATGCCTTAATACAATAATACAGTTTTTCTTTCCAAAATATACTTTATACTTGACATTAATTTGCTCATCATTTATTGACTCATCCAGTGGCATGCAAGTCTCTATAGATTCTGTTGTCTCCTTCAAATCAGTTTCCAGCATAGTTAGACTATTTGTATCAGTTTCAACTAGATCTAAAACACTAAGATCATTATCTACTTCTGGGATCAAGCTGCTTACTTCATCTATGTTTCTAATATTTATATCAGCACTAAAATATTCAACTGGAAAGGCAGAGTCTGTTGAAAACAATGTACTCTGATTGTCCAATGGAAGGTTTCTAATTGTTGAATGTTTATAATCACCTAGTATATGATCAAAACTTTCTTCTTGTAAGTCTATAGCTGTTATAGATACAAAAGGTGAATGGACCACCTCTGCAGCTTGCAAAACTATATTATCTGAAACTTTGGAGTCCTTTTTAAGTAAGTATTTTGGATCTACATTCTTTTCTATATCATAAATTTTCTTACTTCTTGATTTATTTTCAAGTTTGCTTTTTTTATTCTCAACTGATAATAGTTCAACATCATTAACTTTTCTTTTTTCATGCTTTATTTGTTTTTTTACTTCTTGCTGTTTGTGTGATTTTAATTTTTCATGTATCTGTAAGGCTAACTCGCCATTTGGATCAAATTCACATAAATTGGATTCGCTCAATGAATCAATTGAACTGATTATGCTTTCTTCTGTTAATAACGGTGAATTTTGAGTAAAATTTGTTAAAGACGAGTCGTCTTCATCAAATCCAGTAAGTGAGTTACTACATGTGGGAATAGTTTCATCAGTACTGGCAAAGCTAGCTGATGTAACTGTTTCATTTAAGCTGTCACCTGCAGTTGTATTCTCGCTACTGGTACTATTATCAAGACTAGATTCAATTATTGCATTCATATTTGATGTTGACATACTCAGTCTATCTAATTCAGAATCACTAATTGGCTTATAAATTTCCTCATCGCTGGACGCAGTTAGGTTTAAATCAGAAAACCCACTTACTGAAGAGGATTCATTTAAATCTACCTTTAATTTCTCTGCTTCTTTAATAAGTTCGTTATCACTTGTTTTATAACCATGCAGCATCAATTTTAACTGTCTTTTTGTGGCTATCTGTTCCTTGTTTGGTTTTGTGTCTTTGATTTTAAAAACATGTGCCCGTTCAAACAAGTCCATTATTTAAATTATACTCTATAAAATCTTCAAGAATATTAACTAATTTCCCGGGAATGAAAAGTAAAAAAATCCTCGTCGTATAGTATTTAATTCTTGTTATAAAGTGTTGGTTAAATTCTATTAGACATTAGTCTTTGGGTAACTCGTATTGTTAATAATTGTACAGTGTACTCACAAATCACTAATCACATCACAATCTCATCTTGAGGGTTGTCAAATAGTTTACACTTTACAGATAAGTCAAAAGAATCTTTTGATAGATGGTGTCATGACTCTACTAAACTATTTGAGTGATTACTCATTTCTGATTGCCAATTGCCATAGGAAGTTCTAGTATATAGTTATATGTCCCAGTTACAGAATATATTTAATCATCTATGGAAAAAATATTTACATTTAAAAGATTAGACCTATATTGACAATCTATTCAAATTCATTTATGCCATTTAAAAACATGTAATAAATTCTAAAAACGGGTAACAGAGCGTTTAAAAAAATAATATATTTATTTTACCGTGAGGTCAAACTTCTCAAGCCTAGATAGATTTTTTTCAATTTGGTATGGGACCAAAGTATATTTCATGTCGCTACGTCAAATTAACGTGAAGACGCAAGCTGGGGCTATTATAGTTCATAAAACAATAAATGTTGACAAATGAAAGAGAATATAGATGTTTGATTTTATTTATATTATGTATTGTAACCACTGTTGATTCCAAGAGATAAATATACATTCCATGATTGTATTCACTTTTAATACAGTCTGTACGAATGATGCACTACAAATCACTGAGGCAGTGAATCTTTAAAGACTTAAGGGTGTATCTTAAAGTCAGGCTTCACGATACAATCTTAAGAGAAGCTAGTTAGAACACTTTATTGCGCTTGGAAAGTAGCCAGGAAGTCGGTAACAATCTTCTTAAGTGACGCGTCGGACTCTGGTGTGATTTGTCCATCCTTGGCAATGGTGCTCAAGAGACCTTGGTGGCTGGTCTTGATATGTTCTGTGAAAGCCTTTTCAAAAGCTGTGATCTTAGTTGGGTCAAGTTTGTCGAGATGACCACGGACACCACAGTAGATGATAGCAACCTGTGAGTAGCAATAAAAACATAGTTGTTATAGTAAAATAATGCAATTAATAAAAAAATATGTTTTAAATTTATATACCTGTTCTTCAATAGCCATTGGAACATACTGTCCCTGTTTGAGCAGCTCAGTAAGACGCATGCCTCTGTTCAGCAATTGTTGGGTAGCAGCATCCAAATCAGAACCGAACTGCGCGAATGCAGCGACTTCACGGTATTGGGCCAACTCCAGCTTCATGGAACCAGCCACCTGTAAACAATGGTTGATTTTTTAAAAACTTAGTAAAATATGTAATATAATTTACAATATCTTAAGATTAGGATTGTAAGAATTACTGGTTTAAATAGAATATTTTTAAAATTGTTTTTTATCAGACATAATGGTAAAATGACGTACTTAAAACTCATGAATGATTTATACATCGCTAGAAATAAGTTATAAGTTAACCTGCTTCATAGCCTTGGTCTGGGCAGCAGATCCGACACGGGATACAGACAGACCGACGTTGATGGCGGGCCGGATACCCTTGTAGAACAGCTCAGTCTCCAAGAAGATTTGTCCATCCGTGATAGAGATCACGTTGGTCGGAATGTAAGCGGACACGTCACCGGCCTGGGTCTCAATAACCGGCAAAGCAGTAAGAGAACCACCGCCCATCTTGTCAGACCTAAAACATATTTTCCATAAAAATTAACTTGTAGTTGAGGACTGAATTAAAATGAATAAAACGGTTTTTTATTTACTTACATCTTAGCGGCACGCTCGAGTAGACGGGAGTGGAGGTAGAACACATCACCAGGGTAGGCCTCACGACCTGGGGGACGACGCAGCAACAGCGACATCTACATGCACAAATTTATTTACAAAAATGTAGAACCGAATTGTATTCCCCGCAAAAATTATGAGCTATTTCGTGAACATATAATATTTAAAAGTTTAGTTTACCTGACGATAGGCAACAGCCTGTTTGGACAGATCGTCATAGATGATCAATGCATGTTTGCCATTGTCACGGAAGAACTCCCCCATGGCACACCCAGAGTAGGGTGCCAAGTACTGCAGAGGAGCAGCATCAGATGCGGTGGCAGACACGATAATTGTATAGTTAATGGCACCTGAACAATAATTATATTAATTTAATAACAGATTTCAGCTAAAGTATTCAATTCTTAAATATTAAACTATCACTTTTAGGCTAAAATTAAATGTCAGTCAACTGCTTATATAAGCAGTTAAAAATAAAAAATTTACCAGCATCTGTCAGTCTCTTCAGAATCTGGGCGACAGTAGATCTCTTCTGTCCAATAGCAACATAGATGCAGTACAGCTTTTTCTTCTCATCTTCCCCTTTGTTGAAACGCTGCTGGTTGATGATGGTGTCAATGGCCAGAGCAGTCTTGCCAGTCTGACGGTCACCAATGATCAACTCACGCTGACCACGACCAATGGGTACAAGAGAGTCAACAGCCTTAATACCTAAAATTTAATAAAATATAATATTTATAAAGTCAAATATATCATGTAAAATACTTACACGACTTACCTGTTTGCATGGGTTCGCGTACAGACACACGTGGGATGATACCAGGAGCCTTGATACCTACACGCATACGGGTCTTGGTATCAATAGGGCCTTTGCCATCAATGGGGTTACCCAAGGCATCTACAACACGTCCCAAAATCTGTTCTCCAACAGGCACATCTACGATGGCACCAGTACGCTTCACAATATCACCTTCCTTGATGAGCTTGTCATTACCAAATACAACCACACCCACATTGTCAGCCTCCAAGTTCAGAGCCATACCCTACAGACAACAACACTAATTTTAAACATGCCTTTATTTTTTCATTAAATTATGCACAAGTGCTATTAATTACAAAATAAATAGTACTCAATAAATATTTGTTTTTATATTTCTGTACACAACAACATTAGTACCCAACCAACCCATGTGAAAATCACCACTCTTATCTTTATATTATAGAAACTTTTTGAAAAAATTTTGATCCCAAGAAATAATAATATTTTTTTTGCATATTTCATCAAATGATGATGATGATAAAGTGAATATAAAATCAGAAGCCTACAAAAATAGGCTAAATTATAATATAAATTCCATTCTGATCAAGAAATCTAATTTATAAAAATTTATACATTTGGGGTAAATTATATATTAATAACACAAACCTTGAGACCAGAGGAGAATTCCACCATCTCCTCAGCTTGGATGTTCTTAAGTCCATAGACACGAGCAATACCATCACCAATGCTCAACACACGACCAGTCTCTTCTAAATCGGCCTGAAACATTTTTGCATAACTTTATGTGAAATATCCTAATCAGATACCTAATTATTTATGATATTATATGCAATTATATTCTATAACCTCAAATCTAGCATTGATCAAAAACAGCTGATAATAGATGTTGACAGTTTATGTAACACAAACCTTGGGTGCAGCACCGAGGATTCTCTCCTCCAGGATGGCGGAGATTTCGGTACCTCGTGTAGGAGCGGAGACATGGAGCTTGCGAGATGCCACCGCTGCCACAGGAGCAGCTACTTTCGAGATCTGAATTAACATTTTACAGAAATTAGCCTACAGTTAAAACGCTATTAACGTACGTCAACTGAAATACGCTTTCACTAATACACTAATTAACATCTTATTGGAAGACCCTAACAAAATGGACATGGTATCTGACAACCAGCCGATCGCCCTCTATTACATAACATCACTTTTGAGAACCGCTATTTTATATATATTACATGGAAAAAAAGCATTTTTGACTAAGTTTACTTACATAATTAATCAATAAGTAACCTATTTCCATTTATTTTGCCGAAATCCTTAAAATATACCAAAAGAAAAACGACATTCAGGATGGTTTGGTTATCCAAGTATTTTAGCAACCGATAAATATAATGGGGGTATAGTTACCTTTGTAGCGGCATTGGGCAAGCGCCTGGCCACCGAAGAGGCCACACGAGCGGAGATGAGCGACATTTTACACTATTTCTTATTAATTTTATAATAAATTAGACAACTCTGATGTTCTCCGCTCGGAACTCGTCGCGATATTACCGGAAATGACAGAATTGATAATTGTCTATTGCGAACTGAACTTAAAAAAGGTTTCGTTCAAAAACGTGTAATTTCCTGTTATTGCTGTTTATGAATCCTTTTAATTTTTTATACACAATTTTTTTTTAAATACATCTTATCATTAAATAATGCATTAAAAATAAATTTACTTTTTTTGATCTCAAATAAATCCGTTTAAAAAATGTTAAAGTAGTTTTCTCTATGCTTATGTTACTTGACAGCACTCAACACAGTAGTCAATAGTCATGTTATATATTTTGACAGTTTTATTTTTGAATAGCTTTTAAACTTCAAAGATAAATTCTGTGAAAATGTTTTGTGATATTGCGTTTAAAAATTAAAAAATTGAAATTAATGTTTAAGTATTTTATTTGGTGTAATGGCTATATTCGAAAAATTGTCTCAAATTAAACATATTCAAGATGATACCGATAATCTTGTTTGTACTCTAGAAAATGCACAAAATATTAACAAACATACAGTCTGTATTTCTTTAAAGTTTATGTTTTGCCAGGTATGACAGTCTATTCCAGTGGTTTTAATATTTTAGGAATATATATTGCGGGTTCAGAAGGGACCTAGCAAGGAGAACAAATGGACAGTGTCTCGTAGATACAGAGATTTTGCATCTTTGCATTTAAGTATTCAACAGGCTTACATTGACCTTCCATTACCCCCAAAGAAGTTAATAGGAAACATGCAACCTTCTTTCATAGCTGAGAGACAAGTAGCCTTACAGGTTGGTGACATACAATGTTGTTTTTAAACCACTCTATAATTTAACAAAAATAATGTACAATAAAATAATCATTAAGTCATTTGCGAAATATAATTACAGCATGTTTCTTTAAGGATACGGTTATTAAATGTAGAACTAATATATGGCTGTATTAGTGGCACTTGTATTTAATATAGTAATTGCTCTTCTCAATTTGTGTTATTCTTATATTGCAGCACTATGTAAATGAAATTTTAAAATACCAAATATTAGCATTATCATTACCAGTAAGGAGATTTTTGGATCCTTGTAGTTATCCTCTACATTTAGCTGGTGAGTACTATTAATAATATCTATTAGGTATGATATTATTTATGCACAAAGGACCTAACAAGCGTCTAAGTGTGGAAACTGAGTCCACCAACCACCACATATAAGAATGATAGTTTATGGTTTTCTTACAAAACATACATCTCATAACAGTAAATAAAGTTTTAAGTTTGTTGATCATTTCATATTTCATAAAATTATTACAGAAGAAGCACTTCAAACAGTATCCATAGCACTAAGGGGAGATGGTCAATATGAACTTAAGGGTCCACTGCATTCCATCAACTGGAGGATAAGGAAACATTATTTTCATGTATGCTTTTTATAAATGTTTTAATTCTTACTAAATTTAAAAAGTGTTTCAAAATCTACACTAATATGTATCTAAATGGGATATTATTTTAAGTATTTACCTAAAGAACTCAGGCATTGAATACAATGAAGAATTGCTGTATTAATGTATTTATAAACTGTTAGACCACGCGCCCCACTTATAATTATATCAAAGAGTATATTTAGTGAAATATAAAAATTTATTCAATATTTTATTATTGGTTTATTAATTGGTTCAATGACAAGTGAATCAAATCGAAAACAAATGAGAAAGCATTGTTATAAATAAGATTTTATTAGCATTCTTTGTCCTACAATATTATTATTTTATTAATCCAGGTTGTTGACTCAAAAAGGACAAATTGTTTACTTGCTTGGCAGAGTTATGGACCAGATAAGCATTTACATAATAAAGATTTACAAATTGCTCTCAAGAGTATGCAAAGTTTATCAGTAAGTATAAAAGTATTTTAAACATTTAGAGGGATAATATTACTTTTAAATCAAATTGGTTATTATTTATTAGGTATTTGATAATGAAAATATTTTAAATTGAGATTGGTTATGATTGTGCACTTATCTTTCCAGCATCCATTTATTGGTGAAATTTTAACATTTCATATTTTGGAGAGTGGAGCGTTTGTAGTGAGACAATTACACGAGAAGGGAACTATGAGAGATCTGCTGTATGGAACTGAATATGATAAAAGTTATTTAGCAAAATATGGAAATCCTAAAGTTAGAAAACCGTTTACAACCGGTCAAATTGCTCACTACGGATATCAAATATTGCAGGCTCTGAAGTTTTTACATGATAAAGGATTACCACACGGTATATAATTTTACTTGTCGTTTTTATTACATTGAAAAGTTATTTAATCGCGTTATTAGATATTGAGGTAACAAAATTGCAATCCACATAGATCCCAAATTGAAAAATAATAACAATTTCAGGCCACGTCCACCCCGGTAACATCGTGATAGAGAACCAAAGAGCGCGACTTACGGACACAGAGAATATTCTGTTTGGCGTTGCGAGCGTTCACAGACCGTATTTACGAGAACTGAGACGGGCCTCGTCGGAAGCTATAGACGTATACGGATTTGGACGGACGCTGTATGAAATGGTGTACGCCGAAGTCCTGGACGGCTGTTACTGTGATAAACTTGACTCGAATGCATTCTCTCAGTCGTTTGATGATTTAGGTCAGTCATTGTTCCCACTTAGTGGACTTAAGAACGCTTTTATTTTTCAAATCGGAAAGTCAGTAGATCTGAATTATAGAATTATATACTGGCTTTAGAATCTATTCTGCACCTCACCCTCTCGAGATCGTCGTGGAAACGGGGCGGGGCGACACTGGACGAGCTGTTGCAGCATCCGTTCTTCATTCGCGCCCTCAACGGGCTCGTCGAGAGAGACGTCAAAGGCCATCTGAAGTTCCCTCTCACGCTAAAAGAGCAAATCAAGGAGGCCGCGCTTAGGGTAGAGACGAGGCTGAAGACTGATCAGAAGTTGGTAAGCTCAGCTCGAGAACTTTATTTAACTAATGTATACATAATATTGTAAACCTATTTTAAAAGAGTAAGTGTGGAGTTTCTTGCCCATTCTTCTCCACACGAAAATACCTTTTGGAAGGGGCAACTAGAATCTTCTTTATATTTTTTTTAAGGTTCAAAAGTGCCATTTATTTATAAGACCACCATCTTATTGAAATAAATGATTTGACTTGACTTTATTTGATGCTTAAGGTTTTTTATAGCTTTTAATTGAATTGAAAACAAACGCGCAGATTACTGAGAATAATTTTATCTTTTTTACACTCGGTGCAGTAAGCCAATTACTTTAAGTTGTTCAGCTCATTGTTATTATATATCATAGCTTTATAATTTCACGTGACGTTGAGACAATAAGGAGTTTTTAATTATTCTAACAGTTGAGGACCGCACGTCGCGAAGTAAGGATACAGGAAATACTGGGCTCAGACGAGGAGATGAAGAAGCAGCGACGAAGAGCGGTGAGATTAATGATTATCAGACGCCGCTTGTAATGTTCTAGTCCACTACTTTCTTTGTAAAATTGTAAAATTTACAGAAGAAAAGGGACAGCATGTGGAAGTCGACGTCGTCTCTGGCGGAGACCGTGCGATCTCAGTCCGCCAGCACGACGTCTTCGCCTACGCCGCCCGCCACCGCCCACTTTTCAAGTGATTTTTTTTTTTTAATACAGTGTAAAATCTTTATAACGTTATTCGTTATAACGTAAAACTCTCTATAACGTAAAATTGAAATACATTTGTTTGGTTTAACATAAAACCCATTCATTAATACACCTGAGGTAATAAATAGCCGTTTCGCCTTTGTTATTGTTAATTGCATTTATACGTGTGCCATTATTCGTAAACAAACTGTCAAGATGGCCAGACAAAATACTCAAAAAATACAAAACAAATATTGGCATAGCAAAACACATCGGGCATAGTTAACAGAATATATGTGTTTAGAATAATTTACCTATTGATAGTAATAAAATTAGAAATTATTGTAATTCGAAGTCTCTATCATGAAAAAAAAATGGTGCGTGTACTTATGTACGCGCGTAAGAAGTTATACTTCTTTGGCTTTCTTTATTTTTTTTTAATATTAAATAATTAATAATAAATATTTAGCGTTAATAATTTAACAATATTTAGTATATTATTCAATTATTAATTAATATTAATAATAATTATTATTTATTGTATTATTAATTCAATTTAATAACTAGGTATGTTTCATAACCTATTAACTAAGTAACAATAGGTCTTTGTGAAAAAGCATTGCTAAATTTCTTTGAAAAAATAATTAAAACTCCTTTATTTGTTTAAAAGGTACTACAAAGGTCATTATGGTCATTCAAAATTCTTGGCATAGCTGCTTACGTCACGCATATTCTATTTCTTTTTACTTGTAGATTGTCTTATTCCCATCTCGCTCGCGCACGCTCGGCGCCCATACTGATAATTTTGTGTCACGATGCGCGCGCATCGTCAAATTTCACTCTCATCAATTTTTGCATAACGCGCCTAAAGAAGTATAACTTCAAAAATGCTCGGTCCCTTGAAATTCGTTATAAAGAGTTAACACTGTTTATTGATATTTGTTTCTTCGCCATTTCTTCTACTCGTCCTCAGTTTGTGTCACGTGTATTCGATCTCTTTAAATAAAAGTTTGATCTGTAGAAACGAGACCTTGAGCCGTGATTAGGACGTTTTGTTTCAGCGACAGGTGACTCGAGTGGCGCCTCTCTCCCCGCGGCCTGCGAAGGGCGTGGCGCATTGCTTCAAGCGATTTGCTCCTTCAACAAAAAATCGCTCGCTAGAGTCGGTTCGCGGTAGTTCTGTTAGAGTATTTTTATGTAATTTTTCTACGTTATTACGTTACTGATTTTTATTTGGAATTGTAAAAATATGAAATGACAGCTGTTTGTAAAATTTTAGACAAAGCTAGATTTACGATGAGGTGATACTTCCCTTTGACGGTATAAATTATGATTGGAACGAACTGTTTAGAGATTGTAAGGAACGATTTGTGTACATTTTATCAGATCTTACCGGTTGAGCTTTCCCGCGCGCACCATAAACAGACAATTACATAATTAACTTAATGTAAGCCATATCTCTCAACATACGTACGTGTAATGTACATTTGTGTGCGGAATACTTTCAAACTAGTGATAACGATGACTGGTCATTTATATATTTAGTTGAATGTTATCAATTTGTTATTTTAAGGATCATTTATAATGTATTTATTAGCTTTAATTAAATTTAGATTTAAGAAATATATACATTATTTTTTATTATATATTATAATTTCGTTTAAATTTAAGAGAATATAACAATAGTTGATAAAAAAAATGTTTTATTAAAAATAATTAAGACGATTAGATCAACCGCCGATAGAGTAAGGTATTAAAAAGATAGTGGATTTTAAATAAAAGACAAATTTACATAATAGAATTTTACTTTCGAAGATACATCTCGGACACAATAATACCTATCGCTTATCTACACTTTAATAACTCACAACATTAATGATAATTACTTCAATCTACTTAATCCTTTAAACAAATTATAGGAGTTTCGTTCATAAAATTATGCAATTTAAAAAATAACAAAATAAAAGTCGAGTCATAATGTCTGAAAAAAAAACGAATACGTATTCACGATGAAAACATACAAAAATAAAAGGTTAAATACGAAACTCGTATGTCGAACTACACTTACATACCTACATACATAACAAAACAAGGGCTTAAATCACTTAATATGACGGCAATCGAGTTCGTCAACGGTCCACATATCACATGTGAGCAAAAATAAATGTACTTCTACAAAAATATTATCCCACTGCAAAGACAGTAGTAGCACGAGCTTATATTTATTCTAATTCAGTGATATCGTCAATATCATCCAAGTCGAAATCTTCGAGAGTTTGCAACCCTGGAACAAAGAGTAACTGTTTAGATATAAAATAAAAAATGTTTATTATGAAATATAAGATACAGGATCACTTATTCCACGTCATTAAATTTGAATTTGTAGGCATCCCTACTCATCGGCAAAGAAGACAGAGGATGTAGGCCAAAAGAAGAAGCCGACGAAAAAAACTCTCGGTACTCTTTTAAAATAGCAAATCATCAAACAACACTTATTTTAAAACAAATATCGCAAATTAATTAGAAGTAGCCTGTCTAGCACTAGTCCCAGGCCCTTTTATCAACTAGATAATCGTTGACTTTATAGTAAGCCTTTTTACACAGATTTCTTTAATACATTTCTTAAATTAATTAAAAGGCAGACAAAAGAGCCTCTGGGATTTTATTAAAGAAGAGTATCCCTTTTCATAAAAAAGGATTACTAACTTGAGATAGTCTAGTACGGGGAAATTGCAATCTGCGTTTGTTCTATTCTAGTAAACTTATCACTAATTTTATATACATAATATTTTCATAAATATATTGCGAGGGAAAGGTAAGTTAAGTAATTAATTTCCTTGAATTTATCTCTCTCTTTCCATACATCACTTCCAATGACGAGCTTGTATTAAACTATGTTTAGAAGAGCTCACCGGCCAGCCTGCCAGTATGGTGCCGGTGAAGCGAAACTATTCATAGCTGATATCCAGGGGATACATTCTCAGCTGTATAAGTGACAAGTGTAATAACGAAAAACTTGATATTTTAACCTTATTAGCGGGTGTTATTGATTCTATTAATAAAATACTCACTCTTAGGTTTCTTCATATCAAGTTTTGACCACGGCGATGGACGTTTATTGTCCAAATTAGGCGTCTTTTTCGGTGACGGTGTCGGTACAGGGAAAGCCCTGTAAAATAATACCTTATAATAACAATTTATGAGATTAGAGTTACACTATTTGTATTTAATAAAGCGATTTGACCGGTAATTCATGCTAGATGATGTAATGGAACATTGAATGTAAAAAATGTAATTTCAATAGAATGGAATTTGCTTCACTTCTTTATATGAAAACATTATTTTTTAAACGTTGATACATAACATCTTCCACTCTTATTTAAAAATACTCACGTTAAGTCGACAAAAGAGCCAGCAGCTTTCTTGGTTGAGGAGGCATTTGTTGCAGTGCGTTTGATGCGGCTCGAGTATTTACCACTGAGGTCAGTACTAGAACTCGCGTTCGTTTGAGTCTTTAGGTTCGTTTTGAAGTTTGCATTCGTCCATTTGGCTTTCTCCAATCTCTTGAGTAGCTCCAGTTTGTGCCTTTTTTTATCCTCACTTGATTCTAAATCTGTGAGATCGAGTGTGACCGAAGCCGGCTTTTTGGACGCAGACGTCGCAGTCTTTTTAATTAGGGTGATAGTGGGTTTGGCCTTACTGGTGTCTTGGCTAAGTAGGTCGTTTAATTTCTTTTTATAATCACTTTCATGTAAAACACTAAGTTTTTGGGAAAGGTTTAATTTCAGTAGACTGGCCGTTTTCGATTTCGTAGGCGGTTTTTGTAGTACTGTCTGCTTAGCTATTCCTTTGCCTTCTATTATGTCCGGCGAAGGGGCTTGAATGTGAACAACGTTTTTGAAAATTGACATAGGATCGTCATCCGGAGGAGTAGGGGATCGAATTGTGCGATATGTACGATTGGTAGTCGAACTCGTGGTCGGCGGAGGATCATCGTCCAGTATTTCGATATCGGGAAGCACTTTCGTGGATACAGTATTTTGTTTACGATTCGTTTCCGAACTTCGAGCAGATACAGTTCCTGGTTTAATATTAGATTTAATATCCACTCTTCTTTCTCCACTCTTATTTATTTTAACGACATAGCTAGACGCACAGCTTGTTGTGCTTTTAGTTTTCGGAGCGATATTTTGTCTATTACCATACGTCACCTGGGCGGCTGTCGGCAAAGGTTGAGCGATAGTTGGATGCGAAACGGTCGTAGAAGCTTGTTGTTGTACTTGCAATTGTCCAGCACTGGTTATCACGTTACTCGAAGGACTATCCTTCGGCAGGATGACGTTCTCGACGGGAACCGTATGTGAACTAACTCTGGGAGCGGAATGTGTATTAACGCCGGTAATTAAGGGCGGTTCTTTCAAAACGATGTTTTGTGTCTGGAGAAAAGGAAGCGATGACGAAGGTATGCAATAATATTTTTTCGTAGGGTCTAACATATTCTTGATCGCAGGGGGAAGGACGAACGGATTGTTGGCCTTGAAACTTGCTGTCTGTAGCAGAAGTGGGGCGGGGGTCGGAACGGCGCCGGGAGTGTTTCGGAAGGAGGACGACAGACTCACGGGAATCTCGGCTCCTTGAGGCTTCATCGTGGAGTCATCGTCGCTGTCCGAAAGACATATAGGGTCCGAATTAAATGCTACACTGGCTGTTTTAGGTTGACTGCTTCCAGATACTTCACTCACTTTTTCTACTGTTTTATTGATTGTGATAGCAGTCGACGCTCTCGTGGTATTCGGGGTTATTTTTTCGTTTGGTACACGGTTAAACGTCGTGGAAGCATTGTTCACGGAAGACGTGTGTTTTGAGGGATTAAGAATTGGAACAGAGGTTTGCGGTTTTGGTAATAATTTGGGATAATTTATCTGCGCGGTATCAGGTAGCGGTGGATGGGCGGGTCTAGGTCTCTTGGCGAGTGTTGGCTCTCGAGTAGGAGGCTGCCGAATAAACTGAAAGCCCTCTTGAGACGTGGATTGAACGGTTGTACATTTTGGAATTGGAGATGGCTGGCGAACGGGCGCAAGGATGACGTCATCGTCGTCATCGGGCAAAATACACTCTTCCACATAGGAAGATTTCTTAGCGGGACTACCGGGGCCGGGGCCGATGAACCTGTCAAACATGTCGCATGATATTTTAAGCTACTTCTTTGTGATGATTTATGTTTATATTAAATAAAAACTCACATGCCGACGGGGAAGATATTACTCGCACCCGGTCGCGGAGTCTCGGGCTTCTCGACGATGGTCGTGGTCGGTGGACTCACTTTAGCTTGCATTTTTTCCATCTGAAGTTTACGTGACTTGGGTCCCACGAAGGGTTTCCTCTTGGGAGTTTCTTCTTTCGAAATCACTATCTGTAGATCGTCCTCATCGTCTGTTATGACCTGAGCAGTAGTCGATGGTGGCGTTGATGCAGGGACCACTGGTTTAATTGCTGTAGACGTTTGTACTTTTGCTTGTATGTCGCGAGTAGAGGCCGATGCAGAAGATACGTCGTCTGGCAGATGCATTCTCTTCAATAGAGGTTTACCTAGGATCTAAAGACAAAAATTAAATACATATGATCTGTATGTGGTCTCTGGCAGAATGACCAGCGCTGTGGAACAGTCTGCTCCTCGACATAAAACTGAGCCAGGGCCAATTACAACCACAGCACACACCTAAAACGTACCTTGTTCTTTGCAAGAAAAAAAATTGTTATCTCTCATTCTTTTTTTTTATTATTGTTATTTTGTGGGTTTCTGTGCCTGTGTTTTTAATAAATGTTATGTCTTTGTCTTATGTGTATGTTCTTTATATAACACGCGTTTATATAATGTAATAAATCAAGGGAGAAATGTAAAGTCTCGTAGCAGCTAATGGTGCAAGAGAAAATAAACTTCTATATTTGCGAGTGGTTAAGGAATAATAATAGGGTAAGCCATAAAGTAGACAGACAGAGATTTCGACATTTCTGCAAATTATTTCAAGTTTGTTATTATTGTTAAAATATGTTTTTACTTTATCAAAATAGTCTACTTCATACTAATCTGTGTACTACATCTAGTCTGTGTACTATACTAATAAAGTGTCTATTCTCAATCTTGAACCTGCAAGTCATTCGTGTTTTATTAATTATTAGTGCTAAATTGTGGCTGATATTGAGCAAAATCTAACAATTTCTGCGCGTAATTGGGGATCATGCTTTAAAGTAAAAGAAAAATTTCGGATAAAATTTACACGAAGACATAATATTGGTTGCCTTGCCTTATAACTTAAGTAACCTGCTTTTTTTATTTATGTATGTTTTTGTAGAAGGTAATAAAATGTAAATAAAAAAAATTGTGTCATCAACAATACCCGTTGCAAGTTCAGTCTTTTCAGATTTGGGTATCCTGTTAGGCAGCGAATTGACATATGAGCATCACATCAGTATGGTTAGTATAAAACGTCTAAAATTTAGGGTTTTCTAATCAGGAAAACGTAGTATTTTACGGACGTTCAATCTAAAAACATTCTTAATGACAGCACTGTTCGGACACACTTCGACTGCAGTGTAGTTTGCGTTGTCGCGGTTCGGCGAACGAGTTTTTCGACACGAAAGAATACAAAAAGCTACACCTGATACCTTGCTCGTGTCTCTGGTCTTACTTCTAAACGCCTTTCCGATATTATAAATTTAAAACGTACAGCAACGTACAACGTCAAACATGTCCCTTCAAAATCGGCTTGATTTAATAGACTTCATTTTCCCTTTTAAAAATATCTAAAACCAAATAATTGATTGTCCTCAATTACTGAGTTAAATAAATTTTAATATCCCAAACAAGCCATCATATTAAGTCTTTCCATCGAAGTGTACTCGGTGCAATCTTTGAAGCGCATGTATTTTAATGCTTGCTGTGTTATCTTTTAAGGTGTAAACTTATTACTTTCTTACTTTCAATTTTGTGTGGTTTTAATGTTCTCAACAGAAGTTACTAATTAATTAAAAAATAAAAAGATGTTCATGAGTTTTCATGAATTAAGTCATCGGCATTTTTATCGTCTCGTGTTCTGTGCTAACATACATATTGAATAATAATAATAATATGATTGGACAATTCACACCAATTGACCTAGTCCCATGTTAAGCTGGTGAAGCTTGTGTTATGGGTACTAGGCAACGGATATACATGCATATTATAGATAGATAGACATATAAATACATATTTAAACACCCAAGACCTAAGCACAACACCAAATGCTCATCACATCGATGTTCGTCTCAGCCGGGGATCGAACCCGGGACCCATGGATTCGCAGTCAGGGGTACTAACCACTAGACCAATGAGCCGATGTATAGGCAATAAGTGACAACCAGTAAAAACAATGCACATACCCTGACGGCGATGTCGTAGATGGGTCCGTCGGTGATGGGGTTCCCCGACGACTGCAGCTCCTTGAGCGCCTTGCCGGTGCTGTAGTGGGCGGCCATCACGGCCGCGTCGGCCGCGAGCATCGGGTTTCCCTTCAAGTAGGTGTGGGCTACGATCTTTATGAAGTTATCGTCCGTCAACAGAGAGGGATGCAACGGCACCGCTTCTCCACGGTCGGTTTCCTCGGCGGGTCGCATTTCGACTCCCCGTTTCGACGACCCCTTTGACTTCCTCCTGCCACTCTTCGAATACGATTTGATTTCCTTCCTCTTTTCTTGCGTCACGACGGGCGCATCGTCGACTTCGTCATCGCTGATCACGATGCTGCAGGCGAGGGATTTTTCGACGGACAAGTTTCCGTCCGGGGGCACGTCCTCGCTTTCGTCGTGTTTGCATTTGGATTTCTTCTTGCGGCCCTCGCCCGCTTCCCACTCGATATCCTCGGCGTGATTGGAGGGGTCGTCGTCGATAGTTTCGAAAGTCCGTTCGGCTCTCAAGGCGGCTCTGCGCGTGAAGCGTTTCTTTCTTTTGGAAGCCGAATCAGGATCGCGGCCGGCCCCGTCGCCCACGCTTTTCGATAATCTCTCGTTATCGGGCACCGGAATAACGTCGGCGGCGTCCGGGAGGGCGGAGGCCGACCTCGAGTTTAGGTCTCTCAGAAGCACCGACGCGATGCTGCTCGCCACCGGTTCGTCGATAGAAATATCACCGCTCATTCCGGACACGACGAGTCTCCTAATGTTGACGACGAGGGCGGTGATCTCTTCCGGTTTGGCGGTTTCGTGAAATTTGTGAGAGATGAGAATCTTCATAATTTTTTTGACTAATTCGTGCTCCGCGTCGTCGTCCTCGGGCGGGTCTCCCTTCTCGGCCCGGTCGGGAACGTCGGCCGCGATCGCTCTCCCCTTGGCCCTCGCGATCTTCGAGGACGGGATCGGTTCGGTCGAGGCGAGAGCTTCGAAGGCTCTCGCGGGGGGCTTCGCGTCCAGCAGGCGGTTGGCTTCGTCCGTCCGCTTCGCGGCCGTGACCACGTGGGCTCGATCTGTAAAACGCCAAAGATCAATCGAAGGCTCCGGCCGCGGCGCAAGTCGCGTCGGGCGGCACACGTACGTCCTTCGGCGTGCTCCAGCTGAAACTGTTGCCAGGCGGCGGCGCGCTCGTCCTCGGGCAGCGCGGGCTCGGAACCGCGCAGCAGCGAGTCGTGCTCGCGCACGGCGTGCACGGCCCCGGCGCCCGCCACGCGCAGCAGGGCCGGGTCGCGAACGCCCGGCGCCATCCCCGCCAGCACGCCCCAGCCGTCCTCGTCCCAGCTGCGCGCAACGAGATTAATATCGTCGGCGGGTAGACGAACGGACGTACACGATACGCCTCAGAGGGAGATCCGCGCGCGTACCTGTACAGCTCGGTGAGTTCGGCCGAATTGTAGTGCCTGTCGATCTGCTGCTCGTCGACGACCCGACAGGAGACCGCCTGCTTCGTCACCGACCGTTCGTACATCTTCTGCTCCATGGTGCCCTGGAGCAACGTTCAAAATTATAGCTCGGAACGATTCACGTACGACGGTTCCGAACCCGACTCGGGGCCACGTACCATAGCGACGAGACGATATATGAAGCAGTCTTTCTTCTGTCCGAATCGGTAGACTCTGAAGATGCTCTGAATGTCGTGCGCGGGATTCCACGACGTGTCGAGGATTATGACTCGGTTGGCGGCGGTCATGTTCAAGCCGAGACAGCCGGCGCGAGTCGATATCAGGAAGAGCCTGCGCAGGAGAACCACTCTTTAGGTCGCGACGAGGTCGACGTGCGCATCGAGAGGGACGGAACTCACTTGGTCCTAAGGTTATGCGGCGCGTTAAACTCCCTGCACCACTTCTGCCGCACCTCCGCGGGCACCGAGCCGTCCAGGCGATAGTAGTCCCGCCCCAAGCTCCACTTGTTGATCGATCGCAGGAAGTACTCCAAGGTGTCCATCGTGAACAGGGACGTCGAGAATATGAGTCTGTTTACAGAGAAAACTGATCAACGAAACGCTTCATAGACGGAAAATCTGAGCGAGAGAAAGAAACTCACACTTTGTCCCCGAGGGCCACACATTCGTCGAGCAGGTTGAAGACGACCTGGAACTTGTTGGAGCTGTGCAAGGAGTTCAGCGTGTCGCCCCCCTCCAGGTATTGCGGCCACCACATCTCGGTCGGGGCCGGCTTCACGTCTTCCGACGCCGCGATGTCTTCGTGCGCCAGGTCGTCCTCCAGCTTTTCGACTGCAATTTCATCTTAGCTCTAGCCTTCCACTTATAACGTCCGCCTACTGAGCCGCTACGCTACGACTGTGTCAGAAAATACCTTTAATATTCTTATTCCCCTCGTCCCTGGACTTAGTTTGGAAATTGTGCAGCACTTGCGGGTGCGTCCAGATCTTCTGCAGCGTGTGAAAGTCCTTGAGCACCATCTGCCTGCCTCTCCTCGCGTAGTTCTCCAAGTAGTGCTTGTACATGTTCCGCTGGCACTCGGTCAAGGGGATGAACACCGTGTACTCGTATTTCTTGGGCAAATAAGGGTAAAGCACCGAGGCCTCCTGGCGCTGGAGGCAGCCTTCCAGCACTTTGTGCAGGATGTGAGTCCGGGTCTTCATCAGCCTTATGTCTTCCTCTATCGAGTCTCGGTGCTGGCCGTTCATGATCGGGTTTTCGAATCTGAACATTCAATTGCAAAAGTGAAATAGCCATTTCGATTTCGTTCTGAAATTTATACTAATTTTATTGAAGAGGAGAACGCCACCTTAACGCCGAGAGATTATTTGGGTAACAGGTATATAATCGATCGATCGAGGGCCGGGGCTAGCCTGGCTTGACTTGAATAATGGTTGGAATGGTAAAAAACAGCATAAAGTACCTGTTTGAAAACTCGTAGTACGTCCCCAAGAGGTGTGGCTTGACGAAGTTGACCATGCAGTAGTACTCTCTGAGGTTATTCTGCATCGGAGTGCCGGTCAGCACTATGCGGCGGTTGGTGGTCACCCTGCTCATGGCCACCGCCAAGACCGAGCTGTCATTCTTCAGCAGATGTCCCTCGTCGCATATGACCACGTCGGGGCCCGGGTCCAACAGGGCCGTGCGAATCTTCTTAATAATTGTCGGTCTGACGTCATCGATGTCCGCGTCCAGCGTCGTGAGACTTCGGAACAGTTCGTAGCCGACGATGAATATTCCACCTCCGCTGTACCAATCCTCTAATTGGTAAGCCCGTTCGTAAGTTTTCTTCAGTTTTGACAACTCGAACACCTGTCAAATGTCAACATTTCAATGTCTTAGGTGACAATTATTGAACACAAATTCAGCGTGAACCTAATTCGCCTACCTGCAATTTTCGTGTCATTTTTTTAGACTTGAAAAAAAAAATATTGAGCGTTATACGAAGGCCGATCAATTTCCTTGGAAATAAAAAAAACTGTCAGGTATAATCCAACGTTTTTTTGCCGGGGTAGGCAGAGGTCGCGGATCTCCACTCCACCCAAACATTAGATATAATAGTTTTTGAGGAATAGAAGTCATTTGTTTGCGTCACGTCGGAGCGTGTTTTTAAAAATGTATAAAAAGTCACGTGGTAATAAAATATTGCTTGAAAAGGTGAACTGGTAACAAAACCAGCAAGACTTGAGAGCAACATTGAGAGTTCCTGCTCTTTGAGGCGATCCCCGCACTGGACGCCCTACGGCAGCGACGGAACAAATGATTACTGGAAAATCCTCCTCACCGTAACTAGCTTCTAGTGTTTTCTATCTACTACCGCGGTAGGTGCAAGAGATTTTAAGGGATTAGGCAAAATATCTTTTTAAGACGGAATTTTAGATAAAGATAAACAAAGTGTAAAAAAACTAAATAACGTTTAATGACACTCATTATCACTTTTATTGAACACCTAGCACGAGGGAATTTGGTAGTTTTAATCAAATGTACGGTAAACTTCACCTTAATTTCGTTTGTCACGGGACCTATCCATTTATGAATCTCGTCCACCCAATTGAGAACAGTCGACAGAGGGCAGCACACCAACACCCGACGAATGTTCAGCATCGGGTGAGTGAGAACCTGAAACGGAACATACAATTTATTATAAACTTATTTCATAGACATGACACTTATTACTAACGAAACACACAAAAGAATAATAATCAAAAAAAAAAGAAACGTAACAAACAAATTTTTAAAGAATAAAGTACATTTCAAGTGTGTAATGCGTGTGTGCTGTGGTTGGCCCTGGCTGCATTATGCCGAGGAGCAGACTGTTCCACAGCGCTAGTCATGAAATATACTGAATGTAAGTAAAGAAGTCTGATATAAAAGTATAAAGTGAATAAAAAAAAAGAATAATTGTTAAGAAATAGATAAATAAATATTTTTGGACGGATTAAAAACTAGATTTCGTGGGATTTTTGTTGGGTTAGTAGATGTACTTTATAACAACGACGAAATTTTACTTTAGTTAAAGATTTGTCAGCGGAGCAGCGCTATATTTAAAACTGCCACGAAATGATACTTAACTCCGAGTACAACTTCAAACTTTGTTCCCACTAACATTTCTACGTCAGAGGAGCTTTTTGTATTTAGGCTGTTTAGGATATACACCAAATAAAAGAAATGCCAAATACAGTTGTTGTCGTTGACAAATTTCATCAAATACAAAGATATCATTAAGTCTAAGGGTAGACTAGTCGCATTAGACTTTGCTCTGCCCCCCAACTACACAAACACAGCGTTTTTAGAGCAAACTACAATCTCTCCCTAGTGTTGGCTTAGCTAATCTCAATCCCAAAACGACCCAACTTTGATTAGCCTAACAAAAATAATGCCAAAATTTGCTTTACCATCATATCTTTTACTGGATTTTTATTTTTGTCGTTTTTAATGAACGGTGTTGCCATTTTGTATGGAGTTCCATAACTTGAAAATAAATTTATTCAAAGAAATTATAAATGATCTTGATAAATACCTATGAAATCATGAAATAAAATAATTACACATTATTATGGTATTTATTGTTGTTTATTTATATTATTTATGTAATTGTTCAAACCCATTTTTGAGAAATCTTAAAAATAACTGTGTGATTTTGTTTCACCGCCCTGCAATTGGCATATTTAACAACAAATTCAAACTTAACCTAACCAAAACATTGCGATCCGTTCTACTATAAAATTATTGTCATCTTTAAATAATTATACATTTTCTAAAGGTTACTCGTAATTTTAGTTATTGCAATAATAAAATAATGAATACATAATAACAATAAATTGAAGATATATGTGTACCGTTTTAGATTTTTAAATATTTGTTATTGTTAACTTTTTTAAAGGATAATAACAAAGTATTCATGAAATGAAAATAATTTTATTTTGACATTTTCTGTCTTAGCTTGGGCTTAGCTTAATCTCACCGTTAAAATGTCTATAAATACGAAATCATAGTTTAACCTTAGTGTACACTAAGCAAAGTTTTTCGTAAGGTAAGCGAGCAAAGTCCAAGTGCGCACTATAGATCTCACCTAAAACACACATGCATCAGCGAGTAAACCTTTACCGTGTGTAACAGAGCCAGGACTTGCAGCGTCTTCCCGAGGCCCATACAGTGCGCTAAGATGCAACCGCTTCCGGGATGACCGCCGCTCACTTGTTCCACGGTCTCGAAGCAGGCGTCCCACATGAATTTCACTCCTTCGTACTGGAAAACGGCCGGAACGAAGCTGTCAATACCATTATATTGGCGTGACGATTGGAAGAATCGATCGTAATGAAGGGAAGTAAACCTGATGAGCCTTCATGACGCCGGTGAAGTAGGGGTGTACGCTGGCGACGGGCGCGTTTTTGTCGAAGTCGTACTGCAGACACAGCTCGCCATTTATCACGACCACGTTCACTCCTTCTTCGCAGCCCAGTCGTTCTCTCTGCAATTTTTTATTTAGTTATATATAGTACGAAAGAAAATAAGGTAATTTAGCACTGCTGCGACCTAATCCCACGACTTTTTTCTTTCCAGCCAATCTAAAAAATATGTCAATCTATCATTTTCTAGCGAGCATAATGGCTTAGCGAAAAGAATTTTTAAAACCTGAAAATAATCTTTTGATATTACCAATAAGTAAATTATTTAATGGGTATTGAACTCGCAACAAACAAACTTAATTGGTTGTTATGGTCTGTCCGAATGCAACTCTAGATTTTAGAAGATAATTCTAGTAGAATAATATATTAATAAAATATTAATTACCAATTCAACCAAACGATGAGCGAGCCTCTGTTTCCTCTCGAACTCTTGCATGTTCGCCCTCACTGTGTCTCGCTGAAGGGACTTCTTGTCTATCACCTGTCACATAATTACATTATTATGACTCTTCTTTTATTCAACGTGAACATCATCTCCCTGGCTCAATCACAAACGTGAACACAGAAGACAGATATTAATAAAAATAAGCTAAATGTTATCGCAAATATTGACAAAGAGACACAAAAACAAAGTGATTTTATTTGGCTACGAAAAATTCTGAAACTACTCTATAACTATATTATTTTTAATAAAAAAGAAAAAGGTACCATGGGTATTAAATGTTCAACATGCACATGTAATTTAGTTAAAATACTGTAGTAGAAAAAAGAGTTAAAGAATCCAATTAGCAATGGCGAATTTAACATGGCATGTGTGTAAAGACGAAAATTATCACGAAATGGATTGGTAATATTGGTTATTTTATTTTTAGATAGGATCTGAAAGGCATAATAAATAAAAAGGATATTATTTTTCTGATTGACCAATTTAGAAGTATAATTTAAAAACCAAAATCAAATACCTTTCGTATATTCCGACGCCCCTTTCCATAGGTTTGCGAGGATCTTTTGCCGGATCCAGATTCAAACAAAAGTTCTTTAGCTAAGACCCTGTAATCAGTATTAATCTCTTTATTAATTAGTAAATTTCTAACATTAACATACCGCGTCTCGTGTCTTACGTTGCTGAGCATCAGGTGCTTGGAATTTCATTGGAATTTGTCACAGCAAACCAATGGTCTAATTAATAGAAAAAAAAATACAACATTAATTTTAATAATAGTTATAAAAAACATATTTACTTCATCTGCTTCCGTTTCTCGAGTAACTTCTTCCGGGATCTCTTTCCTCTTCCCCTGACAGGCCTCGGTCCATCACACTTTTCAATAAATTCGCTCACGCGTTTCGCTCCTTTCGCTTCGTCCTCTCTGCCATCACAAAAAAAGTTACTGACTAAACAATTATATTAGCGAAGTTATATCTAAATATAGTTGAAATTTATATGTTATATATTTAAAGGCTTTATTAAGTAAATCATGATTTTAACTATAAAAAACATGAACATACTGAGTTACTTCTTGTTTTTTCTCCATTCGTTTGAGCATTTTTTCTTTTCTGTTAACCCACTGCTTCTCTTCTTCTGATGAGGAGTCATCGTCGTCTTTTGCAGCACTTAGTTTTGATTTCTTTACTCCAGCTTTCTATAATCAAATATACACATAAAATAACGAGTCAAATTTAAAAGTATAGGTTATTTTTTAAGTTTTAAAATGTATGTTTAGAAGGCAAGATAATTAGTATGATGATCATCGGCCGTCGAAGCAGAACACAAAATTCCACCCGTATCCCCGAGACGCCCGTCGTTCCACCAGCCTTATGTGAAATGTTTCAAGTGTTACCGGACAAACTCGACTTAATCGAATGTATCGATTCTTAAAAGGCCGGCAACGCACTTGTCCTGTAAAAAAAATAATAAAAATATTTTTCCATACTCACAAACGAGTTCCTAATTTTCTGAAAGTCTTTCGAATCTGTCGGCGCCACTTCCTCCTTAAGAGCGACTGGAGTATGTAGGAGAGTCAACTCTTTATTCATCATTATATCTGCCGTGAGCATGACGTCAACTCCATCTGCGGTCTTTATAACTTTAGTTTTGGATTTTGAATTAATTTTAGTTCCTTGTGAAGTTTCCGGTTCCTGTTTCACTTCAATATATCCATTTGATTCATTTACTTGTTCTGAATCACTCTCATTGTCTCCCAAAAGAAGATTCTTAGCCAGATTGTTATCTGTATCTTGTATCTCCTAAGCAATTAAATTAACCACTATTATAAAAAATATATAACAGGATAAATATTGAAATAGACGAAAAAAACAGAGTTGTACCCTTGGGATTGAAAGAGAAGCAATACTTTGTCGTGAGGCAAGCTGTTCATTAGATGTCATAAGAATTGTAATTCGTGAATAATGTGGATTTACTTTAAGGAGCAAAGCTATAACACAATTGATAAATTTATTCCTAAAACTAGTATATGATAATACAAAGCAACTAGGTATTTCCACAACAGGTAAGCCTACTTTAACTCCATGATACAAGACTCCTTGTCGTGTATCCTATCCTAAGTACACATGCAGATATGCTGTTAGTGTGTTTGCTAAATAATAATATACATACTGGAACCCCTATATCTGCAGTTTCGTCTTCGGATGGAGTAAGTTCTGCAAAATGCTCATTTTCATAGTTTTTATCATTACTTTCCTGCTTAGTGACTACTTTATTGATTTTTTTCAAGCTCTTCCTCTCTTTGATTGTGCCCCTATCTTTATCTTTAGATAAATTACGATGTAATGAATTTAAATTTATTAGTCTGAAAATGAAATAATTATTAGTTCCAACATATTTCTTTTCCCCTACTGCGTTGCTATTTATATATTTTGAACATACCTATCAACTTCCGTGTCGTCCTCACTTTTATCGTTAATTCCTTGAAATCTGTTATATGTTTTTATAAAGGATTCAGGAAGCTTATCTAATGCAATCGATACCTCGTCATAAAGTTTGGAATCTTTATGATCTATTTCGTAACATTTCCAACCATTTCGTTCAACATATTTCGGTACATTTGTTATGTTTATTTCTAAATTTTGCTGAGACATGGCTTTACACTCGTTGATATTTGTTTCTTTACCTATTACAGAACATATATTATTAGTTCCAATTGATATATCTGGTTCACATTCTAACAGTTCAGAAGGTACTTCTAGGTCATAATTCAGTGAATTCTCTTGAATGTTATCAATATTCTTATGCCACTTTTTAGCTTTCCGGGGTTTTTTGGACTTGTCTTGGGTTATAAATTCAGTTGAATCCACGTCATTACATTGAATTTCTTTATCTGAAATTAGATTTTCATTTGAAGAAGGTTTAGCTATATTCTCAGATTCACGTTTATTACCATTTGTTTCAGGTAATTCAGACTGCCTTGTTTTTCTTGATATCAAAGGTATATCACTATCTGAGTCAGAGTTTTCTTGTCGTCTCTCTTCTAGTCTAATCTTTCCTCTCATTTTTCTTGCACAAATCTCTAGTTCCTTTCCAATTTTATTTTCTTTAGTATTTGTTAATTCTTTCTTTTTTCCTGATTTAGAACGAATAGGCCTTTTTTTAACTGACTTATCCAGATGCATTACCCCATCATCATCAGAACTATTTCCTAACAAACTCTCCTTTGCTTGTTCAATGGTTTGGGGAACTAATAGACCCATACTGTCTACAGAATTTATATTTTCTTCATCAGAATCTGGATCATATTGCCTGCGAACTCTTTGAGAACTTTGGCTAAAGATCTCATCACTATGTGATAATAAATAACTTGTATTTATATCTTTAATCATCTTATTTGACTGCACAAATGATTCAAATAGATCAACATCATATGAACTCAAAGATCCTTTTGGTCTATTTTCTTCACATATATGATCAATATACTCTTCTTTAGTTAAAAAGCTGCTAGATGCAATAATGCTTCCATCATTGTCAGTGACATCAACAGGTTCCATTTTAACAGCTTCAAAAGAAGTTGGTATTTCTGGTACATCAATTGGCTCCAATTTTATTTGTTCTAGTCTGCATTCTTTTGAATAAACATTACAGATTATGTTAGCATCTTCTTGGTTGCCACTTTGAAGTAAAGATTTGGCACCAGAATGTAAATCTTGCAATTGGACTTTAGAGACCCAACTAGTTGCTTCTGTGGCTTTCTCTGCATAATTCGATTCAGAATTATAGTCATAGTAATCATCACTATCACTATCGTTTTCATAGTCTTTCACCTCATTTAAGTCCATTGTCATAGCGACTGGTTCATTTAAGTATAATAATGTATCTTCAGTTCTTTCTATCTGTCTTCTTATTTTGTTTTGACTATTAGAATTAGTAACAAGTTGATTTGACATCAGTTTATTTATAACTTGCAAAGTCATAAGAGATAATGAATTCACACAGTTGTTTCGCTTGTTAGGTAGAGAGTATCCTTGTATTTTCATTAAACATAATGTAGACAGACATTTAAATTCATGTTTAGATGACCTATCATCTAATTCAATATGACTTGTAACAATGTTAAATACATTGCTTTGTCTACAATTTATCATAAGCTTATTCAAATTAGCTAAACATAGGAACTTCAGAGACTTCACTTCTTTATTTTGAAAATAAGGTATTATAGAATCATCTTGCTGCATACAAGATGTATTAATTTTAACAGAGCTTGCATTTCCATATAGAATTTGGTTCTGAATAAAGTCTACACAAATTGTTACCAAAGATTTCGGATCATGACTTGATTTTTGAAAACTTTCTACACATAGTGTAAATAAACTTTTTGGACTGAATGTTTTAGATGGTTTTTGAAAGCTTTCTACACAAAGAGTAAACAAAGTTTTTGGGTTTGGTTTTTGATATTGGTTTTTAAAACTTTCTACACATAAAGTAAATAAAGTTTTTGGATTGATCACATTTTTTTCCCTTGCTTTTGTTAATTTATCTGACTTCATTGTGTCTGATATATCATTATTTCTTATCAGACAGTTGGAAGCTGGAGAATAAACATCTTCGGTAATTTTAGACCTCCCAATATCACTGGCACCTTTTATAAAGTAATTACATATTATTTCTTGATGGGAAGATAGCCATTTAACCGAGTTAAATCTTTTACAAATTAATAGCATTTTTTGTTTTGTGTATTCATCAAAAAACTTTTTAACCATTTCCAATGTTACATAATCAGGTGGTTTTTTGTTTCGGCTGTCCTGGGCTAAAAAAGACTGTGTACGTTTAACTTTTTTCACCATTATTGAATCATTTATCCAAACAGTATGTTTACCCTTAACATTTGTCTTTTCTTTCTGCGTTGCTGGTTGTTCTTGTGTTTTCTTGGCAATTTTTATTGAAAGTTCCTTATTTAAAAACACAGTTTTGGGATTAAAAGCAGTTTTTTCTTTAGAATTTGTTTTCTTTGTCTCTGAGTCTGGCACTTCAATAATTTCACAATCACTGTCTTCTCTAGGTTGTGGAGTAATTTCTTTTTTCTGTTCTCTGTACTGAATTAGGTCATTAGTTTTTAAAAAATCTTCATATTGTTTTTCTAAGTCTTCCTCCATCTGTAACAGATTATGCTTGGCAAGTTTAAACAACAAGAAGGATTTTTTAACACAATAATCCATTTTTAACGTATCTGTAACATGATCTGTATTAATTTTTTTTGCAATGAACTCCTGAGACTTTTGGGTCATAAGTTCCCCTAATTCAGCAGTTGTACTAACAATATTTTTTAAAAACTCACAAGCTTTTTCTGCTTGAACAGATGATAAAGTGACTTGTTTCATCATGCCACACTCATACTGTGTATCTGTCTGAACGCCAGCTGATTTAATGTTAATAATATTTGTCTGAGCAGAAGATTCAACACATTTTTTAGGCTCATTTGGGTCTATTACTGGAATTTCAAAGGTTGTCTGTGATGTATCTGTTGGCTTTGCTTTAAATATTTTAATATCTGTACCTTGAATTTTTTTGGCAAGAAAGTCAGTAATGTCATCCTGGGAGCTTTTAAGTACTACAGAACTTTTTAAAGAATCTTCAATATCTATTATATCTGAAGGGTCTCTTGTATGTCCTTTCACGTCACTTAGCTTTTGGGCTCGTTTTTTCTTAGGACTTCTTATTTTTCCATTTTTATCAAAAATATTAAATTTTCTCTTTTTGCATCTTCCTTCATCTTCATTGTCAAAATCATCGGAGTCGGAGGAATTTTTGGTTCGTCGTTTTCCTGGTACATACTCATCATCAGAGTTATATTTGCCTTTTTTCTTCTTATTGGGTTCATCATCTGATAACTCTATATTGGCAAAAGGGTCTTCCTCTTCTGAACCAGTTTCATCATATTTAAAAACAGGTTTATTTCGATTCCGAGAAGGTCTTTTATTATCTAAAATAATGGGAGATGTTTCCAAATTTTTCATCTCCATTTTATCACTCCCTATTATTTCAACATTTTGTACCTCTACAATGTTATTCTCCGTATCACCTGGAAGCGGTTTATTTAGAAGATTTGCTGTGAGGATTTTGGAAGATTCATTGCTATCAGATTCTCTACTCTGTAAGTAATTTTCAATATGAAAATTGTTTCTCTCAACATTTTCAAGCCGAGACTTTAATTCACTTAAGCAAATATCGTCACCCACATCATTATTTTCTTTATTTTCTAGAGCAATTGAACTTGAATCAATAATATTTTTCTGTAAATCAATTTCATTATTGTCTTTAATTAAGGGTTCATGTTCAATAGAAGTTATATCAGTAACAGAAGTCATATTTATTTCTGAAATGTCACAATTTTCATCATAAGTACTTTGTTTTGACTTTGTTTTTCGTCCTTTCTTTTTATTTTTGGTCGCTTTTATATCATCATTGTGTGAGTTATCAGAATTATTAGATTCAGTTACATGACTAGTTGTCACACTTTCAATACTTAATAATTTTGATTTTCCTTTTTTAAGCAAGTTATTCATAGTCGAAGTAACATTGTTGGCATTATTAAGATCAAATTGAGAGTCAGTTTGATCGAAATTTTCAACATTTTTACTTTTGCTTCCTCTTTTTGATTTCTTAACACAAGGTTTTATTTCCATAGGAGTTTCATTGCTACCTGATGAAGGGCTTTGTACAGTTTCTATAAGAGTTTGATTGTTAGAATTTTTTTCACGAATATCTGGTAGTACTTTCTTGCCTCTTCCTCGTACTCCTCCCCTACCTCTTCCTCGTACTCCTCCCCTGCCTTTTCCCCGTACTCCTCCCCTGCCTCTTCCCCATATTCTTCCTCGTACTCCTCCCCTGCCTCTTCCACGACCTCTTTTAATTATATTTATGATAGATGCTGTCTGCGACTTTTTAATTAATTCATTTTTTCTTTTACGACCTCTTCCTTTGGTCTTTAATTGAGGTACTACATAATCTTCATTAGAATTAAAAAAATTCTCATTACTTTCGTCCCCTAATACGAGGTTATATTCGCTATTAGGGCCTTGGAGTGAGGCCCCATCAATTTCGATTTCTGCAAGCCCAACATCTTCAAAAACTAAATTTTCACTAATGTCACTATTTTCCAGCACTGCTGCAGAATTGTCGGAATACTCTACCGTTACCTCATCCTGAGGAGACACTAGATCTGACAAAGTAATAAATTCTTCTTCTTCATAAATCGAATTTGCTTGAAAACCCTCAAACTCCTCCTCGGTGGTTGTTAAATGCTTCGATCTAATATTAACTTCTTCAGACATTTTGCTGTTGTTTAAACACACATATGTCTACTTTCGTATAAATTAATGGAAAAAAAGAAAACGTTTTAGAACTCACTTTACACGGCGGTTTTACAGCGTTATACTATGTATAATTACTAAAGATGCAACAGTGATAATCTATGATTAATACTCATTTTCATAGTCACAGTATTAAATAACTAACATTGATATTGCACATGTCGCATCATTTACACATTAGTGCCTAAGCTTAAAAATTAAAATATCGAGCAAATTTAAAATACACAGTCTAATAAATTTCCATATTATACCATACAAACTACAAAGTGCAAACTACCACAGATAGAGGCCACTAGAATTGTAAATAAACATACTCTATATTTTATGATCATATAGACTGTGAAGTTGTAAACTATGTGCGTTTTCCAATTACCGCACTAGAGCGCATTTTGCGGCATAATGCTCAACGTTGAGTGTTCCAACTACAGCAACGCTTCGCACAATTGAGCACTCTCAAAACGAATGCTCTCGCAAACAATACCAACACAGTGACAGAAAATTGACCAGTATTTTTCTTTAAGTTGGCATTTATCGAAATTTTCGTTAGTAAATATTATTTATTGTTGAAAAATTTGTAAGGCTTTCGTTTCGTCGTAGATTTTGAAAATAATTAAAGTTATTTCAAACTGCTAAAAAAATAAATATTAGTATGGATGAAGGTATAAATAGTTACTTTTTTTATATTCCACATTTAAAATATGAATACAATTTTATTTTAAAATTCGGATCTGTAAACAAATTTACTTTACAGGATTATACTTTAGAAAAAATTGCAATGGTTTTGAAAAAGTATATACTTTTTTAGAAATCATTAAAAAATATTACTCAAAACGTAAATAATGTAAACTTCTTACATGAAACTAAATATTTTACTGTTAATTTAGCTTGTTAAAACCTTATAGTCTTTAAAGGTTTTCTCTTATTTCAGTAAAAAAAATTTAATGAAATAATTTGATTATTAAATTAAGCGTAAAAAGTTTTCAACCAATTATTATTGTTTACCACATTATTTATACATTAATGAGGTTGCTAACTCTATTCAGACCATTTTTTTGTCAACACTGACTTAGCGCACTCTGCCGATTCCCGGTTCGAGGGCAAGTTTTAATTTAATTTAAAATTTGTCGGCCTTTGGGAGGGTTGTGCGGTACCGGGCGAGTGCCTAAACCGTACATGGAGGACATGGTCGAATTTCTAAGGCAAAAAGCACGAATTATAAAAACGCTGGCTAATGCACAAACCGTGCCAGAGCCATAAAAAAAAGTAGAGGTAAAATTGTCAGTGACATAGACTTGACACGTCCAAGTCGTAGTAAATAATTGTAGATACTAATTACTATACATTTAGATCATTCATCATACTTAAAGCGAATAAAACAATTTCAGTTTAGTGAAAAAGCTAGAGTTGTAATTATGGCAGTAAATAAACATCAATTGTTTCGTACCTGATTCTTGTTGTTACCCGTGTGTGTATTGTAAACAATGTTTTATGAGGGACTGACATGAATAAAATAACAAGCGTGGAAGGTTCAAGGTTTTAATATACCTGAATCTATTGAAAGCAGATCAAATTTACTTTATCTAAATGCTATTTCAACATGTATTTCCCCATAGGATGGCCGAAAGTTCTAAGGAGTGTGGATGTAGATTTTCAGGCTTTTAAACAAGTTGTGTCCAATCGGGATAAAATCTTATTTGCTTCACTAAGTGATGATGCTTTTGTGGTGTGGTTTTGTAAAGTACGTAAAAGTTTTATTTTTAGTTATGATACGTTTGACATACGTAACAAAAGTATTTTAATAACAGAGAAATGTTTGCAGCCCAGTGTCTCTATAGTATATCATAAACGAAATTCTGAATCTATACAAAGACTTGGAATAAATGTTGGAATTGAATGGAAGCCCGATTCATCTATGATATGCATATCGGTATGAAATTATTTCTTTTGAAATCTACTATTATGCTACTAAATTGTTACATACTAACATAGGTACTATCTGGATGTTTATAATATTATTTTTTTATATTTTTGCAGACATCAGAAGGTCATTTGATTTTATATAATGTCGAGGTACAAGGCGACCAACCTGCATATCAACAGTTTGATCCACCTACTGCAAGTTTGCGACGAGATTCTGCTGAATTATTTGTTAAAGAAGTCATACCATCTCTAAAAATAACATTGGTAAATATTTTTATCGTATTAATGAAGACTGATATTTGTGTTTAATAATACTATTTTTTTTTTTTTTTTTTTTTTATGTAATAGGAGGCAAACGGGCAGGAGGCTCACCTGATGTTAAGTGATACCGCCGCCCATGGACACTCACAATGCCAGAAGGCTAGTAAGTGCGTTGCCGGCCTTTCAGGAATTGGTACGTCTTTTCTTGAAGGACCCTAAGTCGAATTGGTTCGGAAATACTTCTGTGGGCAGCTGGTTCCACATAGTGGTGGTGCGCGGCAAAAACTGCCTTAGAAAACGCTCTGTTGTGGAACGACGGACGTCGAGGTGATACGGATGGTATTTTGTATTTTGCCTTGACGTCCGATGATGAAACTCAGCTGCAGGTATTAGACCGAACAACTCCTCTGAACACTCTCCATGGTAAATGCGGTAGAAGATGCAGAGAGATCCCACATCTCTACGCAACGCCAAGGGATCAAGCCGCACGGAAAGTGACTGGTCGTCGACGATTCGAACCGCTCTTCGTTGAATACGGTCAAGTGGAAGGAGCTGGTACTGGGGAGCTCCCGCCCAGAGGTGAGAGCAGTACTCCATATGGGGCCGAATTTGCGCTTTATATAGTTGCAAGCGGTGGCCCGGAGTGAAGTACCGTCTCGCCTTGCTGAGCACACCAAGCTTTTTGGAGGCTAATTTAGCCTTTCCTTCCAGATGACCGCGAAACTGAACGTTATTCGATATGTCAACGCCCAGTATTCCGATGCTAGCTGAGGCTTTAAGGAGAGTGTCTTCAAAGAGGGGAGTAGCGACAAAGGGAGTTTTTTTAGCGGAAAACGCGCATACTTGTGTCTTCTTGGGGTTAAATTGGACTAGATTTAGTCTACCCCAGTCCGAGACTCCACGTAGAAGAGTTTCGACTTCAGACACAAGTTTGTTCGGTACTCATCGACAACAGCCCGAGAGATACCTGCCCGGCCAGTGTAAAAAGTATCCCCAGTGCTGTCGTCCGCATAGCAATGAATGTTGCTAAGCTGCAACATATCATTGATATGCAGAATAAACAGGGTCGGGGATAGGACACAGCCTTGTGGGACACCAGCATTCAAAAAGGTTTGAGGTCGGAGCATGCTCCGTCGATGACGACTTTGATGCTCCGATCAGCGAGAAAGCTGGAAATCCAGTTGCATAATTTCTCAGGGAGCCCATAGGCTGAAGCTTCGAGAGCAGTGCTCTGTGCCACACCCGATCGAAGGCTTTCGCTATGTCCAAACTTACCGCCAGCGCCTCCCCCTTGGACTCAATTGCCTCTGCCCACCTATGTGTATAGGTATGAGGTATACAAGGAGGTCACCAGCCGAGCGACCACGACGGAAGCCGTACTGAGAATCGCTAATCAGCTGGTGGCCCTCTAGATACCTCAAGAGCTGGCTGTTAATAATAGTTTCCATTATTTTGGAGAACAAGGAGGTTATAGCTATTGGGCGATAGTTGGACGGATCAGAGCGATCGCCTTTTTTGGGATCGGATGTATCGAAGCGATCTTCCAGCACTTCGGAACAGTGCCGAGCGTGTAAAGGTACCGGAAAAGGCGCGTTAGGACCGGAGCCAACTCAGGAGCACAAGTACGCAGCACAATTGGAGGGATGCCATCAGGCCCGCTCGACTTATGGATGTCCAAGGAAGACAAAGCTTTACGGATAGCACGTTGCCGGAATATAACTTCGGGCATCGTAGTATCACACCGCAATAATGTCGGTGGTTCCTTCCCTTGATCATCCAAAGTGGAGTTCGACGCAAAGAGACAGCCTAGAAGATCGGCCTTCTCTTTCGCGGTATGGGCAAGTGAGTCATCCTCCCTATGCAGTGGTGGAATTGAGGGCTGACAGAAATTCCCTTGGACAGCTTTGGCAAGAGACCAGAAGGCTCGAGTTCCCGAAGGGAGGTGGGCCAATTTCTCACCAAATCTGGCAATGTGCTCTGACTTTGCTTTAGCGATTTCTCGCTTGAAGGACCTGGAGGCTGAATTGTATGCTTTTTTACGTTCGCCGATAGTCACATCACAGGATGTCACCGCTTCTGCCCAGGCTTTAAAGCATTCACGCTTACGGCGCAAAGCCGCTTTGCAGGAACGCCTAAACCAAGGCTGGGACTTGCCACCGACCGGCACCGCAGAGAATGGAATAAAGAGTTCCATACCCTGCAGGACCACCTCGGCGACAGAGTCAGCGACGGCATCTGGAGTACTCGACGAAAAGCAAATGGGCCCCCAAGGGTAGGACGCAAAAAAGGACCGCATCCCATCCCAATCTGCTGACTTATAGTGCCACACGCGGCGACAGCCCGTGAAGCTAGGCCGAAGAGGGCGCGTGAACGGCACAATGCTCCGGACCACACAATGATCTGATGAACCCAATGGCGGTTCAACAGAGACTTGGTAGTTCTCCGGATGTGAAGTCAGCAGAAGGTCCAACAAAGAGGGTTTATGACCATCCACATCTGGTATTCGCGTAATCGCAGGGACCATTTGCGTCAAGTCATAAGCCAAAGCAAAGTCGTGAAAGGATCTTCCCGCATGATCGGTGGTTTCTGAGCCGAGCCAATCGGCATGGTGGGCGTTAAAATCGCCAAGTATCACGATTTCAGCGGTAGGAACCCTTTCGAGCAGGGAATCTGTAGCCATTTGGATGTGCTCAATGAGTCGGTCAGTTTCGGTATTTCCGCTATGGGACCTATACAGGCATGCATAGAATCGCGGATGGTCATCGCAGTCTACGCGCAGCCAGAGGTTAGATAGGTCCCTTCCTTCAAGCGTCCCGAGGCGACGAGAACAGATATCCTCTCTGACGTACACCCAAACTCCCGCCCGCGGCACAAATGAATGTTCCAATTTGTACCCCGGGTAGGAGAGGTAGGAAGTATCACCGGGGAGGAAATCTGAGTCTCGGTAAGAAAGAGCAAGGCCGGCTTCGCAGTCTCTAAATGGTAGTGGACTGCGTTGATATTAGAATTGAGCCCCTAACATTTGTGAAGTCCACAGCGAGCGTGGACGGGGGTGCCTTTGTTGAGTTATGCTCCGTTTGTCTACGAGAACGATAACTGTTTTTGATGTTGAGCGCAGAAATGTTTGCAGCCCAGTGTCTCTATAGTATATCATAAGGGAAACTCTGAATCCATACAAAGACTTGTAATGTGGGAGGCGGATTCATCCACCGCGATACGCATATCGGTACCCCTGAGATTATTTTTTTTTGCACCATCTACATATTTCATGGGGCCTGGATGTTACATCTAACATACGCACGAAACGGGATGTTTACAATATAATGTGATATTTTTGCATGACATCGAAGGTCATTTGGTTTTCTGAGAGACAGGTGGTACAGGCCCCGGTCCCTGCCTACCACATTTTGATGAAGCCCGAAGGCAACATCATGCGCACTCCCATTTGCTAGAAGGAGTTACTCATTGCGCTGATGAAATAACCTTGGTAAATAGTTTATTTCACCAGTGAGACGATATTGGTGTCACGTCCCGACGCCAAATTTCACAAATTTACTTGATATTATTATTGGCATTCATCATTTATTAAAACTTTTGTTTATTAAGTGCTTAAGCTTACAATGTTGTTGATATGAACATAGAAATCATAATTATTCTCACAAGATATGAATCTTTCACCATTTGATAGTCGTGAAACACCATAATTTATTAAATAGGAAAATAATAATAAACATATATTATTATAGTTTAAAGAAGTTTTAATATGGGATGGTCAAATTACACGTATGTGCTGCATATCAGGAACTGAGATACTTGTGTGTACAACACGAGCTCACTTATTGAGGTATCGTTGGGATGGCTCACAAAATAGAGATTACTGTCTGGACTTAGGAAGAATACCATTCTCTATAAACCAGCAAGTATCAAAAGGTAAGTAAGTTAAAGTGGGTAGAGGCAATCTTAGCATAACATTTGTAAATTTAAACATTTTGCCAGATGACCAATCTGTGATTTAAGGATATTGAAGACAGCTGAAATTGATAGTCATATTTAAGAGGATGCTAGGCCCAGGTTATGTGTTGAATTGTACTAAATATTTTTGTTTAAAATTTCCAGCTGAACCAATTTTAGAAGATAATACACATGTTAATGATATTGAGTATTCACCTTTAGTCTGTGGATTTGGTATAACTTTGAATGATGGTCGTGCTGCATATCTGACTGCACCAAATTTAAAATTTGACCCCAATGTAAGTAAAATTTACAGGTTTATTATCATGTTTAATAAGCATATTCGGTTATTTTTCACATTAGTTTTATATTTATGTTAGCCGGGTTGGCATAGTTGTTCTGCGTGAAATGTGTGACCCTCAACCCTAAGGTGTGTTTTGAATCATGTCTGTACTGTGAGCAAATATAAATTAGTGCTTAAGGCAAATATTGTCAGGAAATTGGCATGTCTTTAATCCAAAAAACAATGACATGTGCCAGATAGAGATGATCTGATCTAGGCTGATCACTTCTTATACAACTACGTCTATAAAATAAAAATCATGCAATTTGCCACAAGAACCATATACATAGGTTGTAGCACCACTGGGTTGTTATTATTAATAAAAGAGGACAGAGTATATTACTGTTTTGTTTATTATTATTTATTTGAAGCTGTAAATTGTGAAGTTATATAAACTAAATAAGTGTGCCTTAGAATAAAGAACCTTCAGTTTTTGGTTTTTAATTATCTGTTTAAAATTAAACTATTAAAAGTTTAAGGGCAGTTTTAAAGTTGGAGAAATTTAAACACCAATGTCAGTCTTGAAGTTTAGTCTTAGTCTTAAGCAAAATTATATTTAATTGGCTTTACCTGTGAAAATGAATTCATTATTTACATAAACTAATAAAGCTGTAATTAAATTTTTTATCAGATAAATTTGGAGACTGATCTAAGGGTAAGAGGTTAAACAAATATTTTGTTGCCAGTTAAGGTAGATCACTTGCTAGATGTTTTATTAAATTACTATTTATAGATAGGAATAGTCACCCACGGCTAGGAATATATTATGTGAGAAGAATATGTAACTGGCCACTATTTGTGTTTGTAGAAAGGCATCCTATTTCATAATATATTTTTTTTATTTCTAGGCAGTTCAAGGTATTTGGGCGCAAGGCATCGATGACTCTACCTGTGCAAGAGTTAATCATAAATTCAGACTAATTGCTATTGGAAGAAGGAAGTATGCATTTATGTATTTCTTTTTTCTTTAATTGCATTTTTATCAAGCCTTTTAAAGCTAATAAACAGTTTTGATTAATTTCAAGTTTCACAAAGTCCACTCACTAGTACTAGTAAAGAACTATCTGATAAACCTAACTACTACACTTATAATTACTAAAACGACCCTAGCTCAAAAGCCTGGATCCTTTTGAGTCTACGCATTAGCCCCGTGGGGTCGAGGAACTGGGCGGCCTCGACATTCACGTAGTAAATATACTTCTCTGTTGGTGGACTTGAACATGTCTGAAATTCTTCTTTTTTTTCTTTTTGTTTGAAAGGAATCTCGTTGTTGGCCTTAAGGGCCTTGACAGCTCAGCTGGGGGGGCTGTTTTGGCGAGCGTAGCTCGGCCTGAATGGGCGTTTTTCCCGCGGCTAGCGCAAGGGCGTCTCCTGTGAGACTCGGACCTCAGATTGGGCCGTCGCGGGGTGGTCAATCACCTGAAGGGCAGGACGGAAGCTCACTGGAGTGAGCGAAGTACGCAGGTCCTCGCCTTCCCCGGTGAAGGCGGTTTTTTACCCTAATCTGGTTTTGACTTTGATTATCATTATTATTGGTCCCGCGCGCGGTTTTAGTAGCTACGGTAGCTGGATGGAGTTTGTGTCGGGGCCTCCTAGAGCCTTTCTGTTGGAAGGGGTAGTATTATGCTCTTTACGCACCATACGGGTTGGGATGGTTTTTAGTCTTGTCGCTTGTGGTGTGTGTACGCCAACTATATCCGTTGGGAGCTAATGGTAGGGACACCAGGTCGTGGTGGAGATCGACGTTTCTCACGTAGAAGGGTGCGCCGGTCGCGTCTGAAGCACCTGTAGCCGGTGGATATGGGAGGGGCACAATGCGCAAAGACTGCGCTAGCGTGTGTACGGTCGGAAGAAATTCTTCATTGGCGCTTTCTGTATTTAAGTCTAATCTATTGAAGCCCCTTCCTCTTTTTGCATTTCACGTGCAGAGTGCGCTTCGCCACAATGTACACATTTCGGCTTTCCTTCCGCCGGTTTCAAGCAGTCGCTGTGGAGTTTTGCAATGCATTTAACGCATATATAGGCTCTTTAGCACAATACCGCTGTGTATTTCCTTATGTCTTGGCTTGTATGTTGTAGGCCTTGATAATTAAAGACGTCGTCAAATATGGAATAAAGTCTCAGACTTTTTATTAGATTTAGTAACTTTAGGTGAATTTTCCTCAGCTGTACCTACTGGTTTAGCTTCCTTCCTTCCTTTTTTTGTTTCTACTTTTAACCTTTATCCATTCTGTTTGTCGTGAGAATTCTTCTTCGTCTGTGCTATAAAAAACAGACTGGGTGGGGCGTTTGTTAGGGGTTTGATATGTTGCTGGCTCTCCTTAAAACTTTCTAATTTGCTTCGGAGAAGCTGTATCTGTTCTTCAAGAGTCGCCTATTTTCCCCTCAACGGTAGAGTATCATATTGTTCATGTTTTTTCTATTTTACAATTACTCTATATGCAAAATATAAATATAATCTTTTAATTTTACCTTATTGTCTTTTACGTAAGTGTAACATGAACAGCTATCATGATAATCGTCCATAAAGTGTGGTAGAGCGCTGGGTGGTAAATTAAGTCTCTTCAGAATCTAACCTCACATAATTTATATAGATCAGTTATCTATCTAGTATTTGTATCATAAGTTGACTATTTTTCCATGTGTATTATTAAGGCGTATCGTGTAAAAACGTCCATACTTATGAAATGCTGTATCATGTCAGTGTATCGGCTTTAACTTTACAAATATAGACGCTTCACTTTTCTTCCGATGTATCCTGGATGCGCGTATCTTTCAGGCACCTTTCCCTCCCCTTCCGGTAAGTCATGTCTTCGTTCCCAAACGGTTAGCCATGTCAGCAATTGCTCACAGTTTGGCGGTGACTAGCGCCTTTATATTGTCATTAATAGTATTTCAAAAAGTTAAATCCAGACGTAGACGGCGCTGGAAGTGTTTAGAAACAAACAAACATGGTGGAATACCATTGATGCGAGATTTAAAATTTCAGCATACCAGAGGAAAATACAAAAATTTACTCGCATATCACCCATTGATGTTGTGTATTCCCTTTGATGATCGCGAAAAAACCGACACAGGATGGTTCGGGGTGTATCAAGTATCGTATCGCGATACAGTATCGTGATACAGTATCAAAAAACGTCCATACCACCGATCGTGATACGCGTATCGGATACGAGGTTCAAGAACGCGCTTAGTGCGGATCGGGCCGTATCCGATACGGCATGTATCATAAACGGGTATCATTTTGCGTCAAACTAACGATCATGATACGCCAAGCCACCAACGGAGATACGATACACCGAAATGCTACAAATGTGGACCCGGCTTTAGATGATTATTTCTATTTGTTTGACTCCCTCGCTTTGGATTAAAGATGCCTACATATTAAACAATCTTTTATCATTTTTTATCAAAACCACTCTGAAAAATTCTTTTTACTTTTAAATTCCGTGAACACTGGAAAAAAGTTGTAGACAGATATTAGCCCATTCCTTTTACCTGCTCAACGTACTGTTATTGAAAGTTGTTTATGCTTGAGCGTTTTAACCCATAATAATAGAAGTAAATTAGTTCACAGGTGGATGTTTTCACAATAGATGAAATAACGGGTGGTCTGGAACTGTCTCACACTATGGTGCTCAGTTCTAAGGACTTTCCGGGCGACCCGGGGCCTGTCAAATGTATGAGGTAAATTTATATTATATTTATCTCTTTATATATTATTTATTTAGATATAGATCATTCCGAGTGTATTTCAGTTATAATTTTTAATAATTTTGGGTTATTATAAAATGTAGAGTGAAGTGAGTCATTATTTTATATGGAATTTAGAGAATACTTCTTATATGCTATGTCAATAGATGGACAGGCGATGGCCGCGCCGTGGCAGTGAGTTGGGAAGGCGGTGGAATATCAGTGTGGAGTACATTTGGGGCCCTTCTCATGTGTTCCCTGGCATGGGATTATGGCCTGAACCAGGATCTTAGCAAGCATAACCCACTAGTCATCTCCAGTATGGTATGTAACTTTTTTTAAATTAAGAATCACCCGATCTTAAGTAATACCGCCGCTCTTGGACACTCACGTAGCCAGAAGACTCACATGTGCGTTGCCGGCCTTTTAAGAATCTTATCATGCTGATTCCACAAACTGGTGGTCGTTTTGCTTGCGGATGACGCATCTTGGAGTTAAATTGGACTAGATTAAATCCATGAGATTAGACTCCACTAAGCAGAACTTCGAATCAGACAAAAGTTTGTTCTGATACTCATCGGCAACTGCCCGAGAAATACCTGCCCGGCCTATGTTGTAGAAATGTTGCTAGGTTGCAACATAACATTGATATGCAGAAGAAACAGGGTCGGGGATAGTACACAGCCTTGTGGGCGTTTATTGGAACATGTTCTTAGTTATTTCTATCAGCGCGAAAGCACTATTTGTCGTAGAGCGCATAGGCTGGGAGCTTCGAAAGAAGTACTCGTTTCCACGCCTGATCGAAGACTTTTGATCCGGATGTGAGGTCAAAAGAAGGTCCATCGAAGAAGGTTTATGACCATATATCTGGTATTCGCGGAATAGCAGGGATCGTTTGTCGTTTGTAAAGTAGTATTTCAAAGCATAGCATTACTGACTTAGCGTTTGGCTGAAGTGTCCATCCTCACCCCCATAGCCCATTGGTGAAATGGCCTGTGACTGTGGCCGCGTTTCGATGCCAAAAGTTGTCACCTTCTTCATATACACTCGTAGCGGTTGAGTCACTTTTTTATATTTTTGCTGTCTTTACAGGAATGGGCAACGGAAGGCTATCAACTATGGATGGTCAAGGAGGAAGAATCAAAGTCCAATCTCATACAAATGGATTTCGTCAAGAGCCCCCTCACGGTTAATCCTTGTATGGTAAGATATTGGTTATGTAATTGATTATATAATTGTTTACCTGATTGAAGCCTTTAATGAAATTCTTTCTTATTTTAGAGTAACCAGAGGCACCTTTACTTGCAAGCGGACGATAAACTGTACATAAACCTGGAGGACAATCTGACTAAACGCACCAAACTATCGATAATCGACTCCTCGGACGCCTATCACGAGAGCGGACAGGAGCAGACTGACGGGGAGACAAAGAACAGTGCCAAGTACAAAGAATTTGTGGATGACAACGAATGTCGGAAACAGTGGATTGTTCTACAATTGCCGGCGACGTATATCGCTAGCAATTGGCCGTTGCGAGTGAGTGCTTCATATTGTTACCATAAACCTCTGATATAGACTGATTCCACTTTAAAAAGGTTTCTCAACTCCGCCTCGTATATTAAGCTATCTGTAATGTGTAAAGGCTCCTACACAGTTAATGACTACCTAGAACACAAAAACACTTGGCAATAGTTCTAATTATATTCTTATAATTTGTTTTGTTATCTTTGAAGTGTTGTGAATATGTGTGTACCTAATAGTGAATGTGGTACATCACAGAACAGATTTTTTTTTTTTTTTTACTTATGTAATTTTAATGACGTGGTTTATGACATTTTCCTTTGAATAATTGTAATGTAAAGGGAGGGCAAACTTGCTGAGTTTCTTGCCCGTTCTTCTCAGAACAAGGCCTCCCGGTAGTTTTGCGAACGGATGGCGTAGTCTTGCTCTTTCGCGAATTTTGTAAATGTTTTTGACATTCATATGCCCTAAGACGCATCTAAACATAATAAACGTATTTTGATTTGATTTCATTGATATAACTCCACCGAAGATGGAGCTTCTAGAGTCCTCTGTCACCCTCGACCGACGTCTTTCAGTACAGTGCCCTCGACGAGGAGGGCGAGACCGTGTGCGTGGCGGGTCGCACGGGGCTGGCACACTACAGCCGCACCGCTCGAAGGTGGAAGCTCTTCGGCAACGAGGCGCAGGAGAAGGACTTCGTCGTCACCGGGGGCATGTTGTGCTGGCGGCACTATATTGTCGTGGGTCAGTCGCCGCTCGTTTTGAGACTATCCGAATACTTTTGAACAAACGTCTTAAAGACCAATAATTATAATACTAAATTATAGAATTGCATTAAGTTATCTTTTTAAAAAAAGCACGTATTTTATCTGAGTATTAAACGTATGAACCCTGTCTTCCTGTCCCAAGGTTGCTACAGCATCCTGGACGGTCACGACGAGATCCGTTTCTACCCTCGCGACGCGAAACTCGACAATCGCTTCGCTAAGATCGTGCGAGTTCAGTCTCAAGTGTTCGTTCTGGACGTGCTCCACGATCAGCTCGTGGTCTTCGGAGCGGATGCGCTGGTCACCATTTATGAGCTCAGCTTGGATAGTGGTAGGTTCTAGAAGCGCCGTGTCGCATTTAGTACATTTACTTTATGTACTTATTTTAGGCTCCAGTTAGCCTTTGATTTCGATGTTATTGTAGTTATCATGATAAATCCGCAGCCGGTGCTATAGAATTGCGGTGCGTACAAGCAGTGGACATATCCGCCTTGTCCCACCCCGCGTGCGTCGTGTCGGCGTCTCTTTGCCGACTTCAGGACCCCTTGCCCATGACGCATCTCAACCGCAACGCCAAGTCGGAGATGCAGGCGCCGGATTCGCTGGTGAGATGGAGATCATGGTTTACAGTAGATAATAAAATACCATTGTGCATATATGTATAATATTTGATTTGCTTCTTTCAGGTGATCAATGCGAGTGGAAAACTGATGATGGTCCAACGAGAAGAATACGACGTCGACGAGGATAATAATCCCGTAAGTTTTACTTGAATATTTTTGTTTTCTTGAAATTTCTCAATAAGACAATCAAATATCTAATATATAAAATTCTCGTGCCACAATGTTCGTTCCCATACTCCTCCGAAACGGCTCGACCGATTCTTATGAAATTTTTTATGCATATATTTAAGTCTAAGAATCGGCTACTAAACCCATCAGCGATAAGGGGTGTCCACCTCAAAAAAATTGTTATTATTTTTTAGACAATATTTTTGTTTTTTTATGATACAGCATATAAAAATACATACAACCCTTAAGTTTCATCTACCCTCTTCGATCATCCCCTATTTTTTATTTGTTAGTTAAGAAGTTATAACTTGAACTCTGAGGTGAATATAGAGAAAAATCACAGAAAAACCTAAAAAGTTTTCATTCCGGAAATCCGAATAGTCTTTGGGGTAGCATAGCAAAATGTTCCATGTTGGTATGTACTCAAAAGATAGGCTAGGTATTAAAAGAAACGAAGTTTGCGGGGGCAGCTAGTATTCTATATATCGAACCAGGTATTGATTTTCACGTTTGTTTGTTTCTTTAGCCGTTATAGATTTAACCATCTTTTAGGTCATTGAATCCTAAAAAATCAATTCATAGTGTTACGACAATTACATGAACAGGTACAAAAAGTATTTATCGAAAATTGAAACCAATTATCATTTTCTTTAATCATGCTTTACAGCGATTGTTTACACTTGTATAATTTTACGTTATTAGGTTACACGTTCGTTTTAATTGCGAAAATTAAAGTGGTAATAAATTAAGCGTTTGGTATTTCGGCTTATGCAACATCGCCTCATATCAAAGTAAATAGACTCGAATTGTTAGAATACTTTATTCACTTAATCAGAAAATAAATAAGATACACTTCATTGCTCAGGATGTAACTTTGATCAGCTTAACTTCTATGACCTATGTGTATTTTTGCAAGCGAATCTCATGCAAGAACACACTAGAGCCGTGAGTAACGGAAAGGTTACCTATACACGGAGAAGTCTTACGTTGGATAGAACCTAACCCTATATGGTGTTTAATGCCTCGTTCTTATCGTGAGACTCTGGCCGTGGGTGAGAGGGCCGGCCACCCACCTCTGAGCGACGTGTCCGTTCCTCCCGTATGATGTACCAGAGACGGAAACCACTGGCGCTTGGGCCGAATGGATCAGTGGAAAATAATCCAAAATTTGTGCCGGGGCAATCGGCGCTGGAGCTAACGGGGCGAGCGGAGCTGTCAGACCGTAAGAGGGCAGGAGTGGACCGTGAGCGGGAAGCGGTCCGTGGTTGAGAAGGGGCGCCGCCGGGGCGAGAATTGGCCCGTGGTCGAAAATTGCGCCGTGGTCCAAAATTGGTGTTTCATAAACTTGCGCTACGGGAGCGACCTCCTGGACTTGCTCGATCACTGGGGCCGGTTCGACAATAGCGGGAGCCTGAATGATTGCCGGGGCAGCTACGGCTACCGAATTAATGTTGGGTCCGGATTTCCTGACCACGGCGTTGAAGCCCCTCAGAGCGTCGGCCGTGTACTCCACGGTACGTACGTTTCCATCGGGTTCCACGAGGGAGTACGCTCCGCGAACCTGGTCGCCATTACGTGCTTCCCATTGCGCTTTGTTGTCGCCGGTCGATGGATCGTTGACAGCGTAATTGAAGCTGTAGTTGGGGTTTGGCTGTAATAATTTTCATTTGAGTATAGTCAATTCGAATTGGTTAATAGTGTGGTTATGAAAATAACTACTCACAATGCTCTCTACAGAGTGAACGGGAATCAGACCCAGTCCATGCGGGTTGGCGAATGCCGCTGCAACGATCGCCAAAAAGCAGGATACCTGCACATAAAGTATAAATTAAAACCAACGTAGGATTTTCCATTTCAAGAGTTTCCAGAACATAATGGAAGGACATTTACCGCCAAATACGAGTTCATGGTGCTGACAATGTGTCCTAATGAGCAAACGAAGTGCACTGTGCCTTTGTCAACAAAATCGTGCTTATTTATACTACCGCTAATTAAGTAGCCCGGTTTTGTCAAACCTTTCCGGATCGATTGTCTTCACTTTATAACTTGTTCGTGTGTCCTAGAAAAGTGTGTATATAGGCATACTAGTATTTTATTTTATGCATTCTGTTGAAATTCGTAGTTTTGAATATTCATGTAGACGATCCTGAAACGGAAATCGCTGGGAGGCACAACTATGTAGATACATTTATTTTAGTAAACCGTAGACCATATTTAATTTATTATTGTTTCTTTAGTAAAAGATAAAGTATATATTGTTACATATATAGCATATGTGTCGATATATATCTGCCGATAAACGCTTGTTATATTTTAAACACTATTTAAATTATTCATTTAGCGGGAGGGGAGGTGTTTGAATAAATATCAGAATTGAAACCTGTTCCTAGACCCGACCAGTGTTTATGATTATATATTGTGTCTTGTTAAAATAAGAACATTGATCACGTCTTGTAAATGATCTAATGTATGGTGGCTAGGACAATTATTATATTTATATTTATTTATTTGATATTTATTTACCTTTTAATACCTTATACAAAAACATACATATAAAAAAAAAAACAGGTTACATAAGTTATAAGGCAACGGGCGGCCTTATCGCTAACAAGCGATTTCTTCCAGGCCCTAATATGGAACAATAAAAAAGAAACACCTACAGTAGGTGAAGTACAAGATGTGCATAATTAACAAAAATAAACCTCAAAATAATACATAACTATAACTACTAAAAAAAAGTAAAATCTAAAGAAAAAATAAAAATATGTATGAACAAAAATTTAAAAGCCAATGAAAAGGTTAACTCAGTCACAATAATTAATATATAAAAGTAGTAGCTAATTACGAGGCAAAAAAAATGATCAAAAAGAAGCTATTTAAATAAATTTAAAGACTGAGCTCGTCTGATATCAATTGGTAAGGAATTCCATAGCAGGATACTTAGCACAGTAAAGGAGGGGTGATAGAATTCAGTTTTATGAATAGGAGTTTCAAGAATTAGATTGTCTAAGGAACGCAAGTCAAAACTACCGCCAGAGAGGAACATAAAATTTTGCTTTAAGTAACTAGAAGTTTTAGGATTAAAAAGAAATATTGTAATTGTGTTAGTTAAAGGCCCACGACAGTCTAACTATTTAGTCAGATGGCATCGGTAAGGGGGCAAGAAAAGCGGAGAAAGAAATCTAATTATGGCTGTTAGCTCATATAACCTATGATATAAAAATGTTTGGAGATATTGTTTCTCTTGTATAGATCAACAAAAATCGAAACAAATAGTCGATGCCAATCTATTAAGTATAATTTCTACATATAATGTTATTGTACGGGGTTCGTGGGTCATCGGGGTGCTTTAAATAATAGAGGATTTTATTTTTACTCCATATTGACTGCTCGCGTACAACAATAAAATATAAGCGAAATAATGAAATGTTAATTGCTATGTAACAGTTGAAGTTGAAGATACTCTCGGGACGTTACTCCGACGATTTAGGAAATCGCCATGCTTATAAAACTAAAAAAGCCTGAGTGAGCAAAATGTACAGCCTTGGCGAGCCAGTTATATATATAGTTTTTTAAGCGTTAATTATTATAAAGCTTTTATATTTTTTATTCTTAGGACTTTTAGCAGAAAACTTTTAAAATACTTTGTGCCTTTCATGACTTCTTCAGTAACGATATGCAAAGCAATTCATTTTAAAAGGTTTTCTTCCATTTCCGAGCAGGTTGATGAATGGCAAATTGGCGTATCTGATAATTATCATTAAATATATAGGTTAATTGTCAATTGCCACGGACATATGTTTTCAAAGATTCACAGTAAATTTATTTTAGAGCTATATTTTGGCGGAGACATTTCTTTGTAATACACACATAAATAAAGACCTTCATATTTGTATTCACTAGTTTCTTTATATTCTTTTACTCTACTAATATTCTTTGCTAGGTTATCGGATTTTCAAGGGTATAATAAAACAATGCTGTAATTTGTATTTCTTTATTTCACTTTATTGCTAATTAATTTCTTCGAAAAGCATTAAAATAATTAGTGAACTTAAGTTCTTACTGTATTTCTCTGTAAATATTTTTAGCAATACTTGAAATAATATTATATGAATATTTAATTTTATCGGTGTGATTTCTTAATTAACAACGTTTTGCCGAACAATGAAATGGGTCCAGTAACAACCTTGTGGAGGTGCCCATTAATATATTTACGTGCTATTAGGGTGGCCTGAACGTCCTTAGGTGCGCCATGAAAAGGTCGCCAACCACCATAGGTCCCCGTGATAGGGTCCCAAGGGTGGCTCCCTCTTTCGAAAACTACATTTGAAACACCAATAGGTAATGCCGCTGCACCTAATCCATACGCTGAAGGGACTATATTATGGCCTATCTCTTGACGAATCTCGACATGAGGTTGTAGATGAACTTTTTGTGGTATTCCTATATGAGCTGGTGGAGGTGGAGGCAATGGAATGGGTATGGGCAGTGGATGAACTGTTTTTTCGGTAACATGAGACACTACTGGATTGAGAATTAGCGGAACATTTTGAACTATTTTTGTCGGATGTACGCTGTTTCCTATCTTCTTTACAACCGCGGTGAAACCCTTCACGTCGTTAGCGTTATACTCCACAATTCTGATCGATCCGTCTGGCTCTTGGAGTGAGTAAGCGCCATTGACTTCGGGGCCGTTTCTGGTCTCCCAGTGAGCTTTTTTATCGTTTGTATGAGGGTCGTAGACTGCGTAGTTAAAGGCGTATTGGGGATGGTGCTGTAATAACAAAAAACTATGAATATGCAATAGATAGCTAAGAAAATAAATACTCCTATCTTTTTCTGTTATGTATTTTAATTCGGTAGACGCTAGGTTAAGGCACACATATTTTTGCGTCCGTTTTATTGCGTTGCAGTTAAATAATGTTATTTCTACGTCCATTGAATAATCCAGCAACCAAAGCGGATCCAAGACAAACCGATATTTACATTCTTGAAAAATGTCCTGCACTCTTATTACATGCCCATGGTTCTACTTACAGCATTCTCGATTGTGGTGATTGGCAAAATTGCATGAGTTGCTAGAGGACTACAAATAGTAGTCCCTATAAACTTTACTAGTAAAACGCTTTGAATCTGAAAATAAATATTTGTTTAATATTTTACGCTGGTATAAGAACATCCCATGAAAGGCTTCAAACAAAAAACTGATTAATTACCAAAAGCAGCCGACACATATTGCTCGCTGGTCGCTGCGAATTGTTAAATGTTTCATTATCTGGTTGTAGGCTTTTTATAAACACAAATACAGCACGCCGAATGTTATGTGTGATGCAGTGGTACTGGTTTTGAACATATATGGTTACGTGCAAGTCTTTCATATTCATCCCCGATGTAATATTCAGATGAAAAAACATATATTACTACCATTTTTATATAATCTGTTTATTTTACGCATATAGTGGATAAATAAAACGACTCGTAACTACCACGTCACGTGGTTAGTGTTTTATTCATGCTATCTTGACTGACATAACGCCATAAATTAGAAATATAAATATCTTACACTAAGCTTTTTTTAAAACGAGAAAAGAATCTCGCAAACAAGGACGACTTAAAACGAAGGTTTGCCAGTTAATGGTAAGCGGCGTTTAAAACGTTAATCGATTCCGCATTCCCATCACTAGTGGTAGCTTAGTGGAGAGGAATACAAATAGTTTGAACCGAGGGAGTCGTATCCTCCAAGAGGACCGTACGGTATCGGTTCAGGAATGGGAATTCGCTGTCGAGGCAAGTACGGGGCCGGGTGCAAGGAAGGCAGAGGTATCGGTAAGGGCAATGGCGCAGGTAGAGGTGCAGGCGGAATGGGCGCGGGGGCTGGGTAGATCGGTGCCGGTACCACACGTGGAATCGGAAGGACCTCTTTCACGACAGCTGGGATTGCTGATTTGTATATTGAGGCAGAAGAATACGCTCCAGAACTGTAGGGTTTGCTGTAGTATGGAGCGCTCGATAGACCGCCAAGACCGGCCACCGGGCCTACAGTAAGAGGAGCCGCTGCGTAGCCTAAGGTCGGAATGGGTGCTTTGTAGATCGGTTTTGATTCTGGGTGAAGGTTAGGTCCAATTCGTTTAACGACCGCATTAAAACCAGATTTGTCGTCCGCTCGGTATTCCACTACTCGTATGCTGCCATCTGGCTCCACCAACGAATATGCACCTGAATCAGAACAATCAAGTGTTATTTCCTAATTATTAATTGTATCAAAGTAATGGCATTATCGGAAATTAAGATTACCGGTTACTACGTCGCCATCGCGCTTTTCCCATTGGGCTTTGTTGTCACCGGTGTGAGGATCTCTTACGGCGTATTCGAATGCATAACTTGGGTAGGCCTGAAACGCGCATTAATTAAACATGGGCTACTCAAACTTATTATAAATTTACTAATAAATCCTTTACATAGTAATCCGCAGAAGCATGCCCTGGCGCGTAAACTAATCCTTCTAGCCCATTAGCTCTCGCCGGCCCGGATAACGCCAGGAGGCACGATATCTGCAATATTATAGAGATTTAAAACTCGTTGAAAAACAATGAGTTTTTGGAGGGCAAAATACTGACCGCAAGAATGTACTTCATGATTACCGAGTACTGGTCACTTGGCGTCAAAAACGTACTGGTTTCGGAAAGAGCAACGATGCCCATTTATAGGCTTGCTAGACCTTCATAAATCTACGTCTGCCGGATGTCGAATGTTTCATGCATGCCGTTGGCTGCAACAACAATCGCTGGGGGTTGCATCAGGCATCCTCATTTTCATAGAACCTTCAGTCGGTGAAAACGCTCATTCGAATAAATGATCCGGACGAATTGGGCGCTATTTTAAACAACTAGGCTCGATGCCGCCGTAATGCTAATTATAACATTTTTGCACATAATTAGACTGATGTTATAACATATTTTCCTTATGATTAAATCAATAGATATGGGTTATGAGTCTATGAAGCGTGACGGCGTTGATGCAATGTTTGCAAACGAATATGCCTTGCTCTAATTACTATTATTCATAGAAGTTTGCCGAGTTCTGTACCGAAGACGTTGAACTGACTGAACGAATATGCGCACGCGACGGATGCGTCGGTCGGTCAATAACATAATAGTGACTTCACTGTCTTATGTAATTTGTGTAATATTATTCAATGTTCCGTTAATACGGCTTACTTATTAGTGAACTTAGAATATATTATATATTTTCACTATTATTGAATGCGTAAAGAATTTAATTATTAAATGTAACATAGTCCAGAATGTCATTGCACAACTAATTATCGTCTTTAATCATGCATAAATAGTCAATTATAAATGCAATATCGCCGATTCGTACACGCGTTGTATTTAGAAGAAATCTTGTAAGATTCCTCAATTATTGGTTAAATACTGAATCCATCAACAACTACTAAAGTTTTCTGATTGATAAATAATCATATAATGTCAATCCTACAATCCACAAATTGGCCTTTTCTGGTCGGACAAAACCTTCAGTCGGTTGACAAACTCTAAATACTTTGCAGGCGTACAGCTGCCTCCCAGCTACAGTTTTAGCGTCGTGTGTTGAGAGCGTATGGTCTTCTGGCAAGAGTAATGGTGCGCAGACGCAATTATCTCGTGCCCTGTGGCTGTGGTGCGGCGCACTCGGGGCACGTGTGTGGTTACCTTTATTACCAAGAGAGGCCACAAGGAGACAGGACCCGTCGAGACATACTTTTATGGCGAAGCGGATCATGCTGCCGTTTCATTTGAATATTTATCCATTGAGTAAGTACAACATTAAAAAAAGTGCGTGCGTACAAAGTACACATGTCAGAAGTGAAACTTCTTTGGCAAACTAATTTTTAAGTCTTGTTCATATTTATACAAATCAAAAACTTCAGATTTCCGAGACTTAGAGGGAGGGAAAAAGGAAGATATTTAAAGAAAACACTTTTTTAACGGATTGAAGCTATGTATTATACTGTACTGTTATTATACGTAGTTGGTCCCAAAGTTCTGTCACTAGCACATTATTTCTACATTTCGAGCAGGATTTTATAAAAAAATTATTGCATTCTATTTTGGAATGTTTGATTATTGTTTTAAAACAAAAAACAATAACTTTCCGTAATTTTTCACGATGGAGTGGACATTGAAAGTAAACCGAATAGTTGTTATTGCGTTGCACCGCTGTGGACACTCGCCGAGTACCATTTTCAAGTTGCTCAAAAATTTGAATATAACGCTTAGGTTTGTGTACGGTACTATTGATAGGTACCTTGAAGTCTCCAGTGTTGAGGACAAGAAAAGAACTGGCTGGCCACGCTCCGCAAGAACACCAGCAGTAATCAAAGCTATCAAGGCGCGGATAGTAAGAAATCCTGTCCGAAAACAGAAGTTGATGGATTTGCAGATGGGTGTCAGTAGGAAAACAGTAAAAAAGGTTTTAAATGAAGATCTTGGTCTACGCATACAAAAAAAGAGTGGGCACTTACTTAATGCTCGTCTAAAAGCAATAAGGCTTAAGAGATCGCGGGTGTTGTTTAAGCGGTACGCGAAAAACCGACACCGTGATATCCTCTTTACGGACGAAAAATTTTTCGATATTGAAGAGAAGTACAATAAACAGAATTATACAGTGTACGCTAAGAGTTCTGAAGAAGCTGAAAATAAAGTTCCAAGGGTGCAACATGGACATCATCCATCATCAGAATGGTTTGGTTGGGAGTGTCCTATTACGGGCTAACTGAGGTTAATTTTTTCGAAAAGGGGGTCAAAACCAGTGCTACAGTGTACCAAGAGACGGTTTTGTATCGCCTTGTCAAAGACATGTCCAGCACCCTATTTGCGGGACATCACTTCGTGTTCCAGCAGGACTCTGCGTCTGCATACAAAGCCAAGACCACTAAAGCCTGGTTTGAGCGTCAAAACATCGTCTTAATTAGACATGAGGATTGGCCTTCCTCCAGTCCGGACCTTAATCCTTTTGACCAGAAATTATGACAGGGCTTAGAGAGGAAGGTCTGTGATAAACCTCATGAAAATTTGGAGAATCTGAAGTCATCTTTAAAAAAACCAGTGACTGAAATCGACACGAATATGGTGCGTGCTGCGATAGACGACTGGCCGCGACGCTTAAGGGCCTGTATTAAAAATGAGGGAGGTTATTTCGAATATTTTTATGTTTTTTTTATTCCTTAATTAATGTACTAAGAATTGATATATCACTCATTACAAACTGATCAGTACTTTTGTTTTTATCATTATTTCCATTTATGACAGAACTTTGGGACCGACTACGTACTTATAATTATTTTACAGAATTTTAAATTTTTCCGACGTTTCGCGTGCTTTTCTGTTAAAAAAGTGTTTTCTTTAAATGTGTAAAAGTTATGTTAATAAAAGACAAAGGAAGATATGTTAGGAATTTAATGAATTTAATTGTCTAATGTAATCGCTCTCTCCCTTTTCTTCGACAAAAACGCTGCACATATTCGTGACGTTTTTTAAAAAATTTAACCTCAAGCACCTAAAAAAAGTTTCACTTCAAAAATATAATTTGACTATTCTCTATCTACACAAAATCTGGCGAAATCTATGATTGTAAAATAAATCTTTATTTTTAGCAATACTTTTCGACGATGCAATCTTGTTGGGTGCCGAAAACGACACCACCCTGTACGCTTCAGACTCGAACTCCGTGTTCTCGTTGCCTTTCTGTGTCATCAATAGAACGGTAAGTCAAACTGTGTAGAATCTTCCGACACGTGGCAGTGATATTGTACCAAACTGTGTAATCCTCTCTTTAGGTTTAAACTAAAACTCACGCCGAACTTGGCGATCATATTTAAACATCTATTCGATTTCAAGATAATCCTTTAGATGATTTTTGATTTCCAGAGTCAAGTGTACCTGCACCAAATACTCCGGCAGCTACTTCGCCGTAACCTCGGTTACCACGCCTGGGAGATTGCGCGCTCTTGCTCGCAGTTGCCCTATTTCCCGCATTCCTTAGAGTTGTTATTGCACGAGGTAAGCTTTTGTCGCCACAGAGTTGTTTATGTAAACTATCTAATATGTAAAAGTCTCTCTTATACATTTTTATGCATATTCAGTAAGTCTGAGAATCGGCTACTATCTATCTTTCAAACTCCTAAGTGGTAAGGGGTGTTCACTCCAAAAAAATTTGTTTTTATTTTTTTATGAGATTGTCACCCCTCTACGATCAACCCCTATTTTTTAGTATAGTAGATAGTTATTTTTATTGAACTAAAAAATGTTTCCTAGAAATAATATACATGGCAAAAAACGTTTGCTGGGTCAGCTAGTTTTTTTTTTTTTTTATATATATTTTGTTACCAAGTTTTAGCTAAACTAAATATTTGATATAGAAATAGATGAGATGTATGTTTGTTTACTGATAATAGTCACAAAGATGTTGTGGTGGTAGTAAGTGGTATAGATCGGTTATCGAAAGCTGGCGCGTTCACAGTACTCACACTAATGCAATTTCACTATACAGTATGTTTAAAAATATGACTTTTTTGCCAAGCTATATATTTTAGTCTATTCTGGTTTTAGTAAGGTTGGGTGTGTTGTAAATAAATAAAAATGTGTCAAATACATATAAATATTATGTGCATACGAGGGTGGATACAAAAGTTCTAAGCCCGACCAAGAACGTAAAAGAGTAGTTTGTGTAAATAATTTTTCATTTTTCGACATATACCCCATCTAGCTCAACACACTGCACCAACACCAGTCGCATCTGATGTCAAATTAAAAATTACATTTTTTTATTAAGATGCTTAAAATAATTAAAAACATTGTACACCATTTCACGAGATTGTCCTGGTAATATTTAGACGGAATATCTTTCATAAGAATTTTTTTCAAAGTATTCTAATCTCCAACCAAATAAGTAAACAATCACAGACAAAATAATGAGAAAGAAGATCAACATAAACAGTAGCAAAAGCAAAACAAAAACTGTCTCTTTTATACTCATAAGCTTGACCGAGCGCGAGAGAGACGGACAATTTTTTCATGATGCATATTCGGTTTGACATCGAACCTCGCGCTTATTCACAGACACTACACAAGCACAAAGTGTAAATGTGCCACACAAGCCGCCAGCTTTAGATAACATACCAATAATAAAGTTTTGAGTGACACTGGTGTTTTAGGTTCTGGAGGAAGAAGCGACCAGCAAAGAGCCGATTCCCGACGCCCAGCTTCCCAGCGTTATCGAGTTCGTTCATGAATTTCCCGTTTATCTTCAGGTAACATTTTCTGACTCACAAATTATAACCACTCGAACAGAAAATTTAACTCTGAATGAGTTGATGAATGAATATCAAGTTTAATGTATTCGATTGTAATGCTAGACGATAGTGCAATGTGCAAGGAAGACCGAGATAGCGCTATGGGCGTACCTCTTCTCGGCGGCCGGAAAACCCAAGGAGCTCTTCCAGGAATGTCTGCAAAGGAAAATGTTGGATACGGCCGCTTCCTACTTAATTATATTACAGGTAACATTGCGATTCAGTTTCTAATCAGAACAGTACATAAAAATATATCCGCATAAACAGACACTGTTGATATCAAGTTGATATCAATTCTTCTTATCTTTGATTGGGAATAATTTAAAGTATAATATTTTCAGCGAATACCGGTATGTTTATTATATATTTATTTTTTTTTTTAAGCATATAATACATACATACACGATAATTTTACACAGTATGATATGGGTTCATACAAGCGGCGGTCAAACAGGCATCTCCTGGACAGGAGTGCCAAAATCACCAAGTATAATAAAAATAGGATTAAATCTCACTCAACGTCAGGTGGAACGTTTGGCCACAAAACGTCTGTCCAGTTATTTTATGTTAAAAAAAGTGCGTGCGTACAAAGTACACATGTCAGAAGTGAAACTTCTTTGGCAAACTAATTTTTAACTCTTGTTTTAGATTTGTATATATATGAACTTTTTACTTTATTTCCGAGACTTAGAGGGTCAAAAAAGGAAGATATGTTAGGAATTTAATGAATTTAATTGTCATTAAAATATTAAAAGTGTCGAAAATTAATACAAATTATTCATTTAATTTATTTCTTCGATAATAAAAACACGTGAAATTTTAATTTACAATCCGTCATTTGAGATTCAATAAATTATTTTGCATAAAATAGTAATATTTCATTTTCATTCTCTTTACGATATTTTAATTTTACAAATAGAATTTCTATCAGGTTATTCGCCCTTCTCACTCTCTCTCGATCGCTTTCTCCCTTTTCTTCGACAAAAACGCTGATCTACGTGACGTTTCATCCGTAAAAATTTTACCCTCATGCGCCTAAAGAAGTTTCACTTCAGAAACACGCGCTCATGAACCATTCCTGTAATAGAATCTGGAGAGTTCGGCTGTGAGCAGGCAGCTCGCCACCCAGCTCTTGGACACGGCTCTACAAAATGAGCGATGGGACCTCGCGAGGGACCTGGTGCGTTTTCTGAGAGCTATAGGTAGAAACAATTATTTCATTTGTATCATTGTTTAGGGTAAATTATGCCCGACTGCAAAATGTGTGAAATTTTCTTGGGTGACTTTCAGACCCAAACGACGTGGATTCCCCTCGAAACTCTGTGAACGTGCAAACGAAGTACGGCCAAGTGGTGCAGTCACAAACGGTCAGCCCCAACGCCGAAGACTTGTCCGTCATATTGGGAACTATGCAGGTACAGTGGCAAACAAAGTTCCATGATTCAATATTTGATATGAATGTATGGAGAAAATTATGTATTTTTTTAATTATATTTGATTTGCGTCTGTGTTTCATGTTCATTGTTAAATTGTAGGCACAACTAATCAAATAAATTCCCTTTACGACGTCTGATAGTTTTTTTTGTCATCGACATGGACCCTCAGATATCGGGTGGTCGCGGGCGCAGCTTCAGCACGACCGCAGCCCCCCGCGAGCCCTCACCGACGGGACACGCTCCGCCCCCCGCCCCACCCCCTGCCAGACGAACGGCCGCGGCCGCCGTCAAGAGGAAGAAGTCCGTGCCCGCGAGGGCCGACCGGTACGCTTTGCCGCCCGTTGCGTTTTATAGACCGTTATCGTCCGGTTTAACCTTTCGCTATTACTATACATATTGATATTAATCAGATTGTGATTATAATAGTATTATCACAATTACGATAGGTGATTTACATGTTTCAGAGAATCGTGCAACGGCACGGCCGAGGAGTTCTTCATAGACATGATGATACAGAGACACGCGCGACATCTGCTTTCGACCGCGAGACTCGTGTCGTTGGGGAAGCTGGCGGCCGCTCTCGACCTGCATCTGGTGGCCTGGCTGGCCGGAGAGAGGGAGAGGGCCGCTCGAGTCGACGACGCCGTGCTCTGTCTCAAGCGAGTCCATCGGGACTTCGACTGGCCGTACCCGACGCCCACCGAGGACCAGTACGCGCAGAGGAAGACCAGCGTCGCTCCGAGTGAGTTTGAGATTATCGGGGAAGCGAATGGAAAATGTTGTGTGTGTACGGTGAACGGTAATAATGTCGCAGGTACCTTCAGCCTGTCGGCCGACTGCGGCAGCCAGTGCGGCGACAGTGGCTACATGAGCCTGTCTCTGAAAGCCGCGTTACCTCTGGCCGGGGCCGTGGCCTGTCGTTCTCCGGGACCCGTCAGGTGCGTAATAGCCGATGGTTTGAAAGTGGAGAGGGGAGAGTGCTAGAGCTCAAAGTGATCTGTCACAGTTCGGCGGGCGAAGGCAGCGTGGCGGAGGGCGGGGGCGTGGCGTGGGGCGATGCGGAGGGCGAGGAGCGGCGCTACGCCGCCCTGATGGAGCGGCTGCACCAACACCAGGCCGACCGCGGAGACCACACCGCCCACGTGCGCCTGCGCTACTTCCTGCAGCTCGCAACGGAGGCCAGCTGCGTGGAATGGGCGCTCGTGGTCGCCGTCGCGCTGCGCGACGCCTTGGCCGTCCTGCGCTGCACCAACGCCGCGCGGGCGCCCGACGTCAGCCTGTCGGCCGCCAAGCGCCTGCGCGACGCCCTGCGGGACCTGCTCGCCTGGTCCGACGAGGAGTGGTATGTCCGACACTTTCGGCGGAGCGTAGAGCTGCGGAGGAGCTCCTGTCTCCCCTCCCTGTATTCTAATGTCAAAACGTGAACTTATTTCCAGCGTCGGCTACAAACCGTTCATGCTGGCGATCGGCAACCAAATGCCGTTTCTGACGTCCATCATCAACGCCCGCGAACGACGCACGTCGACGGTGAAGCCGCGCGTGCGCACGCCGAGCACGGGCTCGCTCAACTTGGAGCCTAAGCAGACGCAGGAACCGAAGCTACCGACCCCTCAGAAGGCCCAAGAGGTCTCCAAACAGGCCGTCAGGAAGGACTCCCCTCCGACAATCCCCGAACCCGTCGCGGTCGCCGCGCCGTCGAGACCGCCGGCCGAGCAAGGAGATGCTTCCTCCGGCTGTGCTCTTATGTAAAGGGAATCCGAAAAAACAACATTCGTAGCTTAGATTGTATATTATTTATTATTATTTATCACGAATTCGGTATTTCTCCACCGTTCATATTTTATGTAATTCACGTGTACTTAAGTTCGAGTCGATAAATATTGTACTTTATTAAATTCAACTAAAGAGGAGGACATTAATCGATTAAATATGTCTTCCCGGCAATGATGACGTAATAATTTATTTACAAAATTTACTGAAATAAAAGACATTTATATATGAATTAATATTCGTGTATTTTAATATATTATTCTGATGACCGTTTTTAAATTAATTGATAAATAATGTTAAAACCAATTTTATAGTGAAACTTTTACAAATCCCATAGCGGTAGTTATTTTAGCAGATAGTTAGATTTTAGTTAAAGTGTAAAATAGCAATATAACAGTTTGCTCATTGCGTGTGTTGATATTGTTTTGTGTTAATTTATGCTCAATGGGAAATCTCATTATAGTAAATGTGAACAGCCATTTTTCTTTACTATACCGCCATCGTGGTGCCAATATTGAAACAGTTCTCGATCGTATCAATTTGTACAAAAAATATATATTATTTAAAATATCGTATAGAACTCTTAATATTATCATAGTCTGTAGTTGGACATTTGTACATTCCACTCCTAATCAATTATATTATGTAATTTTATAATTATAACTAACATAAATATAAGTTCATATCGTGTGGTTGTAATACGTCCACTAACTGTTACTATTTATGATAACTGCACTCATTAACTTTCCGAATAAACCTTAAACATCCAATTGCTATTAGTAAAACTTTTCCTCAAAGATTGTCGTAGCGTAGAATCGTGTAATAACGTAAGAGAAATTAAAGTTACTTTTGAAACTGAATCGTCAATTAAAGTTGTGAAGTTTTTATTAATATTGTATGGAGTCACTTACGAGCGGGTGCTAATAATAATTGTTATTGTTATATTTACTGACATCTGTTACAACAATAATTTGTTTGGCGCATATACTCTTTTAATTAATTCAGTAATAATTTTGGAACAAGAAATCGAGATGATTCATTGCTTATGTTTTAAAACTTCAGCTATCTCTGTGATCGTACGTTAGAGTTTTTTTTTTGCAAAATATTCTATTATAAATTAATTATGTGAATGCCCAAAATATTTAAATCATTCGATGTATTCCGAACTCGGAACCTAGAGTCTATTAAATTAATTTATCTGATTCTTGGTATGCAAAATGTTAAATTATTATTTCTTGGATTATCAATTTCGAAAGTGTTTTTTATTACTATGACTAGCAATAAAATAGATTTTTTTATTTAAAATATTTAAATTGTATTTATTGTAAAAACAGATTGGTGTTAAATAAAGACTTAATAAATTTTAAATGGTTGAGATTTTTTACACAAGAGAGGCGAAATATCTGATTTAGTCGTAAGGCCCAATAGGTACACTTAAAACCACCGAACATTTTCTAATCGAGGGGGATATATTTTATTATAACTCTAGAGGCCCACTCCGTACGGTTGCCCGTGCGAAGCCGGCGAAGAAACTGATATTAGTGGCGTGACGTGTTTTTATATAATACTAGCAAACCGGCCAAGCGTTGCTGTGGCTAAGATTTAGGTTATATTACATAGTAAACTATTCAAGGGAAACGGTAGGAGACCACCATGGTTTTTTGGTGGTTATGCCATTAAAAGCTTTTGTGAAACGTTGGTACTTTCAACACAGCTCCATCTGTTAGAATTGTGACTATCAAGTAATAAACAAATATTTTGCAATAAAATAATATTGCGGGCATAAATTGAGATGTGAGCTATCCTATCTAATAAAACACTATTTATTATATATATATTTATATTTTTAAATTTATCCCATATATAAATATGGGATAAATTTAAAATTATGTTAAATAGTTGTAAATTTATAATAATACATAACTTCAATCCGGTCAAAATAGTGTTTTATTAAATGAATAAAAGTTATGTTAATCAAAGACAATACTATGAGCTATCCTATCTTTTAAGTTAGATCAAACTGCACACGGTGTGCAAATTTGATTTAAATCGGTTAAGTAGTTTTTAGGAGTCCATAGCGGACAAACAACGTGACGCGTAATTTATATATATTAAGATAATAAAGCTCTACAACTTTTCTCTAAATCTCAATAATACATATTATCTCTCATCATTCAGGCAGCGTTCTTAAGAAACATTTTCGTTCGACTGTTTATTCTCTGATTTGCGTTACAAATCCGACTACCACTGAAAAGTATTCATTTTTCGGGTTTTTTTTTTCCTTTATGGCTCTGGCACGGTTTGTGCATTAGCCAGCGTCATGTATAAGATTTTTATAATTCGCTATTTTAATTATTTACAGTTTATGAATAATAAAATAGAAGGAAACTAATCGCGACATAACATAGATGATTGAAAACGCATTATATTTACAACAAGATCAGAATAGTTACATAAGGGGAAAAATAAATCATTTTTCGGGTTATATGATAATATAGCCGGAATTTTCAAAATGGTTTTAATAAATTCGGGCATTAAATCTTAGCTCTTTTTTATATTAGTATAGATATAGATGAGGAGAATTGTTTAGCGATAAGTGATAACCGATACCTTATAATCTATACCTTAGTTTTTATTTTTAACTGCTGTTAAAAATGTCTGTATCTGTGGTCTACGCTATTCAATCTGTGCAATATAGTGTTGTGCTCGCGTTCTGTGTAATTACTACTCGACTATATCGATTCGAACTGTGTTTAATGAAAATAAATTTAAATTTTACCGTAGAATCAAAGCCAAATAGAATAATAATAATATTCTTACTACTTAGGTGTCGATTACAACATGTATACTATGTGATATTACGATTAATTAAATTCAAATATACATCTTAATTTTACAATTGCATTTTTGTTAGATAATTGAAATATAAAGTTTCTCTTAAAGTAAATTTAACAAAACTATATAGGTTTCATCTTTGGAAAGGTACAAATGCCAAAAATATAAATATATGCCGTATCAACTGAGATATATAGGTACGATAGTTGACACGAATCAAATGACAATCATTGGATGTGGAAGACTCGGACAACACTATTATAAAATTATAATTTTTAATTGTGACTTGTCAATTTGCCGTGATCTGTCAAGACCATAACTTTTGTTAGGAGAATGTAGTAAGAAACATTGATTTTACACGTTTTAAAGTTGTTTTTATGAAATAGTTTAATTTGTTTATGAATTATTAAGTAAAGAGCCGCCGTACTGTCAAAATGGCAGACTCAGCTCAAAGCGGTATTTCTATCGCCGAGCTGAAGGCGGAGATTGAGAGACTTAGCCGTGAGCTGGACCAAGCAAGTAGTGAGAAGATACAGTCAGCTCAGCTGGGACTGGTACTGCTCGAAGAGAAAAGTTCCCTTCAACAGCGATGCGACGAGCTCGAAAGCCTCTACGAAAACACGAAACACGATTTGGAGATCACACAGGAGGTTAGCTGGCCTACATACCGTAGTATTTTCACTTTTCATGCCTTAATGAATGCATTAACGTATGTACCGTAACTTCAAAATAGTTTTTTAATGTATAGTAATGTAAAGCTGTGCTATTTCCATCCAAATTCAATAATGAAGTTTTGTAAAATTAAGAATTTGATTCCAGCTGTTTGTTAGAAACATTAATAAATATATTGTTTTAAACTTGCTTGCTTCTTTCTGTTTGATTGTTTAAATATATAGTACTAAGTTATTTGAATTTTGCAGGCTTTAATGAAACTTGACACAACTCAAAAGGAGACAACACAAAGTGGTATAGAACAAGAAAATGCATTACTCAATGAGTCTGCGGCTATGGAAAGCTCCCTCACACTACAGATAATAGAGCTTGAAGGTGAAACTAAACAGGTGAGTTATTTGGAGCAATATTTTCACTCAAGATATTTCTAGTGTACTCATGAATTTATAATATTTTCAGAGAAGATAAATTACATTCACATTGAAATTAGAATTATTTTCTTGTAATTGTGTTTATGTAAGTTACATGTATAATGGAGTTTTTAAGAATAAGTTATGATATGAAACACATAATTTCTTTATTTTTATATACTTAAGTGAAGAATAATCTGAGTAATTTATATGATAATTACTAAAATGTTTTAATGACCATATTGTTATTATAATGAACTAGATTTGGTATTTCATCAACTATATTTCTATAATAATTGATTTGATCTTTGAAATATTCACTATCAAGCAGTTTGATTTTTTCTATGTGAGCCACAAATAATGGATATAATGAAGAAAGATTTCTTCGCTTGTTACATTTGCTATAAGAGCTGAATTAAAACAAACAGTATCAACTGTTATTGGTGTTCCCTTTTATCAGCTTCCCAGGTTAACGACCTGATAGAATGTTAAGATAGGTTAGTGGTAAGACACAATATGTCCAAGAGAGACAAACAATGGAGTCCGATGGTTTTACCTCACTAATTTCCTTGTCAGTCCTCTCCCCAAACATCCTTAGTAGATTGTCTAGAGCAATCTCGCGGACCCCATTTTAATGAAATTATCAATATTTGGTGTAAATGTGTTGATAGTATTTTTAACGCAAACAGAATACAGGTTCAAAATGCTCGCGAAAATAATAAGCTTTATTTTCCTTACCATGATAAAAGTAATTAGTAATAGGAACATTCTGACGAATTATGTCTGCCGTCGTTCAATTGACATGAATCATCCCGAGACCCTCGAACAGTGTGCGCGGGACTCGGCTATGGAACGCACTGTAATATCTTTTCTGCACTGAAAAGAGTGATTAATCATTTATCGTTAAAGTAATCCATAAAGTTTTACTTACGAAATAGTTTAATAAACGTCTGTAACGTAAGACGTCGAATGGCGTAAGCGCAGCATTTTGTCCATAACACGTCCAGAAATATATTTTTATTCACCCGGCCTTGATTCATGTTCCCGCGCTACTCAATGGTGTGAAGTTTAAAGATATCGCTGATGTGAAAGTGTCGTTTGATTCATCGTTGTGTGGCTGTTTGTTTTGGAATTATCGACCATTTACCAAAATGAGCAAAGGCGGAGAGGTACTGTCTCATAACGTATGTAATTCTCAATATCCTGCCGAAGGAACATGTCAAAATCACGCTTACAATGTTGACATAGTTAATGGAACTCTGTTGATGTTTGCGTAGCTGGAGATCAGCCAAGACAATTAATTTCAAGCTCCATTTATAGTTTAAACATATTCCTTTTCTTAAACGAGTCAAATACAGCGTTTTTCAATTGAATTTAATTTGTCGTGGTTAATTAAAAAGTTAAATTCTTAATAAATGTTACGCCCATATCTCCAAATTCAGATTATTACTTCATACCAACAAGGCTTCCTATTATAACAGTTAGTTTTAAAATTCTATTATTCGCTTTGCTTTCGAATAAATCTTTCCTAAATGAAAAAGTCTAATCGCATTCCAGACAAAATTTATTCCAATTAAGAAGAATAGCACGCATTCTCTCTGCAGCTCTGCTTATCCAGGTCAATTCTGTTATCATTGAGACTTGTTTATTGCTGACTCATACGCTTGTAAATTGTATAAATCACACAACACGTCTCCCGTCATGTGTGGAGATGGATGGCTGCATCCTCTACAGCGAAATGCAACTGATATTGACCGATTAGTCTAGAGGAAATGCGCAGCGTGCCAAATGTTAAAGTTTCACCGAGGCGATTTACACGCCACAAGATATTAACTATAATAGCTTAGAAAGACTACTTTGACTTCTATTATTACTGATTTCGAAAACCAAAAACCTTAATTTAAGCAGTATACGCATATAAGGTGGTCTTCGGAATATGAAGGTCCTAAGAAAACTATTCTAATTATTAATTAGAAGTAGCGTCTTGGTCGTTTTTACTCAACCGGTCCCTTAAGAGTCATAATATTTCATATAATTAATTCACAGCGCGATGTGTCGATTATTTCCTTATCGATGCAAATGTACAGTGAGTCAGCGAGATAACTCAGTTTGCTCGGATTTTATTAGCTGTACTTAATTTTGTCGTCATGTCGTGTACCGGCGTGTGCAAAATTAAATTTCTATCCTATGCTTGTACTTTAAAAGGTTTCTTGACGAATACCGCAATATACGGTGACGATGTGAACAATGCTATATCTTCGATTGTCCATTGGTTTAGTATGAATAACCTTCTACTTAATGCAAAAAAGACAAATTGCATTAAATTTTGTGCAAAAAATGCAAGGGTTATGGATACTAGACCAATTATAATTTATAAACGGTGAGGAATTGAATCTGGATGATACAACTGTATTTCTCGGAATCACCATGGATTCAAAACTTCAGTGGTCCCCTCATATTAACGGATTGGCGAAGAGACTTAGTTCTGCAGTTAAAAAAATTCGCTCACTAACTGATGTCGATACAGCTAGACTTGTTTATTTTAGTTACTTTCATAGCTTAATGACTTATGGCTTATTATTATGGGGTCATGCTGCTGATGTCGAAACTATTTTTATCCTGCAGAAGAGGGCTATTCGTGCAATCTATAATTTAAAATGTAGGGAATCTCTTAGAAATAAATTCAAGGAAATTAATATACTTACCTTTCCCTCGCAATATATTTATGAAAATATTATGTATGTATACAAAAATAGTGATAAGTTTACTAGAATAGAACATACGCACAATGTTAATACACGGAACAAACGCAGGCTGCAATTTCCCCGTACTAGACTATCTAAAGTTAGTAATTCTTTTTTTGGGGAAAGGGATACTCTTCTTTAATAAAATCCCAGAGGCTCTTTTATCTCTGCCTTTCAATAAATTTAAGAAATGTATTAAAGAAAAGCTGTGTAAAAAGGCTTACTATAAAGTCAACGATTATCTAGTTGATAAAAGGGCCTGGGACTAGTGCTAGACAGGCTACTTCTAATTAATTTGCGATATTTGTTTTAAAATAAGTGTTGTTTGATGATTTGATATTTTAAAAGAGTACCGAGAGTTTTTTACGCCGGCTTTTTCTCGGCCTACACCCTCTGTCTTATTTGCCGATGAGTAGGGATGCCTACAAATTCAAATTTAATGACGTGGAATAAGTGATACATGTATCTTATGTTCCTTATAAACATATTTTATTTTTATTTTTTATTTTACGTAATTTTTGAGTATTTTAATAACAGTACAAGTACAGTTCAGTTATAGAAGTACTTTAATTATCTTCGTCACAAATCTCGTTATTCCAGGTAGAAAAAACTCATTAATTATTAAGAAAATATCGCCATCGAGCCGGTATTTTGCAGAAAAATATATTTCGCTAGAAATTTAATAACATTTTCATTTCGCGATGTTAATGACTCTCAAAGAACTCGGCATCGCCTCTCGTTCGACAAGAGTTTTTAGGTCGAGCTCTGAAATGATAGCTTTGAATAAAATGTATTTCGTATATTGCGGCTATTCAATGGGCTGCACAATTACGGCATTCGCGGTCTTTAATACTTTACATTTATTTTACTATATTTTTTTTTAATTTCACATGCATTGCCACCGCTATTAGCAAGCATTGGATTATGTCATATAATATTGGTCGATATTTATTTCATAAACGGCGATTTTGTTTGATGGAAGTCCAAAAATAAACAAATTCCATTATTTAATAAAAAAAAATATATTTGTAAGTGTATTAATTTCCGCATTTACGCACTCTGCATGTAAGATCTACCCCTCCAAAATGTATATAAAAGATATATGTATATGGATCGATAATATATATATTATCAATTCAATTCAAGTCAATCTATTTCCAATAATTTAGTTCCCTGCCGACAATAGATAGAGTGTCATGATAAAAGTTAGTGTACTGTCCGTGGGCTTCGTATTTCGTGAAAATTTCCATTTCGAGCCTACATTATGAGGGAAACACCCCGCCGGCCGCGCCCAGAGACCTGTGTTAGACACTAATCTACTAAGTGCGCTAGACAGGTTGGGCGAAGGCTGACTAGCCTTAGCGTTATATCACGTTGTCGAACAAATTGCATTAGCCTCCGTGTTTAGTTAGCCATCATAATTTGATAATATCGGTTAGGTCAAGTTTATTACATGCTCTAATTATATTTTCTCGATAAAATTAATACCATATTGTTGCTAAGAACATTAAAAATTAGGTGTAACGGAGCATTTCTCATGTTATATTTAAATATAATAGGTATACAGTATACACTTCTAGTCTCGGTTATTATTTAATCTGTATGTTAGTACCTAGCCTTCTTAGCTGTATAATATTCTAAAGCGACACCACTTCAAGCGTGATTATCCCCTTAGTCTAGATAATCTTTGAAAGTAGTATAATAAGCTTACTAAGTTGCTATTGAGTGGCAGAGATTGAGCGTTTATAGAGAACTGTTATATTATGTCTTTGTGGCGAATGATATCTTCTTAGCGTATTGTTAGAAACGCGTATTAAATTCGCCACTTATTTTTGTCACTTTTGCAGCTACGCCATGAATTAGAACGTGTAATAAGTGAAAGAGATAGGTTATTAGCGGAGAGTTCGGAACTGGGCGCTGACAAAGCGACAAGGGAGTCGGAACGAGCCGCCCTCAGAGCTGAGCTCAGAGAGGCCAGGCAGAGAGAGCAGAGGTTACTTCTAGACATTGGCGATTTGGAAGACGAAAATATATCCCTACAGAAACAAGTTTCCGCTCTACGATCCTCGCAAGTAAGTTTACCACAGTAACAAATTTTATTGTCAAAATAACGGAAGTGGAGAAATAATTAATATAAATATGTTAATTTAAATTTAATTAATTATTCATTAGAAAAAGTATATATTATAATATTCACATTACTTCACCAAATCTATTAACAAACAGCAGTTTCATAATATTCTTGTGGTTTTATTGTAATTGTAGGTCGAATTTGAAGGCTTAAAACATGAAGTTAGACAATTGCGTGAAGAAGCAGAGAACGCCCGTGCAGCGGCCGAAGAGATGGCTGCACTCAGACGTATCGCAGAGAGACAGCTGGCCGAAGCGCTCGAAGCGCTGCAGGCGGAGAGAGAAGCCAAGTTCGCCGCCAAGAAGGAACTCGACGCCCACCTTAGCAGAGAAGCAGCTTATAATATCACGAATCTGGCGTACAGTATACGAGGTAGAGTCTGTTTGTTGTCAATCCTCTATGAGACTTCTTCTCTGTAATCTTCATTTCAAATCAAGCTACTAATATTTAATTTGCCTTTCATTCGTGATTACCACGATTGTAAGGCCCCGGGGCGAATATGCCTGTGGAACTGTATATTCGAGGTGAAACGAATCGGCAGGTATGCCGGATGACGGCGGCGACGAGGAAGGCGAAGCGGGCGGCTCCGGCGGCGCCGACCTGGCCGTGGACCATCACGCCGACCTCTTCTCGGAGGTGCATCTGCACGAGATATCGAGACTCGAGAAGCAGCTGGAGCAGGCCCACAACGAGAACGTAAGGCTCCCGAGCGTCAAACCAGCTTACGAAGCCTGCGAGTGAGTGAGCTTATTTATCGAACACCCTCTACGTTTCAGGGTCAACTCTCGTCTTCTCTACGCACTGCGCAGACGACGGCGGAAACCGAGAGCGCGGCCGCGACGGCCTTGAGGACAGGCCTCGTGCGCCTCGCCTCGAGGCTCAGCGCCCTGCGGCACTTGCACGGCGAGTGCGGGCCTCTCGTGAGTATTTATTCGTAGAGATCGTATCGTATCATATCGTTTTCCTTAACACGAATTCACAACATCTGACTCGCACGTCAGGACGAAGAGAAGAGCGAGGGCGGCGTGAGCGCCCGGGCGGCGAAATGGCTGACGTGGTGGCGCGTGTCGGGCGGCGAGGTGGGAGCGCTCAGCGACTCGTTGGCCGAGCTGATGGCCGCGCAGATCGCGGCGGACGCCTCGCCGGCCGCTCTGCAGCGCCAGGCGCTGGCGCAGCTCAGCGATCGCGTGGCCGAAGCCGAGCTGCGCTGCTCCGCGCTGCAGGCCGAGGCGGAGCTGATGAGAACCATCGCGGGAGGTGCGGGCCGCGCGCTCGCGTCGGCGGCGCCCGCCCTCACGTCGGCCGCCGAGACGCTGGCGCAGCTCTACCACCACGTGTGCGCCGTCAACGGCACCCAGCCCGAGAGGCTGCTGCTGGAGCACGCGCACCAGACGGACGGTCCCAACGCCGAAGGCCGGGGCGTCGACGAGGAGGCTCTGGCGCTGGCGGCCGGGGAACTGGAGGGTCTCCGGGCCGCCGGCAGCGTGGCGAGATACGCCGACACGCTGCTGGATCAGCTCACGCATCTCCGAGCGGCGCTCGACACGGCGCTCGACTCCAGGCATAGGCATCAACCCGGTGAGTTCTTCGCTTAATTATATTCGATTGGCCCAGCACGTCTCTTTCTTGCTTCACTCTTGCTCCATTGACGCGTCGATCATTTAGATTTATTCCTTTCTGCAGACCCGACACCTTGCCATTTCTCTCTGAGAACCAAAAGTTACGATACAATAAAACGGAACGAGGACCGGATAAACTCCAAGTTAAGATTTATCGAGACCGGACAGAAATTTAACGATCTTCTGTCGGAGCTGAATTCCCTTGAAACGAAACAGAGCCGCAGTGACAATATATGCGAGGGAAAAACTGTCAAAGAGATCACTCATCACTTCGAGAGAATATCTCAATATAAAAGCTTCTTACAAATGAGAGATACGGAGAGTCTATCGAGAGAGAACGTGCCGTACGAATGTAGAAACTCACCGTTTGTGTTTGCTAGAAAGTGTGAGGTGAGGTGCGACGTAAACCTCCACGCGGTGTGGAGACGCGCCTCGGCCCACGGCAGGGGCTCGTCCTCGAAGCGAGCCGTACTTCAGCGCAAGAGCCAGAGGCGCAGCTATTCTCTGAGAGACTCCCTCCGCTCCGGCTTTGTCGCCTGCGTTCCTCTGTTGCAATACGTTATTTGAACTAAACATACGTGAGACACTTTCCCCTTTGTAGAATCCCAGTTCCGTAGGTGAAACGTAGTTAAAGTAACGCTTAGCTCAGTAGAAGATTCTCCCTGTCTTACTTTAGATGTAAATAGTTGTATTCGAGGTGAATTTGAGTAAACGTTACCTCGATACCGTAGCAGGTGTTGAACTGTAGAATTTTAGGAAGCTCGAAGGACCAAATCGTTCTCTGGCATATTTTGGCCGACAGGCAGACGTTCTATTATTTTGTTGATTTGTCCCTTTCATGGAGAAAAAGTATAAAACATTATTTTATGCTCTTTAAAAGCTTAAACTGTTATTCTATATAAATGTATGTGAATTACAGTGATGGAAGCCGAAGAGCGCGGGGCGGAATTGGCAGAGCTCCAAGAGCAAGTGATCAAACTGAAGTCCCTGTTGTCGACGAAACGCGAGCAGATCGCGACCCTGCGAACCGTTCTCAAGTCCAACAAAAACACCGCGGAAGTGGCTCTCGCCAACCTCAAGTCCAAGTACGAGACGGAGAAGACCATCGTCACGGAGACCATGCTCAAGCTGAGAAACGAGCTGAGGCTGCTCAAGGAGGACGCGGCGACTTTCTCAAGTCAGTAAAGCGTGCCAGGGAGGAACTCCCTCCCGAAGTACCGACCTTCGTTCGTCGATATCGGTTTTTAGACGTTTGACAATTATTTACCCAGGTCTACGCGCCATGTTCGCGGCGCGATGCGAAGAGTACGTGACCCAAGTGGACGAGCTGACGCAGGCCCTCACCAGCGCCGAGGAGGAGAAGAAGACCCTCAACCAGCTCCTGCGTCTCGCCGTCCAGCAGAAGCTCTCTCTCACGCAGAGGCTGGAGGAGCTCGAGGTACAACGTGCCCCTAAGCGGAGAACCGCGACGAGGTCGTAACGGTATCGCTACAACGGTGGGTTTTCGCAGGTGGACCGCGAGATGCGCACGCGCCGCGTGCCCAAGGCGGGCGGGCCGGCCCGGGCGCGCCCTCGAGACTTCTAGCGCATCCTTCGCGCGCTCAAGGCGGCCGCTGTGGCCCTCCGCCAGCTGCTGCAGCACAGCCCGGCGCCCTGAGCCTGCCCCCGCCGAGACCCTCGGGGACCTATCCCTCGCTCGACATTCGAGTCTTCCCTTTCGGTCGTCGTGTTTCCACTTTTCGTGTGTATCCGGGACCGACGCGACCGACCGGAGGCCGGCGATCTCTCGCTCGATGCGCGAATTTATTTAGGACGTTACGACACTTTTTTACTATAGCTCTAGAGAATAAATTATTTGTACGTTTTATAATACCTAGTTAGCCTTAGGAGTGAGCGCGGAGGGCGCGGTCGCGGTGACGTCGCGCCGAACGCTTCCGGAACCGTCAAACTGTGCGGGCGCGACGTCACCGGCGAGTGAGACTCGCGAACGCGCCCTCGACCGGTCGACGCGACTCGCGCTCCGCCCCGGAGAGAGACTCCGGCTCCGTCGGCCTCGCGTGTCCCCATATCCTCGCCCAATATTTTCATATCGAATTTCCCTAAATATATTTTGCCCGCAAATCGTATCGAACGCTCGACGGCTATTTTCGTATCGCGTTCGATGTATTTTTTATCGAACCTTTATTCGCCGTTATCCCGCGCCCTTCGCGAATTCTCTATTTACCGCGTCGACCCGACGCAGACCGTGCGAAGTTATTTTTATTATATTAATATACATATTTATAAGAGTCGTATGTGTAAATATAGTACCTCTAATCGTTAAAGAGTCTTCAGAACGTCCAGAACGCGAACCGAACGATCGGTGTCCATCCATTGTGCGCAAAGAGACCGTGAATTCTGTTGTTCGTTCGTCGTTGCGTTGTTGAGTTGTGGCCCTCCGCCGTCTATTCTCGTCCATCTCGTTCTAGTTGTATTCGTAGTGTTTCCGTCGTTTCGTCGATCGCCGCGTCGGCCGCGGAGTTCCCGCGGGAGCTCGGCGGCGGCCCGGCGCAGTCTCTGCCGTCCCGTGGCCTCGGCCACTCGCGTCCAATCTTGTCCACAGCCGGTCGACCCTCACCGTCGTCCCTCGCGGCTCTCTCCCTCGGCCCGACGCGGTGCGAGTGTCGCTCAAAACTTTGCTCACGAGGGTCGGCCGGCGTCGTATTGATAAGGCAAAATTTACAAAATATTTATTAAAAGTTACGATTTTATTATTGTTTACGTTATTGGATGTGATCGGTAGTGCAGCTTTTCGTGTTAGGATACGTGTGGCATTCGGTGGTAGCGTTTCTCTCCTAGTGTCCGTTCGTAGCCGGTTGAACCGTAGTCGTAGGCTTAGAGGTAGTCGTCGCAATGACCTTCGAGTGTACTCGGTAGATTAACGTTTCTGAGATGTCTCTCGTTGTAGTGTAATTGTTTTGCGTAGCTCGACGGCGTCGGCGGCCGAAGCGGAGCGGCCGCTGCGCGAGGACCGTGTCTTGCATTTATTGTTTTTAGAACGTATTATTCACTAGCTTACATTACTGTAGATCATTTTCTTCGCGTACTTAACGATGAACATTACCATTTATAGAATTAGTATTTCCTCTAGTATTATTTTCGTAGGCCAGCAGCAGACGTCGCGAACGCATCGTCCGTGTCTAGTCAGCACTGTTCGGTTCGTTGCGATCCAAATGAATTATCATTTTTGATTTCGTAGGTTGTTTGTTATTCACGTCCACTTTACACTTTGTTCGTGTTATACATTAGTATTAGCTATATATACGTTTTTTGACATGCATAATATTTACCTTTATTTATTGTTAACCTGTTTAGGGACCTTTGACTGCGTGTCTGCCGGACATGCTCGTACGCAAAAGGAAGCAGTCTCGCTCGGTGTCCGCCGCCCTTAGCGGTGGTTTTGAAGCGATTAACCAAATATTATTTTCCTTATACAATTTATATACTTTAGTTATCTACACGTTTTGCGTAGGCGTAAATATGATTTTTATCTCACAGAAAGGAATATTATTTCTTTATTTATATTAAAGTATAGGAAATGCCTGCTACTTATTGTATCGTGACATGATTTTCGTAATCGACAACTCGCATGAATGTTCCCTCACTGCGTCGTCGCTTCTATTTGTCAATAACTATTACTTTGTCTCGAGATGCACAGTTTGATGGTTCGCTGTAAAGTTTAATTCGTTTTATCGTAAAGGTGGCCGATTAACTTTTTGGAAACGTCAGATCACACGTCTTCGTGTGTCGCAACAGAGCTCTACTCGCGTGGTGAAACTTTGTCGATGAATTATAGCATATTCTCAGAGAAACAGATGAACCAGCACCGGGAACATATCATGAAAGAGCGTATTTATTTTGAAACGAACGCGCGTCGCGTTGTCGCTTGACTGATGTGAAATCATGTATCAAATAAATTATTATATTTACAATTTCGTTTTGTTTTCGTTCAAAATCTTTTCCAATTAATATATATACATCTTGATACTCTTTTTTAATTTAATTAAAAAGAAATGTGTATTGTTTCACAGTATGTAGTCCTCAGATTATTTGAGAGTTAAAATTAAATCATTTATTCAGTATAATTTTTTTTAATGGGTCACGTGGTTTAACAAAGTGATAATCGCCGCCCATGGATACCAGCAACGCTGTGTGATAACGATATTTCCGGCAATTTGTGCTGTATTTGAGTTGTGAACGGTGCCCCGGCGTGAGGTACAGTCTCGCCTTAGTGAGCACACGACGCTTTATGGCATCATAAAGAAGCATCGTGTGCTTTCCCTCCAAATGACCGCGAAACTGAACGTCGCTCGATATGTCAACGCCGAGAGTTCAGATACTGGCGGAGGCTTTAAGAGGAGTGTCTTCAAATAATGGTGGTACGAGAAAGGGATTCTTTTTAGCGGTGAAAGCACTAACTTCTCTTCCTTGGGTTAAACGATTCCAGTCCGAGACAGTAATAGGTTCTCAATTTCGGACAAAGTTCTGAATGCGTCTGCGTCGCATCCGAGATAAATAATATGCGTATTGAACCGAATTCGGAGTTAAAGTAATCTTTAATCAAAACCTTTGTTCGATCCTCGTTCATTGATTCGTCTAGCATAATATACCAACGCATTATTAAGTGTTAAAAGGTTTGAAAAATATTTAAAAAAATAAGTATTAGACATATATATAATATATATATTCACAAGGGGAAAATATATAAGTAAAAGAATCATTTAATTTTATACCACAAATACATTTATTCATTATAAATGAAAGCATAAGCCTCGCTGAAATAATAACAGTAAAAACATTTACAAAAGAAAACTTAATTCTTCGAAGCGCTTAAACATGAAATACTCGTATGACTATTTTCCTATCACAGTTTGTGATTACCAAAATGTTTAGTGAATACGCCTCCACTCGACGTAACGATACGCACATTAAACTTACCCGATGGCTTTTTGCGAGATTAATATTGTTTGTAAGTTAACGGGGAGACGGTCACTAAACAAATATGCCCAGATTACCCAACAGTAATCGTTTCAATTAAATTTTTATTTGAGCGTCAAGAAAAGTTACAGTTCGAGCCCTTTGCTAGATCGGTACGTATTTCCCATTTACAGAATTAACGTATTCACCCAAGCGTCTATAACTATTGCACCGACTAAATACCTTAAAACTATTTATTTTTCACAACAGAGAAACTATTAATAAATAGTTAAATGCAAATTAAACCTATTTACAAATGCTTCGTTAAATCTACATTACAGACTAATCTAGGAACAAACTTAAACACAGGAAAGGAGGCGGTACCTTTTTCGTCACTTTTTATGGTTTTAAAGTGAGCGAGAAACCGGAATATGCATTTCGGAGATTATCTCATTTAGTGCGTCAACGCTGGGAAGAAATTCTTCTGAAGGAAAATATAATACCACTAAGTTAACGAAATAAGCGAAAGGTTAGAATTTGAAAGAATTTTTTTTATAGTTAACTCGACGCTAAAGACTGATTTTCATTGACCGCAAAGAACGAGTACGTCGCCTTTTCATCTGTTTGTATAGTGAATTCCTTAAATATAAATTATTAACCAACATAGCCGGCATCTTGAGAAATAACTTAAATAACGGATTAAAATAAATTATCAAATATTGTTCATAGGTGGACATTAATCAGTTGAAGAAATGTTGTCATGTAGAAGGGTGTGATGCTTTGGATGTTGCTGGAACTATTTCTTATCTGAAACAAAATTCATTTCGATGAATTTATTTATTTACTTCAAAAATGCACAGTAACGAAACACATACAGAGAACACAACACTTGACGCATCAATGACGACTGGGCACAACATTTAAGGGGAAACATTACAAGGATAAAAGAGAAAAGAAATAATTAAATAAAAAAGAACCACCAAACCAAAGTCACCGATCTCGTCAGAGAGATGTGAATACGCAGTATACGCTCTAGTCCGTATTCACCGCACCTATACGACGTCATCATGTGTTAGGTTTATTTTCGTTACGGAATTTCTTGATTAGGTCGCCGCGCTCAAAGCCCGCGATAAAATCTATACAATAGCTTAATAAACTAGCGAGACAATTTAAAAATGTTATACATATATTTCTTCTTTGAAATAGTTATTTATAATTTACTTTTCTATCCCTTTCTATAGCAGCCTCTGCGAATAAATTTAAAATACTAAAATAAATACCTATAAAGCGACGAGATCCATAATGTCGGCGGCCGGGGGCACGGTGCTGGGACGGAAGTAGGCGGCCAGCCGCTCGTACAGCCCGATTCGGGCCGCTCTTTCGTCCCACGCCCCGCCGGGACCGCTCGGCGGGACCGGTTCCTCGTCGTCCCGTCCGACGTCCCACGTGTCTACGTCCGGGAGAGTCGCCTCTTCGAACGGTTGCGTCGCTTCGGGGACGGTGTCGTCCACGCCCAACACCTGCGGGTGATCGCCGCGTGTTTCATTACTTTTCACAAAAATCGAACGTTAAGAGAAATGGCAAGTACCGCGGCCAAAGCCCTCGCGAGGTCCGCGGGGGCGCAGGCGGCGGCTCGGCGGCGAGCGAGCGCCCGGACGCGTCGCGGAGACAGGGCCACGGCCGCGCACTCGTCGCGCACTCGGCCCGCGAACAGCGCCGTCGCCAGGCGCTGGAACTTCGCCACCTGCAATTCGTCGTTCGTTCGTCAGTCCCGCGACCGACGTGCGGCCGATTGAACGGCATGGGAAAATACCTGGTCGGGATCACTATGGTCGATGACGTCACTGAGCTCGTGTCTCAAATAGTCCAAAGCCTCGGGGGCGGCGGCCGGGTCCGCCGCGAGCTCCCGATAACAGAGTTCGCGTAGGGCTGCGCGCGCGCAACCCACGACTCGGGACAGGGCGGGACGCGTCAATCGCAACGCCCAGAGATCGTCCAAGCGCAGTCGGGGATTTCCGGCCGTGCCGGGGTTTCCCCCGAATAGATAGTGGATCTACGAGGAATTTTGTCGGCTCAGTTGGCGATTCAAGTTTTATTCACAAATTTATTGTATAAAGAAATGTTTATAGTATTCAAAAAAATTTGGAAGATTTGGTCGTGAGACTAGAAGAGAACTTGAAGCTTCTCGTGCGTAGCTACGCTTAGTTCTCGACGCGTCGACCCACCTTCCTGACCGGGTCATAGACCAGCTGATGAGCGAAGCGCGGCCTGGGTTCCATGGGCGTGACCGCTTCGTTCCGGTAGACGCAACTCCACGTGAGCCTCCTCAGAGACAGCACCCACAGGGTGTTGTACACCCGACGGTCTTTTTCTTTGCTCATGCCCTGCAAACGTTCACTTTATTGTAAAACGGTAATTAAAAGCAAATCGATCGATCGGCTCTACACGAACCGAGAGCACGAAGATCTCGTCGGTGTCGGGGTCGACGGTGGCCCTCTGCGTGAAGCCGGCGGCCGGAGGGGCGCAGGAGCCCAGGCACAGCGCCCCGCAGCGACCCGACCCCGCCTCGTACCACCACGCGTCCAGCAGCTGCTCCTTGTTGCGCTGCCCGGCGAAAATGTACAAGCGGCGCTGGATCTGGAAACGAGGGACCTCACGTAATACGATTGTCTCGATCTCTATACGGAGCGGAGGAGAGGAATGGAACAACTCTAACCGGATGGAAGAGCATGGAGTGGGAGACTCGCGGCTGCGGAGCCGGAAGGTCGTGGTCGTCGGGCAGGAGTTGGTGCCACGTGCAGGTCCGGATGTAGTACGCGTAGAGGCCCGAGTACTGCGGACTCGCCGTTTCCTCACTGCAAGTCATTTTCAAATATTCAGTTCCCTATCGAACATCATTATGTTTTTCCCTTCCCAAAAACTACTGAACCTATTTCGGTGAAACTTGGAGTGTTCCTTAAATTGGGGTGTACCCAATTTAAATACCTTCTTTTTAAAAGCGAAAACGCTCCGTTCCCGAGTTCAGCACTCGGTATTTATAGTGAAAGAATGAAAAGAAGAAACACACGTGTTAGCCGGCAACACTCGTCCCCCGAACACGTAGATGGTGCTGGTGTCGGGGTCCATGCACATCTGATGGTCGAAGACCAGCCTGGGTCCGCCCGTGGCCGCCGTGTCGCTCATCACCAGGGACCACTCGGCCGACCGCACGGAGTACACGTACAGGTCGCTCTGCGATACATTTTTCTTTTTTATTTATCTCGATACGAAATATCTATTCACACTTTTTTCCACCGTTAAATATCCGTTATTTTAACTAGAGCAATTTTAATGAACACGTATATTATAAATTGACGACCAGAGTGGCAAACAACCAGCATACAAAGCTCAGGTGTGTCAAAGATAGATGGAACGATGAATGATAGGGAAGAAAAGAAAAGAATAGATAAAATAAAGAATACATATTTCAGAAGAATAACTAATTTAGCAAATATTGAAATGGGCGGGGCACACGGCAAGAAGAACAGAAAAGTGGAGCAAGAAGTACTAAACTGGTGCCCAATACAATAAACGAAAAAAGAGGAAGACAACTTAGAAAGTGGATAGACCAAATTAAGGATGCAGCATGATGCAGATGCGTTTAGGGTGGTGCATGGCAGAGAGCGGCACACAGATAGCTCAAAAGAATGAAATAGAAACGTAAATGAGTTTAAGTGTAAAAGTAAATCTATTATTATCATAAATTGAGGATCTCACGTTCAAATTGGCCGGCGTCCGCTGAGCGTTGTCCAGATACCTTCCGATGGTGTAAAGTTTCTCGTTGATAGGGTCGAAGACCATTTTGTGGCAGGAGCGAGGCGACGGGCCTCCGAGCTTGCCGCTGTGCCTGCAGAGGAGACACCACCTTTCCGTGATCGTGTCGAAACTCCAGAGGTCGTCCAGGTCTTCCGTCCCGTTCCAACCGCCGAAGAGGTATAGCGTACCTGAAATTATTCAACCGATACGATAAAGATCAAATAAGAATGAAAATAGTATTTTTTAAATAGACGAAGAAGACGGTTTACCAGTGTTGGGGTCGACCACCAGCTGGTGTCCGCCGCGAGGCCCGGGCCGGTTGGCGCACGCGGTGCCGGCCCCGCAAGGTATGAAGCCGTTTTCGATCGCCTCGTTTCCATTTAATGCCACATCCTGCTCGGAATAAGTTATTCGTTAAACGAAAGTCCAAAGGAAAGATTCAAATGTCTTCCGCAAGTACTTTGAGTAAAAGATTTTAATGGTTAGGCTCCTATAACCTCGTGTTATATTATATATAATATTTTGACATTTCAATTGAGATGAAGGGTTTTCAGAAACATGTAACTCACCGCACCCTCGGGCCGAGGGTCCCTGTCGACACAGGACAGATCATGAGGTCGCGAATGTACCTCTGGAGACGCGTCGCCGCAACACAGCCGTTCTTCTACTTGTCTAGAACAACCGCAAAGCTTTCGCCATTCCGGGGTGTAGGGTTGCCATGACATGTACCAGTCGAGCTCCCCATCTATTGATTATGAATAATATCTTGTTGAATAATTTATTTTTAACACCAGGAAAGACTGCTAATTTTGATAACAATAAGGTAAAATATTGTAATAAGTACCTCGAGCTGATTCTTCAAATATTCTCTCAGCCAGTTTATAATCTCCATTCTCGACGAGTGCATTCCATAGTCGTGCTTGCATATGACCTTCCAGTTGTACTCCACTCTCACGGGACAACGCTTCAAACGCGTCTTTGTATCTTCGACGTCGGAGGTGCTTCAAGAGTATGCGGACTGCTTCTTCTTCTTTACGCTGAAATTTTTGTTTGTTTGTTTAAAACTAGAGTATAAATCGCCGTAACTTATATACTGAATAATATGGAAAATATTGGACAAATTTACATTTTTAAATTGCAAGGGCATATTTTCTCACTACACTAATCACTTATCGAATTTTAAATACTTTGGTAAACAATATTATTTACTTTGCAGCTTAACATTAATTAGGTAATTAAGTGTAAAAAGCAAGATAATTAACAATACTAGATTGTTGCCCATGACTTTGATCGTGAGTAAATTGTCCAAGTCCATCTATAATTTATTATAGGTATAAAATGAAGTCATGAGCACCGAGCAATCTTAGTGCAGTTTTAATAATTTAATAAAGAAATATTATGTATAAGTACAACAACTTTTAAATTACCACATTATATGTGAAGTATTATTTAGAATTTTGAACAAAGTTTGAATAGTTGGTATCTTAGTTAAAAGATAGACATACGATTGCAGATTGTAGTGTCATATAATATAACTGAACAACCACAAACACAGAAAGTTTATACAACAGCTTTATCAATATTACATATAGAGTACATATAAAATAGTATACTATAATTTCACTTGATAAAGTTTATTTATCAGTACCTACATTATATTTTTGTTCAATAACTATTGTCATTTGTCTGCCCTTCTCCAAAATCTCAAATCTCAAAAAAATTATTGACTGTGAAATGGGATGTTTGATCTTACCATATATGTCCTAAGTGAAGAAGAGTTAAGAATCGTTAAGGGGTGTTTTACATTGTTAGATAAAGAAAGTAAGTGCCATATAACTATTGCAAGATTAGCATTAATAGACAAGCTAAAAAGATGTGACAAGCAAAAAAGCTACAAAACTACAACCAAAAAAATAATGTGCCAGAGATTAACAATAGCATAGTTCAGTATTTTAACAAGACTTTTTAAAACTTTAGCACTTATAAACTAACTTAATTTTTTTATTTTACACTTCATGATTTCTTGTCCATAGTTTTCAAAACAACAAAAATCTGTAAAATTTACAAACCATGTTAATAGTTTCCATCACATTGCTTATAAGTTCTGGCTGTTTCTTTCCCTCAAGTTCCACATACCAGATGGTGTAGTTTGAAACTGGCCCCCACGATTGTAATGGCACTATTTTTATGTATTTTACAGGTAGATACAAGCCTTCGGTTGTCCTATGTCGCAATCGGAAGATTTCTGCTACATTGTCTTTCCTTAACCCCCTGTTTTTTAGGAATAAAAAAAAAACTTTAGCTCAAAATAAAAATAACAAAAAATATTTTTTTCTACCAACACACACAATACATACAAATAAAAAATTTGCCTGTCTAATAAAATTTTCTACACAGTTTGCCAAATAAAACTTATTAGCTGGCAATATTTCAGAAGGAGAAATAAGATTGTGAGATTCTTTGACAGCAGATTGAGAAAGAAGCAAGAAAATAATATTACTACTTACCCTGTCAATAATAAAGATAAGTTGCATTCATCGGTTCCACCATAAACTTGAAACTTTTTCAAATCACTCACATGAGGCTTAATATATTTGCCAAATTTTATGGTTTCAACAATTGAGGGTGATTCAAGTTTTAAAACAATAAATTGCGATGATGTAGAACTGTCTGTAAACCATCTAGATAGCTGGTCTGAAGGATTATTCACCAAGATGTTCCTGCCAATATGTAGCATATAAGTGACTAATAATAATGTTAGATTTAATTTTTTCATACTTATAATTCTTTAGCATCCTTTAAGAGAAAACCAGATACAGAAAACTTTACTATCAAAGCTTAGTGATAAATTTCAAGTCAAAGTACTTAATAGATATTTTTTGAGACCAATTTTTTATATACATTGTTAAATATTAATTATTTAACTGTGTGACTTACTCAGGAACGTAGTGGGCGGAAAAACTAGAATATTTATGTATTTTATAATTTAATTTCAGGGTTTCAAACTTGTCATCCATTTTAACACGACACTATTTTCAGATATAATAATTTTGTGAAGAAAGAACACTTTAATGCACGATGAGTAATATTTGTAAACCAAGAGAGATAAATAATTATTGAATTTATTTTAATTTTTAGAAATGTCAATTCGCCGCTCTCGGTAGTCGGTAGACGTCCCGAGATGACATTATATAAAACTGGTTGACACCTGACAATATCATATTCATATATCTTTCTTCCCGATGGTTGCAAGGAAAAATCTTACATGCATACAAATGGGATAAATAATACAAATACAATAAGTGATTGATGGTCACTTGTGAGACTTGAGACTCGCGTTCCTCAACAAAAGGACTATTCAGCACTAAGAAAAAATATTTAATACATATATGATGAATTCCATAAAAAACATGATGCACTTTACTAAAGTTCTTAATTTAGTTATATCATCTTCTTCTAGTGGTGCGTTCCACTAAGCGATCACAACGCTCACGCTCACGACCGCGATTTCCCCATTCCACTTGATTGTGAATGTTACTGTCGTTAACTCAAGTGGAATGAATTATGGAGCGTTTCGGGCGTTCATGTAAATATTACAAATGTCAAGTTTGAAAATAGTAGAATTTTAAGGAGGTTAGGTAATCCTAAACAATAAGTTTTAATATTTGTGACTTAAATTTATTTATGTTAAAAGTGAAGAATAATTGAATATTTTATAAATAATTTTGGTGAAGTTATCAAACAACTTATAATCGAAATGGCTTTGGCGGCAGTTGGATATTATAAAATGTATTTTAAAATATTTGGACTACAAAGTCTTGTCTTTTTAATAAAATTTGTTTCTGTTACTTTAATAATATAAAAGGAATTATAATAAAAGTAATTTTCATGCTTACAAACAAATTTTTTTAATTTAACATTTAAATGCTTATTTGTTGGCTAATTTTTCTAAATCTTGAAGAAATTTCTCATCCATTTTCATTCGCTCTGTCTTTTTTTTTATTTTCTTCATGTTCCTCTTTTTGATGCAATCTTTTTCCCAGTAAAGATGCTATCGACGCCTTACTTGTTTCTAGAATGAAATTGAATTTGTAAGTTAGTTACAATTAAAATTATCTCACATAATCAACCTACTTAGTGAACATCCGCTATCAGATCCCGCTGAACTATCATTATTTTCTGCTTCTTTCAACGACAGACCAGTAGAAGATGCAACTGCAACTGGATTGCACCATGCTTTTTTGCCAAAAATTTTATCCATAATCTACCAAAAGTATATTATAAAAATTAATAATTATAAAAAATATATTTCATGAATAAGAAAATTGTTTATTGGTTTTATAAAATATTCAAGTAAATGTAAGATTTATGAAAATATTGAGTAATTTGTACTAACATCGTAAAACTGTCATGTCTTTCTATTATTTCCTGACTTATTGTTATGATCCTTAGTAGATTTATATGTTTTTTTAGGCTTCGTATTTTAGAATGACACTGCGGTCCCGTCACATCGTATCCTTTTTTCTTCATATCTTGGGATATTTTATTCCATACTTGTTTTTGAGAAATTTTTCCACTGTTCAGAGTTCCTTCCATAGACCTATATAATTCCAATAATAATAATACGCAGGGTGAGTTCCACCTGTATACTGAAGTTTCTCCTGTGCAAAAAAAAATAAATATAATTAAAATTCTCGCATAATATATATGAAATAAAATGATAATAGAATTTCAGATGTTCATTAAACCTTCAAATTCTGGAGTTTCAGAGTTGAGATCGGTTGGATTATCACTATCAAGTCATTCTTCTCCAATAAAACTCTGAAGTCTCTTCATCGTATAATTCACTAGATTCTTGATCAACTTCAACAGATGCGGAAGCTTCAGAATTTTGATTAATAATTTTTCTTAACAGCTCAGTTGCAAAAAATACATACTACAAATAAAATAAATTTACCAAATATATATATTATTAATGATAATAAATATCGTTTACTTATTGAGTTAGGTTATGCTATCCATTATTCAGGAAAAATGTATAAATATTTGTTGAATATAAACTAAAATCATAAACGATAGCTTCTACTACAATTTCTCTTTCAGAATCATTTAATGTTATTTTTCTTGTCGCCATCTTTAAGCTTTGAATATCATATTTCAAAAACAATGTCAAAAATTGCGCCAAATTATTCTCAACGTTCACAACGACCCACCTCTTTAGATGGGTCGTTGTGAGCGTTGCGTGAGCATTAGTCATGATGTCATGAGTGACGTTTTCGCCTTGACCACAACGACCGCGGTCGGTATGTGGAATGGCTAAAGGAGCATTTTGATCGTCGTGAGCGCTTAGTGGAACGCACCATAGATATGTAAGCGCATCTGAAATTTATTCTTTACTATTTTTTATACACTGTGCTGTATTTGTGTTCTGCAATCGCCAATTTTTTTGGGCGGGAACTCCAAAAGAGCGCGCGTATATTTTAAGTTTTTATTAATTTTATTTTAAATTATAGTTATTTTAGCTTAAAATTTAGTGAAAATATCAGAATTTAGAGGTGGTGTCTGTTAGAAATGGAGGGTAACGAGGGGGCGGGGATAACCCGCCCACCTCAAATAAACGTCCTCGCGTGGAGGATCGTGGTGGTGACTCCAAGGAGGACTCTAGCGTTGGCGGTGGCGGTGAGCGAAAAGACTCCTATTTACCGTTTTTCAAACCTAATTATAAAAGACTTTATCCCGAAAACTCAGTTAACACTGACTTTAAAGTATTTGTTGAATCTACCAATAAGGATAGACTGGGCAACAAGAGCCCCATATATTTAAATCACATTTTTTCGACTGAAATTAAAGGTGTGACGGCAATTCAAAGAGTGAATGCCAGTAAAATTGCAGTTATATTTAAACAATATAATACGGCAAATAACTTTATCAACAATGCATCATTCTTAAAAAAATACGACATGAAAGCTTCCATTCCTGCTGCGCAGATAGAAAAGACAGGAATCATAAGATTCGTTCCCACTAATATTTCAAATAAAGAGTTGTACAGTAGGCTAACGTCAATTTATGAAATTATTGCAATCAGAAGATTCACAAAAAAAGTAGGTCATGAATATGTTCCGTTACAAACTGTTAGCATTACTTTTTTGTCCAATATTTTACCTGATAATATTCAATATGATTTATTCTCTTACAGAGTTTTTGAATATATTCCACCGTTACAGCAATGTTTCAAATGTTTCAAGTTTAACCATTCAGCAAAAATCTGTAATGGTAAACAAAAATGTTCAATTTGTGGAGGTGAGCACTTATATAAGGAATGCGACAAGCCAACTGAAATCTGTTGTGTTAATTGCAGCGGACCTCATCTAGCTATTTCAAAAGTATGTCCAATTAAAATGAAGAAAATTATGGAAAAAAAGACTAAAATTACTTATGCAAGTGCTACCTTAACTAAACAAATAAATAACAATGACTTTCCACCACTACCAACATCGAAAACACCTGTATATAATAATGTAAATAAATCTGTATATAAATCTGTAAATAAGCCTGTAAATAAGCCTGTATATAATTCTGTAAATAATCCTGTAAATACACATATAGATAATGTAAATAAACAACAAGACATTAAAAATCAAATTGTCTCTAACAATGATGTACTTATGGCCCTTGTACAGACATTGGTGGAGCTAGGCAATAAGGGTGATAATTCACCTACTACAGTGAAAACAATTAGGGATATCTTAATTAAAAATCTAAAATAATGGATCTAGGTCCTACACAGTCTAAGCTACGTATTGCTCAATACAACATTCAAAGTGCCAATAGTAAAAGACCCTGCTTATTCAATTCTTGAAACAACAAAACATTGATATATGCCTACTTAACGAAACGTGGTTCAAAGATAACACATTTAAAATACCAGGTTACAATATTTATAATAAAAATTCAAAGAATAGTCATAATGGTGTGGCAATATTAATTAAACCATACCTCAAGTACAATATTATTAACACTAGATTCTATGAGGACATTCAAACTGCTGCTCTGAATCTATCAACAGTAAGCGGTAATTTGACTGTTCTTTGTGTTTACTGTCCACCTACTAGTCGTCATATCAGATTAAATAGATTACATAGTATAATTAATAATCTTCCAAAACCAATATTTGTAAGTGGTGACTTTAATGCTCACCATATAGCATTTGGTTGTTTATCTAGTAAGAGTCGAGGCCACAGCTTATTTAATATTATTGATGACTTAGATTTATGCATTTTGAATGATGGTAGTTTTACAACTGTCAACCAACCCAGACGAAATCCTTCTGCTATTGATGTTAGCTTCATCAGTGCTAGTCTTGCATCTATGTGTGAATGGTCTGTACATGACAATGCCATGGGTAGTTATCATTACCCTACAATAACAGAAATATCCTTAACTATTGATAAATATCACATTGGTTCACCAGTAGACAGATTTTTATATAAAAAGGCAGATTGGACTAAATACAACACTCTTTCCAGAACAGTTTTCAATAATTTTATCATAAATTTTGATGACCCTATATTAACTTATAGTGCTTTCTGCTCTTGTTTGGATACATTAAAAACTATGACAATACCTAAACTTTCAAAATCAAACAGTTTCAAAAGTAGATTGCCAACACCCTGGTGGAATGATATTTGTGAACAAAGTGTCATTGCATCTTATAATGCTTTAAAATTATATAGAAATGTACCATCCATAGAGAATTATATTAACTATAAAAGAAAGGATGCACAGAAAAAAAGAACAATAGCAGAGCAGAAAAAAATTGGTTGGAATAATCTAACTAATACTTTCAGTAGAACAACACCCATTAGTAAGATTTGGAATTTACTTAAAATGTTTAAACGTGTTAAAACTGGCAATAGGTCATGTAGAGATGAATTCATTCCAGCCTTTTTAGATAACATAACAGATAATAGTAATTTAAGTGAGACTAGTAACCTGAATATTTATTTTAACTTAAATAATGACAATCAAAATTCTAAATTTTTACTTGAACCCTTTACTTGGTCAGAATTTGCAATAAGTTTACAATTTAGACGTAATACAACACCTGGTATGGATGACTACCCTTATCTATTGATTAAAAATTTGGATGAATCGGCTCAAAAAATATTTCTAAACATTCTCAATCTTCTTTGGCTTAACAACTATATCCCACAGGCATGGAAAACACAGTGTGTTATTCCAATACTTAAACCAGACAAAGCACCAGAACTTGCTAGCTCATATAGACCAATATCTTTATCTTCATGTCTTGGCAAAATTTTTGAATCAATGTTAAAAGTCCGTCTTGACTGGTATGTTGAAGCTAATCACATCATTCCCAATGTCCAGTATGGCTTTAGACGAGGGCGAAGCTGTGCTGATAGTTTCATCTCTTTAATTTCTGATCTGAAACATGGGAAGGAAAATAATTTACATACTGTTTGTATATTCCTTGATGTTCAAGGTGCCTTTGACAGTATAGATCCTGGTATACTTGTGAAAGTTATGTCAGGGCTGGCAATACCGGGACAACTCTGTAAATGGATTTATAACTTCTTAAATGAAAGGACAGTGTATGTAAAACACAATAATATATTATATGGTCCAAAATCTGCCTCGAGAGGCACAATGCAAGGTGCTACCTTATCCCCTTTATTGTATAATATTTACACTAGTGAAATTTGCAACTTCTTAGACAATGTAAACAATAATGTAAATGTTTTACAATTTGCTGATGACATCGTTTTGTACAGTAGTAACTATAATTTACAAGTAGCAATAGACAGTATTAATGTAGCTTTATCCCAATTGTTTTATTATTATAATGACTTTTTACATTTAAAAATTAACCCATCCAAGAGCAATGTTATGATATTCAGCAAGGATACACCAATCTATAATGTTATTTATAATGGTGAAATTATAAACAAGGTAACCAGTAAGAAATTTTTAGGAATAGTAATAGATCAGAAATTAAATTTTGAATCACATATTAAACATATTTCCAAAAATGCTTTAAGAGGTCTTAATATTATGAAATGTCTTGCTGGAGTATCATGGGGTGCAGACCCCAAAATACTATCTTTAATATACAAATCGATTGTCAGAAGTCATTTTGATTATAGCTCCTTAGCTTATTTAAATAGTCCACATGTAAATAAACTTGATTTATTACAGAACAAGGCTTTGAGAATAATATCTGGTGCAATGTGCTCAACTCCCATAAGGGCCATGGAAGTTGAGACAAAAGTTATGCCATTAATATTAAGACGACTCTTACTTGCACACAGGTACTGTCTCAAATTACTATCTTCTAATAATATGCAAATAGTTAAAAAGATTGCACCATACCTAGACATTACTCCTTCTTCATTATTAACTGGAATAACTCTTCTCAATAAATATACACCACCTTTGTCCACAATATATCTGGAAATAAATAATAAGTATAAAAAGACCAGAAAACAGTCCCTTTGGCCATGTTACTTTAGCAGCTATCACTCCATTTCACATCCAGTAAATATTATCTCAAGTACAATTAATAATAATTCTGATATGATGCAATTCTTGTCACAAAATATTAGATATTACACTATATATACTGATGGCAGCAAAGGAAATAATCACGTTCATGCAGCCTTTTATGATTCAAATGTCAAGTTTTCTCAAAGCTTTGTTTTGAATAGATCTTGTTCCATTTTCACTGCAGAGGCTTATGCCGTTTATCAGGCTTTACTGCAAATTAGTGTAATTAATAACTATAAATACTTTTTAATAATAACGGATTCTTTAAGTCTGATAAAGAGTCTAAGTAATGTTTCTGTAAAATATAAAACCAACTATATTTTGTATATTATAAAAGACCTATTGTTTAAATATCATCTTAAGAATGTAAATATATATTTTATGTGGGTGCCTTCACATAAAGGCATAACCGGCAATGAAAAAGCTGACAAAGCTGCATGTGAGGCTATAAACAGTATTGACGTTACAGACTCAGTATCCGTTCCTTTTACTGATTATTTTCTAAATATTAAGGAAAACATTTACACTCTGTGGACAGAAATGTGGAAGAAAGACCAGGAAAACAAGGGAAAGTGGTATGGAAGTATCCAAGATAACATACCTGTTAAACCTTGGTATGACAAATTGAAATCTAGTGAAAGTAGAGATTTCATTACAACAATAAACAGATTGAGATTTGGTCATAATATTGCGCCGTCACACCTAGCAAGACTTGGGATTGTTTCAAACAATCAATGTAATCATTGTCAAGCAGAAGAAGGAACGATCCACCACATTATTTTTGATTGCCAAAGTTTTCTCATTCAAAGACTTGTGCTGGCTAGTGAACTTAGTGTTACCAATGCATATAAGTGTGTTTCTTCCTCCCGCCCGCCGCTCCTCAACGTTTTACTAAAAGATCCAACATCCTATAAACCTATTTATAATTACTTAAAAAATACAATTCAAACAATTTAAGTGATGAAATTTAGTGAAGTGAAGTTAGTGTCGCCAAATTATATGAACATACATATTCCAAATAAGTCATGACTTAAAGGTCTTTGTTACCAGGTCATAAAATTAAAAAAAAAAAAAAAAAAAAAATGCAATCGCCAATCACCTATGAAAATATTGGGTTGTTGTTCATTCGGTTTTTGTAAAAGTTGCAAATTTAAATAATATCGCTTTTCAATGTAGTGAACAGCTTTAATATCAATATTTATAAAATGGAAGATGAAATTAATGAATGCATTCGGAAAAAGATACAGTGGACTCAATTGCCAGGAAATGTAAAGAAGGTACATAACAAAATTAATTACAAAGTTATGCATTATTATCAGTTCTGTCCCTCTATTTTCCTATTGGAAACAAATATATAATTGATAATTATAACACGTGTACTGCGCAATACTAATATTAGTAACTTAATGTCACTCTCCAGGTAATTCAATGTCCAAAACCTAATAATCCGATAATATTTTAAAGGTAATATCGTGATAATGAATCTTGTTATTAGTTTTATTTCACTGTAACAATGCTAATAAATATATTTTAAGAGTATATTATCTAACACTACTACTGGTACTTGTCCTGTAACTCATGCATTTTTCTTTCAGTTACTCAATGATTCTCCAAAGGAATATGAAAGGTGTATATTAGATTTCAGTATTAAAAATCAACTGAGATTCAGAGGGAGCTTAGGTAAGATTTTTGTTAGGTATACCATTTAGTTAGCAAAGCTATATGCTATATACATTACAACAAGATTACACATATTAAACCTACATTATGTATTACTAGAAGGATGGGAGGATTTAAATAAGGATAAACACTTTTTTTTCTAATTAAAATTTGTTTTATACTATTTGTTCATGATGAAACTTGTTCTTTTTTCATGAGGTCAATAAAACTAAACCAGTTTTTAGGTAGATGATATGCCTCAAAGGAACTCTTTACAACCTGTTTCTAAGCAGGCATAAAAGCTGTTTTTAACATATGTCTGTATAAAATAATAAAATAAGGCTTTTTAAAATTTCTAACTTCAGTCCGTAATATTGTTCAAGATTTAATTTAAATATGAAATCTTAACAATAAATATTAGTTTACATACTTGCCTAAATAACGAGGCTAAATAAATCTCATATCCTAGTTACTCATCCACAAGACTTAAAAACTGTTGGAGCTCACACTTACAACAACAACAACTTAGCGCAACAACTTAAATAGATTCTACCTTCATTTAGTTTAATAAAAATAAAAATGAATAAACATCTAATGACAAACAAATTAACCAATTTTTTTATGACACTGGAAGGAACTAGCATTTAAGATACAGGCTAGGCCTAGTTTAAACGCTAGTGCTCATAGAAGTATAAGGTTAACCACAATGAATATTGTATCTCAATGATTTGTAACCTATTTAATATGTTTACAATATTTTAAATGTAAGTACAAAATGTAAGGTTTTTGAGTCAAATAAAGTAATTTTTATTATTATTATTTATTTTGACTTGAATAATCTTAAAATGCAGAATAATGAAATTATTAATCTTTGTATTATGTAAGCAGAATTACTATAATAATTAGAGGAGTAATTGTCATATTTCAGTGCGCTCAGTTCGAAAAGATGAAAGGAAATACTATGAGATGCTTGTACAGAGCAGTATACAGAGGCTCATGCTCTACCCATATCACTTAGCTGATATGATAGTTAAAGGTACACTACATTTTACGGTTTATTATATCTTAAACTATGCATATGCATGATATGTGCACATCAAAGTTAACTTGATTAAAATTCTATATCTTTATAAATAAAAATTCATTGCCAAATATGTTGTTAAGCCCAAAACTCAATGATGGCTAGACCAATTTGAGTAACTTTGTTTAACTATATTCCTTCTACTCTGAGAAAGTTTAATTTGGAAAGAAATGTCAATGTCAAAAAAAATTGAAATTAAAAAAACAACTTAAAATGTTCCGTATGTTGGTATAAAGCTACTAAATACATAGGCTTATTTTAAAATAACGTATTAGGCGAAACAAAGTTTTCAAGGACAGCTAGTATATTAATAGATTTATTTTCTGATAGATCAATTTTACAATAAACATTATTCCTAAGTTATTTGTGAATATGTTCTTTAAACTTACCTTATTCTCTGAAAATTATTTTCAGGTCTTAGAATCACTCCATTCATTTACTACATAGAAGTAGTGGCATTACTTATAGAAACTGAGAAAAGTTATGACACTATGCCCAATTTCACTGCAGCTGATTGTAAGTAAAGAAAATGCGTTCTTTTTAATACTTGTTTTCGTTTTTTGTCAGAAATAAAAAAAGATATAATTGTTGTTTGATTTATGAAATGATTTGCTAGACATCAATTTCTTTAAGGATATGGAGCTGACACATATTTTGTCAGATCAGGCTATCATCTCTTTAAAGTAGCATTCTCAAACAATGGTGTAAATTATGTTACATTAGATAAATCAATATTTATTTAATTTGTTTTTATACACACTTTTGAATTGGATTTTACTAAGATCTATTGTATGAAATTCGAATGGTTCGTTCTGATAACTGAGAACAAATACTGATATTTGTCCACTCCATGTCCTAATGTAATCTTTGACACAGATGAGTAATAAACTTTATGTTGTGCCTCTGCTATAGGTCTTCGTCTATTAGGCATAGGCCGTAATGAGTACTTAGAGCTAGTAGCAAAGGCTAGGTCCCTGGGTCGCCGCGGAAGGTCCAAGGCCATCCGTGGTCTGTTACCTCGAGTGCCTCTCAATATACCCATGCAACCCTGGTGGAGGGTAGAGCTCGGATATGTCCTCGAAGAAGATGTTAAAGTAAGTTCTAATTAAGTTCCCATAGAAATTGTATCTTTTTGCAGTTTGATATTGTTGTTTTTTTTACATAATATAAATGTATTTTTTACAATAACAAAACTTAATTAATGTTTAAAGGTTTCATATTAAAAATTGACATTATTAACACATGTTTGATCTGTCTGTGTTTACTTTATGTTTGACTAACCGAAGGTTACATTCCATCCAGCCTCTTAATGAGAGTGAGAAGTCACTTATAGACCTCCTCATAGACCGAGGTTCTCAAACGGCCGGCACGCTCGACTACAACCTCGTTAAAAGCCTATACAGGTAATGTTATTCATAATATAATATGTTGTCTTCTATTAATATTAAATGATGATACTTTCAAATTTTTTGGAGTATATTATACAACTGGTCACAATTGTTTTCTATGCACTTGCGACTTTCATTTATTTGTTATACGTTTTATTTCAGGAGAGGTCTCGTCTACTTAGACGTGCCCATAACGGGGGCCGACAAAGTATCCGTGCCCCCATTGAAAGGGTTTGTGATGAATCGCATAGCGGGGGATTATTTTGAGACGCTGCTTTATAAGGTGTTCGTGTCTATTGACGAGCACACGAGCGTAGCCGAACTGGCCTCAGTGCTGCAGGTAATGATTCTTCAGAATCTGTATATAATTGGGAGAATTTTTTGGAGGTTGATATGTGCAATACGGTTTGTAGGTGGACGCGTCTCTGGTGAAGCAAGCGGTGTCCCTGTACTGCCGCCTGGGCTTCGCCGAGCACCTGCAGCCTCCCCCCCGTCAACCCTCACCACGTCTCTTGGACGAACGCCATCACCACGCACCAGCATCGTCCGTCAGTTTATTTCAATTGATAGTAGAGATATAAACTAAAATAAAAATATATCGTAATTCCACTCGACGTATGGACGTCACAATAAGAAATAGTACTTTAACATTGTCTGGTTAAATGCGCTAATCTTGGGAACTGCCGGTTCCGATTGACAAGGAAGGCTTCATGAGCAATATCAAGTGTTAGAGTTTTCTGAATGTACTAAAGTACTTTTAAATGATGCAATATAATATTTTCAGGTATCGCCAAATTACCCCTTTGTCGTTTGACTCGAGCTTAGACGAAGACGCCTTGCAAATGGAGCCGGTACTCATCAAGGATATGCCTTCGACCTCCAAGCAGGTTAGTTATATTAAAACATTGCGGGTATATTTATTTAGTGGTATTCATATACATATATTAACTCTCCCCTTTTCATGCCCCTAAAAATGGATCTCACCTTTTAGAGTTTAGAAGTGGCTTACTTTCATTCAAAATGTATTTTCAGTTTATATAATACAACAATTGTAATTTGTTATGACACTGACTGGAAGCTATGTTTGGATTATCTTTTGTTTAAGTGTGTAAATTATACACAATATTAATTTTTAATACAGTTGCTCAAAAAGTGGCGTATTGCAGGGACGTATAGCGTTCGGGATGTGGGCTATTACACACTCGTGCTTTTTTTTTACCTTTTCCGAACTAGTGCGTTTTCTTTCCCAACTGTCAAAATAATGTCTATTAAAAAGAAACAACCAACCACGAAGTTTTTACTAAAAAAAATTCATAGAAATTTTTATGATTCATGCAAATATTTCTAAAAAGAAGCTACTGCTTTGTTTCAATATAAGATTTAATGATTTGATTCAATGAGTTAGGTTAGATTTCATTTCATCTCCTTAAATTTCATTTCATATCAATAAAAAATTGTACTGAAGACTTGGCTGTATGGGCATAGTTCCCTTTGCCTACCCAGAATGGGTGAAGAAAAAAAAAATCTGCTTTTATTCTTTTACGATTGGCGCCATTTTCCAAAAATGTTCTTTGCGCGTTTAGTTGTCGGCTGCGCCTCGGCTCGGGTAGACATTTGTCGAAACTCTTTGCAATGACAGGCTTTCCGCACTTGTAATGAAATATACTATATCATAAAATTCTCATATATATTCATTTCAAATGTACTTTTATTCAAACATTATCGAGACTTTATATCGACACTCGCACGTAACAACAAAAACTGGTCTTTCTTGTTTCGCGCGTATGTGTGCGTGCGCGCAGGTAACCTGGGAGCAGGGTGTGCGCCAGTGCGCTTTGTGACTTGTGACTTGTTGGATGCTCGTATGCTTAGCTTTTTGTATATAATTCTTGTGAAAGTTAATACATTGAATCAATGAATGAATTTAAAAATGGTGGTTTTTTCATCTACCCCATAAGTGACTTAATTTTATTTCGTTTATGTGTTGCTTAAGTTTAAGCAGATGAATCATATTTTCTTTATAGAAATATATTTGTTTAAGCTACCACATGTACCCACGGAGACGACGACCACCAGCGGCGGACAGAGAGTGGCTGTCTTATTTGATTCGACGCTCGCCGCTTACCTCATGATGGGAAACTTGTCCCCAGTAAGGATATCAAATAACAATTCGGCAGACGTGTCTCTTAGTAAAAATATGTTTAGTAGTAGTAGCCTTGTTTATCCTACGATCACTGACTGAAAGTGACTGTACTCAAGTGTACCAGTCAGGCAAGAAAACCAGCATATTAAAGCAATGCCCGCAGCATCTGCGTATCATCCGAGTATCAGACACGTATATTACGCGTATCATTCACGTATAACACGCGTATCATTCATATGTCTTTACTATGAATGTCAAACGATGTGACAATTATATAACTTTTAATTGAAAATTACAGTTAATTGTCAGAAACGCGTTTAAGCATGGGAATATTTATTTATACATTAGTAAGAGTACGAAACGATGAATATGTATTTCTTTTTCAGGATCTCAAGAGTCACGCGGTCACATTATTTGAAGTCGGTAAACTGTGCGATGAAAGTCTGGACAGTCTGCTTATGGAGCTGGATAAGGTGAGGTGTAAGACGGTATTCTGCGATAGATAATTGTTTCATATTTATTTGGTTTGAAAAGCCTTATCGATGACTTCGTACTCGTCAGGTCGTCGCAGATCCAGAGATCGAGGGTGAAGCGCGACGGTACCTCGCGGCGGCCGCGTGCCTCCGGATAGCGCTGAGGACGCTGCGGCCCAAACTCCGTCCGTTGGACTTGTTGCGATGTGAAGCGCTGCATGCGCTCGATGCGCCAGCGCGGGCGAGACTGCTCGCTACGAAATATAGGTGAGTTTATTTCTAAGATCATATAGGGTTGTGCAGACACTTTGTTGTTAGTTATGATCTATTAGGTTTTCGCCATCATTTTGGTATTATTTTCTAAATCAGAATAAAATTGAAGGTGTTTTCGATCCGGCTCGAAGGACCAATGTACAGCTTGCTAGTCAGAGGGCTGTGAAATGTGTGTTTAAAATTTATATGTATTGAATGTCAGGAGTATCTGAATAGTATATGTAATGTACGTATGAGCAAGCTGCACTAGATGACTAAATATATGAGCCCTACAGACGTACCCTAACACATAAATAGTGAATATATAAATAAGTACGGGATGTCTGCACCAAGAGACCTAAGGTAACAGACGGAGCCCTACGGGTAGGATCAAAGGTTCGAGGTGGTGGGATTATCTTAAAGCTACCGGGCAGGCTCACCACGATAATTAAGGGCTTGAAGTAGTCTTTGAGAGGAAGCGAGAAATTAATACTGAGTCACCAACTCAACATCCAATTTATATCCTCTCCCTCCTACCCGTTCAAAGTACCTTTATTTAAGCGCGACCCAGCGCTACTTAGGCTAAGGTATGCTGCCCAATCATGGCCAATGGTCTCAAGACCAATGTGGTTCCTCCTCGTTGGCCTCAGAATTTAACGAAATTTCTTGCGTTCCGCGACCAGCTCACAGACAACAGTTTGGTAGATACGATTTTTGTGGTTCCGCTTAGAAGCTCATGGTATTTTGGAAGCGGAAGCCGAAGACCCTTATCTATGTATTTTTCTCTTGCTCGCCTTATCTTGTCATCGCGAAACCTAACGAATGCCTTTGATGTTTCAGACTAGCGATATCGACGGCACCCTTGAGCCGCGAGGCTAGAGCGGGCTCGGCCGCGTGCTCCCTGGCGCACGTGGGTCCCGCGCCGCCCGAGGCCTCTTCGCCCTGGATGAGGCTCTACTTGTACCACGTGGCGGGCTACGGACCCCCTACGCTGCTGGTCACTAAGGGTTTGTGCTAAACGTTTATGTGCCCTTTACCCAGATCTGTTTGCCTTCTAAGATATTTAGCAGCATGGAGCTAACACTTTGTATTTTTGCGATCTCCGGTGGCTTTCCGACATAGTAAGGTTTTAAGAAATCCCGCAGCTAAACCATTATTGGATTAATAAAAGATACAGTTCGCTTCATCGTGAGGTTATGTCGAATTCAGGAACGGTTCTCCGCGGAGTGCCCAGATGTCTCCTCGGCTTCTCGCGGCTGGCCGTGTCTTGGTGGACGGCGGAATCCGAAGCCGCCGCTCTGCCGGCTGCCGCCGCATTAGCGGCAGCCAACTCGGCTCTCCGTCGGGGCCCCGTGCTGCTGCAGGCGGCCGGAGTTAGGGCCCCGCCGCACGTGGCGTATCTGGCCTTCCCACCGGCTTCCATGGATGACGCTGAAGGTTGGTACAAAGCGATGTAATGTCTATTAATATAGAGGTATAATAGTTAAAAAAAAGTGAAACTTTTGTGGCAAACTAATCTTTAAGTGTTGTTCATATTTATACAAATCTAAAAGTTTAGATTTCCGATACTTAGAGGGACGGAAAAAGGAAGATATGTTAGGAATTTAATGAATTTAATTGTCATTAAAATATTAAGTGTCGAATAATAAAAAAAGAAGTTTGACTTTAAAAAGCAACATGGCGCGTAACCGAAACACGTGACGATTTGCTACAAAATTTCTCCCATCGTCGATAAAGAAGTTTCACTTCAAAAAGCTCCGTGACGTTTTTAATAGAAAAGTAATCGGTGAATGGCTTACTGTCAGCTCCACGTTTAGTAAAAAAGAAATAACTTTTGTAGATCATCAATGCCTATGGCGTAAGCACGGTGGGCTTAGGCGCCTCATGCGAAGATTGCGTCTCACGCGCACTGCGGGGTACGTGACGCTGGCCGATATCGGAGTGCCTGACCTCGGCTGTGCGAGACCTCCCTCCACCGTACAACTTAGTAAGTTAAGGCTTTCATAATTATTGCATCCGCAAATCTTTAACGGCGCATATTGAATTGGTCTACATGTAATTGAATTGTGGAGATGATTTGCATTGATCGTACAGTGAGTAAATAAAATTATGGTTTCAGTTCAAAGTCGGAAGAAAAAGGATATATGCGGCATGGCCAAACCAGTCAGCGAACTATCTCTATCCTCTAACGAATCCTGCGAAAAGACCACAGAGTTCAAAGCCATAAACAATAGACTACAGTCGCCCATAGAATCCCACTTTGCCGTCACGCCGACCACTGACAGCAAAACCGGCTCCCCCGCCAACGGTTTCACGAGCGCCGAAGGCGGGAAATTATTATGTGAAGAGTTAGACAGTCTAAACGTGGACACCCACAGAAGCAAAGAGTCCATCGCGGGCAGCGATGATTTTGTACCCATACATTCCACTTCGACCAGCATAGAAGACTTAAAACATTCCAAAATGTCGATTAGCAAAGAGTCCATCACGGACGATCTGATTCCGATACATTCCGGAACGCCCAGCGTCGAGAATCTGAAGTTTGACAAAAAGGAAGAGAAGTCGGTCGATCTGTTGAGTCCGGCGGAGGAATCGGTGTCTATGTTCACTCAGTTGAGCAACAAGTTGACGGAGATAAGCGGAGAGGGCGACAGCGGCGTCGACACGGCACACAATTGTTCCGATGACGAGACTTGTAAACCCGAGGTTCGTATTATCCACAATAAAGCTGTTTTTAATTAACCACGAGCGCTACTTTATGAATAAGTTAGTAATTCTTTTTTGGGAAAAGGGATACTCTTCTTATAAAAATCCCAGAGGCTCTTTTATCTCTGCCTTTTAATAAATTTAAGAAAAGTATTATATCTAGTTGATAAAAGGGCCTGGGACTAGTGCTAGACAGGCTACTTCTAATTAATTTGCGATATTTGTTTTAAAATAAGTGTTGTTTGATGATTTGCTGTTTTAAAAGAGTACCGTGAGTTTTTTACGCCGGCTTTTTCTCTCGGCCTACACCCTCTGTCTTCTTTGCCGATGAGTAGGGATGCCTTAAGTTTCAAATTTAATGACGTGGAATAAGTGATACCAGTATCTTATGTTCCATAATAAACATTTTTTTTTTTTTAATTTTAATATATTATTTCAGCGATGGACCATTCTTGACCTTCAGTTCGGTATACCTCTGTTCGATGAAGCGTTGTGTGAAAAGGTCTCTCAGAGCATTGTGGACAGGATAGCGAAACCAGAATTGTAAGTGACACTGCATTTGACATGATTTTTCCCATTTGTACTGATTTATAAATTTAAAAATATAATGTACTGAATTACAGATTAGAAAAAATAAAAGAAGACAATGAATTTATAAGAGGAGACTTATTAAAATTTGTGTCCCAATGTCAGGTGAGTCATTTATAATATTTAAATTAATTTTCACCGAGTATTATTACTGTATTGTGCCATCTGAGATGTGAAAATTGTTAAAAGAAGTGTTTTTACGTTACAGTACTATCCTGGTGAAGATATGGGCATTGTGAAGAGAGGGACCTTGGTTCCTTTGCCGAGAAAGAACCTAGTTTTTGAAAACGGCCGAATCAGCGAATGGAGTGGAAAGTGACACGTTCGCCTAATTTTAGTGAATGTGATATAGTTATAGTGAATGACCATTTAAAGTAGCATTTTGTGGTCTAGATACATAACAGCAGTTACAGTTCTCCACGCTTCCAGTTTCTTCAGTTCAGTAATTTAAATTATTTCCTATACTTCCTGTGAATTTTTTTAGATAAAGGTTGTCTAAACAAACATTACTTTGTTCAGACTAGCCCTTTTATTAATAGAAACGAAGCATTCTCATTGTATCTATTCTATCTATCTGTCTCTTTTCAATACAGAGTAAAATATATTGTCAGAAAGGGACGAAATAATACATTGTTTAAAAAGTGTATGGCACCTTTTTGGTCCTATTGTTAGCAACAGAAATGTATTTCAAGCTAAAATTGATGAAACACTTGCTGTAATGCTTTACTTTATGTAGCAGATGTATACTTTTTTAATAGAAATATTTTTTATTGTTTTCGGGCTTAAGTGTTGTGAGCCTTGTGTAAAAATGAAACTCTTAGACAAGTTACATGTACTTTATGGTTCATATCTGAATGAATAAAGTATAGCCTTTGTAAAAAGTTCTTTACTGTATAACTTAGCCATGTTCGTGTCATTTTAAATTTATGTTTTGTATGTGGAAACCGAGTTTGTTTCTCGCATCCCTCGAAGATAACTTATGACTATGTATTGATTTTTTTGTTTTTCACAATACACATTATATTGGTTAATTGTTATAACCTTCTATTAAGCTCCTGCAATATTAATTTATATACATGTAGCATTTTGTTATAAGTTTCATTTATTTATAATTTTATTAAAAATAATAATATAATATATGAAGTAAATATATATACACATATATGCATATAGAAAATTTACTTAATTTTTGTTTTTGTGTTTAATATATTATTGTTAATTATTTCAAGTGTTTAGTTTTATAAAATTTCTTCCATAATTATAATTATTATGTTAAGGAAATATGTAATGATAAACAAGATTTAAAACTATTCATATATTTCAAAGGTCACAAAGATTTTGTGGTTCTATTATTTTTTGCATCTCCTACTAGTTACTTACCACTACTTTTGGTTAAATATAGTATATAATAAATGTAGAAATTAACAATTATGTACTTGTAATAATAGGTAGTTATTGGTATGTTATTTAAAGCTGGCGGCTTCAACACATTTACACTTTGTGCTTGTGTAGTGTCTGTGAATAAGCGCGAGGCGTAATGTCAAACTGAAATACATCATGAAAAGACTGTCCGTCTCTCTCGCGCTCGGTCAAGCTTATGAGTAAAATGAGACAGTTATTGTTTTGCTTTTGCTACTGTTTATGTTGATCTTTACTATACATGTTGATCTTTTTTCAAACATTACCAGGGCAATCTCGTGAAATGGTGCACAATGTTTTTAATTATTTTAAGCATCTTAATAAAAACAGTTTAATGAAAAAATTTTATATTTCATTTGATATCAGATGCTGAAAGCTGATTTTATTTATTTTTTTGATTTGTTGAAAGCTGGGTTCACCACCATACTCCTGAATCAAAGCAACAGTCCAAACAATGGAAAATATCTGGATCACCTACTCCGAAAACGGCTAAGGTCGTTTTGTCGACCAACAAAGTCATGGCTAGATGGAGCGTATGTCGAAAAATGAAAAATTATTTACACAAACTACTCTTTCACGTTCTTGGTCTGGCTTAGAACTTTTGAATCCACCCTCGTATGCACCTAATTTATATGTATTTGACACATTTTTATTTATTTACAACCCACCCAACCTTCCTAAAACCAGAGTGGACTAAAATATATAGCTTGGCAAAAAATCATATTTTGAAACATACTGTATGTGAAATTGCATTAGTGTGAGTACTGTGAACCCGCCAGCTTTCGATAACCGACCTATATCTGTACCGTCCGCTATATTATGTAGAATTAATAGCATATTATTTTATTTGTGAAATTGTGATATTTTTGTTTTGCTATATTACATTACAGGAGGTTTTTTGGTTCATTGCTTAGCACAGTCAGTCTTTATACCTTAGATCTTTTAATAAAGTGTATATCTCATTGTAATTCTATGTGCAAAGTAAGTAAGCAAGCATCAATAGAGCTAATTTGACCTAGTTATTCACTGTTAAGTTGTGTTCTGGAAATACTTCATCATTCATAAACTTACTATATCAAATAACCACATGTTGCTTTAAATCTTAACATACTAGTCTTATCTTGAAATAAAAATGTGACAAAATATTCTTATATATATAGTATGTTTATGAATAAGACTAAAGCTGTAAAGCAGTATTAATTTTGAACTGGTACATCTACAAGTACACAAATATGTAATCTTCAATTAAATGTTATTAAAAATAAATGTAAATATTTCTTTACTTTGTGTCATTATATTTTAACCGTTATCAGTTTTCTTTGAACATTTTTTTATATAGGTTTCCCTAATTTGATATGATTAAATCAGTTTTTCATTTTAACTGTGGATTAAGATTCTGTATGCTACAGTTTTAATAACCTAAATAAATTCAGATAATAAAAACTTTTTAGTAATTTCGGCCCAATAGTAGTCTAGTATAAAAAAAATGTAATCTCCTTCGGTTTTTTATAGTTTCTATTTAATTTTTCTCAAAATTTGTGTCTATGGATTGTTCTTGTATGGGAAACTGTCACAATAAAAATTGTTCTGTCAGTGTCAAACATCTATGCTTTTTAAAGAATTTTGACATACCGACTAAAATCTTCAAATTGCAATCGTCAAACATAAATTTTTGTCCAGATCCTAGGTAGTTAGGTACCTACCGATAGTGTTAAAAACAATTAACAAACGCTCCTCAAACGTCGCAACAATTTCAACCATAGAAAATAAAACTGAAAAGATGGAAGTGGATTTGTACGCTACCGATTGGGCTGAAAGTGGCCGGTTGCCTCTTATTGAGGAGACATCGACACTGGGAACATTGGCACCGAAAGACAAGTAATCATTATTTTGCTTTACTTTCTCTTATATCAAATAGAATATTCCAGTTCTCTCTCTACCCTTTACGACATCGCATGGGTGCTACCGTTCTGTATTTGGTCATGAACACATTATAGAGTCGTTATAAAAAATAACGATTGCCTATCGCCCACTCGTTAAAAATTAAACGTAGGTAATAATAGTTTTTTGTGTCCATAAGTATGAATCATCTTATCATATTAGGTTTATTTTAATATAAATTAGTTTACTGCTTTAAAATCTCTTGTAGCTGCATAAAATAAATATTGATAGTTTTTATGGAAGTTGTTTCTTCCTTTTCCATCTTAACTATAGCACATTATTCTATGTTACTGGTTGTATTTATATGGTGTTGATACTAGTGTAAAAATTGGTAAGCTTTTATTACATTAAGTTATTTTATTATAATACAGATTGATATCAGTACTAGACCAAGTGGAGCTGAGGGTTGAACGGTTGAGAAGGGACACTACTAGAATTGAAGAGGAAAAAGATTCCTTACTGTCTACTCTGGATAGTATTAAACATTCGGAACTCCTCTCAGATATCACTGAATGTAAGATTACTATCATTTAATTACTTTCTTTAGTTCCTATTAAAAATACAAAAATTTGTTCAGTTAAGTAACTAATATTAAATACTATGTATTAATTTTTTAAGGAAACAAGTATTGTAAATAATATGGTGTTATACATAAATATTATCTGTAGGCCATATTTAGAACATTTGCTAGTTTGCAGACACAGCACAGGAAAACATGTTTCCATCTAGTTATATATTATGTTGGGGAGTGGTTTCTTCAACGTTTACGTTACTACGTTCAAGACATCAGAATTTCTTCATATATATATATGCTATTTTTATTGTTTCAAAATTAGTTGGATACTTCGATACTATGTATGATGTCGTAAACTTAATAAATAAATAGATATAAAATATGAAACTAACTTTTTCCAAATCTATTTCATTGTATAATTGGGATAAATACAGTAAAAGTACTTGTGCAGGTGATAAAGATGACATTGCCCGGTATGCAGACCGTATTGTAGCTCGTGCAACAACCACGGAGGGGGGCCGTGAGCGGCCCGGCCGCCCCACACAACAAAACACCCCGGTTCGTGGTCTTTTTTTTTTTTTTTTTTTTTGGGCGGGGGGAACCGGGGCGAAACGCCCCCGGGGGCCCCCCCCGCCTCCCCCCCCCCCCCCCCCCCCCCCCCCGGGGGGCGGGGGGGGGCGGGGGGGTTACCGGCCTTTTAAGAATTGGTAGCTTTTTCGTGAAGGACCCTAAGTCGATTGGTGGAAATGCTGTGAGTGAGCAGCTGATCCCATAGTGGGGTGCGCGGCAAAAACTGCCTTGAAAAATATGAGATAGTATAGTGAGTTTCTATTCTGTCTCAGTCATATGAAACTCAGCTGCAGGTATTAATCCAACAACTCCCTCCCCTGAACATTATGGTAAATGCGGTAGAAGTGCAGAGTGCCCTCATCTCTACGCAACGCCAACGATCAAGCCGCTTGAGAGGGATTGGTCGTCGACGATTCGAACCGCTCTGCGTTGTATACGGTCAAGTGGAAGGACGTGGAGCCCCCGCCCAGAGTGAGAGCAGTACTCCATTGGGGCCGAATTTGCGCTTTATATAGTTGCATGCGGTGGCTCGGGGGGAGGACCCCCCCCCCCTGCTGGGGCACACCCTTGAGGAATTTAGCCTTTCCCTCAATACCCAAACTGAACGTCGTTGATATGTCAACGCCAAGTATTAATGGCTGTGGCTTTAAGAAGAGTGTTTTCGAAAAGGGGAGTAGCGACAAAGGGTGTTTTTTAGCGGAAAACGCGCAAACTTGTGTCTTCTTGGGGGGGTTAAATTGGACTAGGTTTTGTCTGCCCCAGCCCCTGAGACTCCACGTAGGAGTTTCGACCTCAGAACAGTTTGTTCCGGCACCCATCAACAACCCCCCGGAAAAATCCCCCCCCCCCCCTTCGTAAAAGTATCCCCAGTCATAGTCATATCCAGAAGTGCTGTATACTGTACAAGTATTTATTCTTTAAATGCACCAACACATCTACAATAAATGTATATACTTTAAGGCATATTATGATACACTTTTGAATGTAAGTTTAACCTAGGAAATATGTTATTCAGTGGCATACTTACTAAACTATGCTATGTCAATATTATTCACGACACGCAAATGCTATACGAGTAAGAATTCTAATTGCACTAAGTGAAGGATTGGTCTTAATAATGTCAAAGAAACAACAAGACATCAGAAAACTAATAAATATTCAATGAATCTGGTGAAGCGGAATATTTGTAGATCTTTAGAGGTCGAAATTGTATAACTTTTATGTAAGTCTTGTAAAAATATTGATAAAGTATTATTATCAAAAACCACAATTGCCTTGTAATGGTAATTGTGGCATTTGATAACAATATCTGTTTTTTTCTTTGAAATAATTTAGTTTTTTGCACAATCACAATTTTATTTATAAAACTAGCATAGAGAGGGATCAGTAAAATTCAAATTATTGTTTAGGTTAGGAATTAAGCAAATATCACGGTCAACAAACTTTTGTTCTAACGTACCCTTGATACGCCATTCCATTATTCATCATCTCATGCAAATCATTGATATCCAAAGGTTATTGTTAGTAAATAAATTTAAATTATATTGAAAAACTACTTGAAAGCTACACAATTACGTAATATTTAAACAGTATATATAATGTTAAATGAGAATTGTAAAAGATAGTCTAATTATATTGTGAATATAAAATAATAACCAAAACGTAAGAATTAAATGTCGACATTTTAATTTTGCTTCAAAACTTAAACGTGCTTTTTTGTTTATTCATTCAAAATCTTAAGTCTTAAGACGGGAACCCGGTCTCACATTGGCTGTTACATTTCAGGTAAACATGTATATCGATAAATTAGTTATGTCCGTTCACGACGACACAGTCTTGGCCCACACCCGCTGTCAGGCGTACATGAACGCTTGCACCTCCCAGCCCGACGATAGCTCCGGAACGGACAAGAACTTCGAGACCGCCATCCTCGGCTGCACCCTCGACGACCAGAAGAGAGTAAAGAAACGTCTCGAGGGCCTTCTTGATTACTTTGCGAAACTCAACATCACCACATTCTCGTGAGTGAGCTCTAAGTAGACTGAGCGTTTACTGCGGAAGGCGCTTCTATCTCGTATCGGCCATGACTTAACTAGACGTAGAGGTATGAAAACCGTTTCTTAATGGTCGGTATTGTGAATTAGCACGCTTAATGAATGTGTCTACGATGCTTAATAATTTTAGTCTCTCAATGTGAATTAACATTTATTGCTATTTAAATTTGTGAAAAGCAGAATTATGCATTTAGTTTTATTAATATAATTATCATATTTCGTTATAGCAATATCGCAATTCGAAGCATAAAATCCTTCCAGTAGACACATTCATCATAAATCTTTCCTAACGACTAAAAACTAAGTGGCTAAATTACCGTTTTATGCATATTATTATATATTCAAGACCAATTCGTTATTCCTTTGTGTATGTTTGATAGAAGTAGGCATAGCCAAGGGTTAAAATGTACCAACTTATAGCAATTTTGTTCTAAGTTCAGATTTGTGTCTAATAATAGTAATTGTTATTTGGGAATAAAGGCATTTGTTATTTTTGGAACAGAAACGGTAATTGATTCGCACATTGTAAGTTAATGATTCGTCTAGAACCTTTTAAATTTAATATATACCTTATTCTTATGCATCACTATTAATGATGTCTTCAATATCTATTCTTCAGCATAGAGAAACATTAAACTTTGTTGGAGGTAAATGTCTGAAGAACAAGGTCTCATGTCACTAGACCTATTGATTCAGATGCATATTTAGACATTAATAGTTGTTTTAGCCTCTACAGTATTAAAAATATTTAGTTTTGTCGCCGAAAATAAATTACTTTCTGCCTTATTTAGCCTTATACGATTCTCATGAAATGGGGATTTTTCGTGTAACGGAATTAGTTCGTTCTTGAACTGACGATATAAAAGGAATGATGGAGTAAGACTGCCTGTAGTGGTTGTATAGAATACAATGTGGTAGATAGGAATTCATTATTTTAATCTATATTAGAATTGTGTAAAATCGCTTGCAGAGTTTCACCATCGAAAGTTAACGAAGAAGGGTTTATTGATGTGTTTGAATGTTTATCGTTTTAAGGTCCATTAAAATATACCATTAAATGTGTAGTTTGAAGCGAGTTACTTACCTTGGATATCTGGAATTATATTTAGGTCAACTTATTAAGATATATACAAAGTGTATATTCCTAATTTACTAAAAACGAGTCTATTTCGTGTCGATTTTTCAAGCATTTGTGAAATTGTATGTAGATTTCGATTTAAAGTTTTTGTTATATTTTATACTATTAAAGTGTGTTCGTAATAATTCGTATATGGCACGTGCATACAATAAACTATGAAATCCTAAAGTCTGTGTTTTATTTTATTTCCAATTAAATACAAATTTTTATAATAATTTATTGACACCAAAACAAATACATATTTACAAAAAATATTACATTATTTTTAAGCTACAGCTGCACCAACGTGAGTCATTTGAAGAACCCATATTTTATTGGAATGTTTTGGATATGTCAAATATATTTTTTAATATATGTATCTAGTAAATATACAACAGACACACACCTCCCCCAACCGCATAAATTTGAGACGTTCAATGATGAGCGCTAACCCTTGCGAGAGTACTCGTCAGTCTAGTTGGTAGAACGTAGAAAATGGAGTGGAAGAGGCTATTATTTTGTGGTTATATTATAAAGAAAAATATAGAAAAAGAAAACGTAACATTGGGTTTATCCAATTTTGAAAAAAAATAAATTTATATTATATTTTTATACAAATTTGCTATATTCCAACTTGCTGACCTTTTTTCTACTTCATCATTAGTAAGTCGATGTCAATATTTCAATTTCACTCATTTTAAAAGCGAGAACAAAATATATTACGAAAATTAATAAAATTACATCGATCGCATGAAAGCGCCTCATCTGAACACAAACGGACATTACATTAATATCAAAGCGCCTCAACCCATCACCTCGTCTAGAGACTTTTTCTCTGAGCGCCGCGTTGACGCGCGTTAACGCGCGTTAACGCGCGTACATGTGAACAGTTGTATGAAAAATACCATAATCTCTAGTCGCGCGATTTGAAAACGCGCGTCAAGTTTTTGCCATCTGTACATAGCCTTATGTTCTACAATTGTCACCTGTGTTATAATTAAATGATGCGAGCAGGCATGTCAATATAAATACACTCGATGGAAATACCGAATACATACCAACTATAAGGAAACTGTTAGATTGTTATGAAGAACAAAATTCTACTTTAAATTAACTTAAACAAAGTAACGTCAAGTTTAATGTATTAAAAATTGCACATATCCAAACAGAACAAAGCATTAAACAATTATGTACAGAAAATATGTTCTCCAAGCGTAGTTCTACAGATGCCGAAAACAATAGCTTATATCTGAATGTACAGAGAGGCACCACGTTAGCTTAACATAGTACACATTAAATGTAAACTAACAATTTTTACATAAACATAAACACAAGGGTCTAAAAGTTCAAATAAAGTCAACGTTATCCACTAAACAGTCAATCACAGTATTCTGCACGCGTTTTTCAAAACATTTCTCTTTTTACCCCCAGGCCTGTGCTTGACGGGGCGCAGAAGAATTGTACCGTTGCTGTTGTGATTAGTAAACGTTCCTGAAATAAACGTTTTGTCAATTAAATATTTTAACGGAACAAAACCCTACTATGTAATTTCATTAAAAATTAATCATATTATCACGAAATCAATTAGTTGTCTATGGGCGATAGATTAATATCAGTAGCTACCTATAACTGGTGGTATAGTAGGTGCAGTGATTTCAGCTGCGTGTTCTCGCCTCAAGTCCGCGAGACACCTCGCTGCCAACGCCCGAAAGACGGCTCCAACGTTCACGTCCTCCTTAACCGAAGCGCGCATCAGCCTACAGCCCAGAGCTCTTGCCACTAACTCCGCTTCATCTCTGAAAGAACCAATCAATTCTTAATACCGACTCTTCATTGGTTTCTTTTTAAAGTTTAAGGGTGAGATTCAGAGCTCAAAGTCTAAATTTTCGCAAACTACGACTACCCTATGTCATGTACATGAACATGCCATAGGGTGAATCAAGTGAGCTATTGAGGCTGTTATAAGCCAAAGGCAAAAATCCTTAATCGATTGATTAGAAAAGAAATAGAACAGAATATGTTCGATGGGTCCTACAGTCAATAGTAGCTAGTAGGTGCGGTTTCGATAATAAGTGCTTCGCTATTTAGATAAATTTAAGCTAAAATCTTATTAACAAATATTCTACTGCATCTATTTCTTCTCTCTACTAAATTCTACACAATTTATCTTCCATAATCATTAAAAATATTTTTTTTATCGCCGTAAATTTATTCCTATTATTAGGGATTTACTTACGGCCCCACTACACACTGATCCATCAAGTCAATTTTGTTTTGAACGATTATAGTTGGTATTTCACCGCACTCGTTTTCCACCTGCAAATAATTTATTATTATATCTACCTCTAGCTATAGGAATACATATTACAATTTACATCTATAAATGTTATTTATCATATGAATTATCTTTAAAATTATCGCTGTACAGAACCAATACTGAGGTTTGGCAGGACAATAAATTGAAAATGCAATTAACAATTCAGTTGAATGCCGAAACCTATTCAACAGCCATAGGCTATATACAAAATAAAAATGAATTCTTCAAATATTCTAAAATTCGAAAGTCTATTAATTCATAACATAATATTTAGCTTAATCATAAATCTTTAATATGCTATGTAAGCGGGTAAATTATTTGTATCTCGGTAGTCCTTAGTACTACAATACGATTTTTATACATATATAAAAGTTTGAAATGAAACAAAAAACGTAATTGCTAATTTATTTTTATAAGTAAATAATACCTATTATTAAAGTTAGTACGTTAAGCAGAAAGTTCGCAGTCGGGGCTTCCAGTTCTTCCAGTCATTATATCAATGTCTTCCACAATTGATTGAACTTCATCCATTGCTGGTAGCGTCTTTGCCAATAAAACTCCCCTGCCCCCAGTGGAACAATTGATCCCCAAAATATAACCATCATCAACATCAATGAAGATGTACTTCGAAAGCCGATTGCATGATCTAATCTGAAATTTCACTTCATCTTCCCCATAATAAAGCAGATTGACCCTCGTTCCAGCTGTGTTTTTGTAACTGGATTCGATTAGCGTTTGATTAAATGGAACAGTGGAACACCCTGGACTGTTATGTACTTGCGTAGTCTTCTTAAACTGGACAATTTCGCAGTTTCTTCTCTGACGCTGCAATGGTGGCCAATAGTACACAGCGTACCAGTCTCCTTGCAATTGGTTTAAGTCAAAGTTGTCGCCGCTTCTGAAGTAATCAATGCACTGTTCCTCCACATTGGCGTTGGACTGCACTTTGCCAAATCCGAATAGACAAACAATAAGTAACGAAAAATACATTTTGAATGTTGTTTGTGATGTAGAGGTGATAGGTATGATAGTTGTGAATATTGGCAGCGCACTAAAAGCTAACTGCGTGCCGGGTCGAAAGTCGTGACCACTGTTATCAGTATTCTAATTTATCCCACGTTATCAATTTAACCGAAACAAGTTAATCATTCACATGTATACATAAAGTGCAATAGATATAAACTTTTTATTATTTATAATTCAATTAGCATTAGCATGTTGCTAAAAATATTTATTCATGTTTATTTAATATCCGGTCTATATATGTATTGCGCTGGACAGACGCACTTGTATTTTGATATATTTTTACGCTATATGATTGTCTGCAAACGTTACTTAAAACAAAACATATCTCTTAGTATTCTTATATATTATTAATAATAAAAGTATTTGATTTAATTAAAGTGTGTTTCTAATCATCTTATACATAAGGAACTATAATATAAGGAACTTTTAATTAATTTTTAGTACCTTTAGCTTCCACGAATGTAAGGCAAGAAAGGAATCCCTATCGGTCGTAGAGAAGGCAAGAACACACGCGTGGGCGCCGCGGTAATAAGCTTTTGTGATAGCATCGAACTCCTCTTGGCCGGCTGTGTCCCACAGCATCAGTCTTACTTCTTCACCATCGATCCTGAAAATCATTAACAGCACACTTGTATATGCGTTAACGTTGTTTGTCGCTATTAACATCAATATATATAAAATGCTAAGGCTAAATAACAATTTACACTTTCTAATATGTCGTTATGTTTCGTTTGAGTGATTTTATCCTAAAAAAGAAAAAATAAATAATAGTTTAAAAAAACTAGAACACACGCTTGGTTGCTCGATAGACGAAAAATATGGCACAGAGCGCCCCACGCTTTTTCACAATAATACCAGTATTTTTAGTTCATTACCATTTTCAGCCTAAATTAGGAATTATTTTTAACTTTTTAGTTTGATGTGCTTTAAAAGCGTGTGTTCTAGTTTTTTTAAACTATTATTTATTTTTTCTTTTTTAGTTAATTTTTTTCATTTTTTTTTCGGATTATTGCATTGTCATCGATCTTTGACAGGTGCGCAAAGTTTGAATTAAATCTGTCCGTTAAAAGTGGGTCAAAATCGAGTCCGAAGGAGTCGGTTACATACATACATACATACAGGTGAAGCTAATATTAAAGCATGTAAAAATATTATTAAAGTTTACCGTATAGTCCTTTAATGAAGAGGTTGTTTACTGGAAATATTCAAATGTTTCGGCTTTAATCCTATGATTTATATTAATATAAAAACTATAATGAGAAGCAATTTGTTATTAGATTGTTTTTTTTCAGAGTAAATTATGAAACAAGGAACTAAGCCTTAAAATTGATTTCCGCAGTGAAAGCATCTCACGTGCAAATACTAAAGAAGAATTAGGGTCAAGATCGCACCAACTAAGAAAATATTGGACGATGTGCGACAAGTTTACCGGATTTTAAGTTTCACTTATACATACTTTCTCGATGATTAAATACTAAGGAGAATTTCGGAAAATACTAAATAATAAATATGGAAGTACTATGAAACTAGACTCTTAGCAATGACTACTTCATTAAAACTTAAAAGCATTTTATGAGGATTATTACCGGCTGGAGGTAGGGATGTGAAAAAAAAAATCGATTTTAATCGATTTTTTTAAAAGTAAAAATCGATTTTTTACGCGATTTTTAAATTTAAAATAATCGATTAATAATCGATTATTTTTATAATTGAAAATCAATCATAATCGATTTTTTATCTGCCACCTCCCGACATTATGTCTGGTATTTTAAAACCCGGACCTCGAACTATTAGGGATATTCGATACACAACGATGTTTACAATGCGATACATTGAATCCGATTCTTTGAAGATGTATTGATATACTCGATACATTGATGTTTTTTTGTAAAACATCAAAAGGATGATAAAAGCAGTTAATTTTACAAAAACTCAAGTTTTAATGGAACACTATAATTTAAAAGTAAAATAAATTTATTCAGCAGCACAAGACTACATACAATTAAAACGACAACAAAATACTGCAATGTGCTACTGAAAAGGACGCTCAGCATTTATCAAAAATCTATCAAAACGAGATTAAGTTAATTTTGATTTTGATCATTCTTAAACGTTAAATTGTGTTTATAATTTCTATTGTTTATTTTTAATTTAACAAACCATGAAAAATAAAATATTTAGGGTGTTTATTTTGAAATTAATTAAAAAATTAGGAAAAAATCGATTTTTTTATGCAAAATGTCACATCCCTAGCTGGAGGTATTAACATAATACATTTATAAGTTATAAGGGGGACGGCGCGTACGCAGTCCCCACTACCAAAAATTACGCGTCCGAGTTATCCACATTAGGGATAATCGCAGAGGTCAACTCTACCGCAGTGCAATGGAAGAGTCTCACTCTGGGGGAACCGCCTTCATGATCACGGTGTCCCCTACGCCAGGTAAGTATGCTTTCATCTGGTTACCGTCGGTCTATATAGTAGTGAACGAAATACTTCTATACCGCGATTCATGTAGTACAGAGCGACATCTGTTAGCAGGCAGACTTAACCACCATTTTATATGAGGCCAGCGCCATCTAGGTTAATATGACGAGACAAATAAGCGGGCAGCTACAGTATTTGTGTCGTGTGTATTTTGTATCTAATTGAAATGCCAGATTTACACTCAGCCCTCTCGATCAGGGCAGCGTGAGTATGTGAATTGGTCACTGCTCATGTCGATGTTGTGGTCAATGTTGCGAGTCGTTTGGTAAATGAGTGTCAACACTCACTAGTGACGACTGACTGAGGGCGACATTTCGGCAGTTGCAATAAGAAAAGTAAGGGCTGAGCATTCCATAGATAGACTTCTCCTTAACTCTAGGTAATTTCAACGCATTGTATATGTTACAATGTAGAACCGCTAGATGCACTACGTTTCTTAATTATAAAATTGTAACTTACTCGATTTGTCGTTCGAGAAAATCGACACCGATGGTCTTCTTATAATCTCGGGTGAAGGTGCCGCGGCAGTACCGCTGTATCATGCTGGACTTTCCCACACCGCCATCACCAACTATCACCACCTTGAGGGCTACCTCCAGCTCCTCCTCACGCATCCTCTCAGCCCCGCACCGCGCATTAGTGCACGCTATCTCTTCTGAAACAATTACAAATAACATTTTATTTAGCATCTTGTTACTATATCCATTGCACTTTTACACCCTTTGACCCGCATAAGCAATACCGGCACCCCTTTGACGCAACACTGTTATAAAATGAAGCGGATCAAAAAAAAAATCCTCAAATTATGTAGTAATAACTCTAAAATACAGATTATTAATCGTGCACCCTCATATCGGGCCGATTAATTGTCATATATTAATTATGTCCAATAATTGTAATAATTTGATTCAACTAAATTTAAATATACAGTCAAACCTGGGTAAGTGAGAAAACTCTATAAGTGAGAGTAATAGCCGGGACCCGTCATTTTAAGCTCCCAAAACATCTATTAACGAGAAATAGAAACCTCTGTAAGAGAGAGTCGTTTTTTCCCTCATGGACCTCCGTAAGTGAGACTGCTACTTATATATACCTCTATAAGCGACAGTCGAGCTTGTTCAAGCAATATTTGACAAATTTTATGAGTTAGCAAGTTAACATTCAAAATACAAAAACAGAAACCCAAACGAAGTTGACGTTTTTTTTTAAGTTCTAAATAAAATAAAATATATAATATGTTGTGCACATTATGCACATAATTTTATCATATTACATATTTACTACATTCGTACTTGCTGTGACTTGTTATTGCTGTATAGGAGAGAATAGCTACCCATGTACCTGCATTAGCGAGAAACTGGGGTTAGTGAGAAACCTCTATAACCGAGAATGAGATTGTGCTCCCTTGAACTCTAGCTTATCCAGGTTTGACTGTATTTTGTTTTTTTGTGATTCACCTCACGTAAATCGCCCAGTCGGTAGGTAGTCCTAATTTCAAAGCTCTTAGAATCCTATCTAATAATGCATCTTGTGCTATTGTAGAACGATGTTGGGAAGCTTCGCCTTCCACTCTAGCATCTAAAAAATTTAAATCTAAACGTCTGTTTCGATTTCTCAGCTCGATGCGAGAGGCAACTCTCGGGGCTTCGATTCCCCGGATTTTCCTACAATGGAAAATTTTGGATGTTTTGAGATTCACTGCTGGCTCTCACTTAATTATCTTGTGTGATATCAACAAACTCATTATTTTTTATTCAGGAATTTTATACCTATATAATTTGTTTCAAAAATTAAATGTACTTTATGCAAATCCAAAATGCTTAAAGTTTATATTTCCTACATACACATAAGGAACGATTTGAAAAAGCACAGTCTATAAACAATAAAACCCCCATTTTACGTATATGCAGTTGTTTATCACTAACAGAAACCAGTTTTAAGGAGCACCTGTTCGTGAATACTTAACCTGATTTTACTGATTGCGCACTCAACACCGCTTGAGTCTAAGATAAAACCTTTTTGCCGGACAATTTTCAAATTTATTTAATATAATATACTTATACTATATAATTTTTTTGTCATTAAATTTATATATTTACTGTATGTAATGGTTAATTTTTAGTAAACCAGCACTGAAGATGCCCCTAAAATGCTGTGTACAGATGTAATTGGACTTCAGGTTTACAAATGTTGTTTAGTGTGGAATAACTGTATGTACTTATTTAATTAATCTGTTTTCTGTTTCTGTACCTAAAATTTAAAAATAAAAATATAATAAATATGGATCACACTAGTAACTGCTACACAATTTGTGTGTATGTTGTGTTTTTATCATACTCGTTTGATTTACCAAAAAAATACAGATGGATTTAAACGAATCTAATTAGTATTATTTTTGAAATTCTAGGTCGTAATGATAATTACGAACCCTCTTTACGACGAAAGTGAACAGGGGTTATTTGGCTTTTTAAAGGTGTAGTGTAAAAATATTAGCAGAAACTATTTACAATAATATGCTATTGATGTTTCTAATCTAACTTTAAAATTTACTCTTTTATCATATGACTATTTTCTATCAAAAGTAATTTAACATAAACATATTGCTAAATGATTGCAGAGTTTTTACTTTCGAAGTCGAGTTTCACCACGACTCGGGCAGATTCCGCTCAGTCATGCTATTGATAAGTTATTCCGATTGTGTCAAGATGCTCTTTAGTTTATTCAACAAGAATTATGAATAGGCCTTTTGGGGTCGAGCCCTATTACTCTTTGTATTCACTGTCTACTACTACCCTCCATCCAACAGGATACATATGGCAACAAATATAGCAACACTTAACAGCAACACACAGTATGACCAAAACCCTCCAATGATCACACCAACGGAGCAGGGAAACACCTTGCATAAAAACAAATTAATGATCGCAACATACAACGTCCGAACCCTCTCATCGTATGACCGTTTGCTCGAGTTTGAAGAGGCTATAAGAGATATTAAATACGATATCATCGGAATATCTGAAATGAGAAGACATGGAAATAAAATAGAAGAGTACGAAAATTTTATACTGTGCTACATAGGGCAAACCCCTGGCAAACATGGAGTTGGCTTCATTATAAATAAGTCTCTCAAAAAACACATAATAAGCTTCAATGGCATAACAGAGCGAGTGGCAACACTAAACATAAATATACAGGGACATAAAATATCCATTATACAAGTTTATGCACCAACAGAAGCGGCAAGCGACCTTGATATAGAAGAATTTTACACTACAGTTGAGAAAGCCTTGGGCACAGCGCAAAAAACCATAATATTAATGGGTGACTTCAACGCCAAGCTTGGAACCCCCAAAGCTGACGAATATTTAGTTACTAAAAAACATGGATACGGCGAGAGAAACGAAAGAGGACAAAGACTAGTAAAGTTTGCGCTCCAACACAAATTAATGATAATAAACACATGTTTTAAAAAAGACAGAGCAAAAGATGGACCTGGCGATCTCCTAACGGACAATACAGAAACGAAATCGATTTTATCTTGTCTAACCAACATAGAATATTCCAAAACATCGAGACGCTCAATCTGAACTACAATTCCGATCATAGAATAGTCAGATCAACAATAACACTAAACAAACAAAAAATATCAAGAGCCAAGTTTACAAACAGCCAAAATAGCAAATTAAAGAGCGAAGAGGAAATAAGTAAGTTCAACGAAAACCTAATATCACAGCTATCTACAACTAGCTGCGAAAACACCACGGTACAATACTGCTACGACATGATAGAAAAGGCTATCACTTTTAGCTTGAAACAAGCTCGCCCAAAGAGAGAAGAAAATAAACAACATAAAATACTATCGGCAAGTACAGTAAGGCTACTAAAGAGAAGGAAGGAACTACAGAAAACTAAAAACAAATCACGAAGTCAGAAAAATGAATTGTCCGCAATATACAAAGTAGTCAATAAGTATATAAAAGCAGACTACAAAAGATATAGGAAAGACACAATAAAAGAACATCTACAAAGAAATGGAAGTACAAAGAAGGCCTATAAGAAGCTTAAAACTAATGCATCATGGATAGAAGGACTGAGGAAAAAAGATACAGAAATGTACACTAGAGACGACATCATATCTACCGCAACAGAATTTTATAGACATCTTTACAGAAACAGAGACACGAAATCATTTAATCTTGTCACAGAAACAGATGCTACACCTAGAAATAACGTTAAACTCATAGACGCAACAGAAATAATTGAAGCAATAAAGAAACTGAAACTAGATAAAAGCCCTGGTTCAGATAATATTACGAACGAAACACTAAAAATTGGACACAAAACTCTAGCACTGCCGCTAGCGGAACTGTTTAACAAGATCTTGCAAGAGTCGGAAACACCTTCCCAATGGTCCAAATCCAACATCATACTAATTTACAAAAAAGGCGACCCGAAGGATATCGGAAACTACCGACCAATCAGCTTGCTGCCGAGTCTATATAAACTTTTCTCCACAATTATAAACATAAGGATTAGAGACACATTGGAAAAAAAACAGCCAGTGGAGCAAGCAGGCTTCAGAAGGGGCTTTTCAACAGTCGACCACATCCATACCCTTGAGTTGATAATGGAAAAGTATCAGGAAAAACAAAGAACACTCTATATATCATTCATAGACTACCAAAAAGCCTTTGATACAGTAAGACATAACAGCATCTGGGAAAGCTTGAAAGAACAGGGAGTAGAGGAAATATATATAAAAATCATCAAATCCATATACAAAAACAATAAAGGTAAAATTAAGCTTGAAACATTAGGCCCTAGTTTTCCAATAGAACGAGGAGTAAGACAAGGGGACCCGCTGTCTCCAACAATATTCATAGCTGTTCTTGAGTCGATCATTAGCAAGCTAGATTGGAGTAAACAAGGTCTATACATAGACGGTACTTACTTGAGTCACCTGAGATTCGCGGATGACCTAGTACTGTTATCCGAGTCATCTTCCCAACTACAGAGCATGGTAGAAACCCTGAACCAAGCTAGTGGAAAAGTAGGCCTAGAGATGAACATTACAAAAACTAAGACAATGACAAACAGCTCTCAAAGACCAATAACAATCAATAACAAACCATTGGAATACGTTGAAGATTATGTCTATCTGGGAAAAACCATAAGTTTTCACAGAAAAAATAAAAATACAGAAATAGAGAAAAGAATAAAATTAACATGGAACAAATTTTGGGGTCTCAAGGAAATTTTAAAAGGTGATCTACCACAAGACATTAAAACCAAAGTCATGAATTCAAGCCTCTTGCCTTGTTTGACATATGGTTACCAAACGTGGAAATTCACTGCTGAAACAAGAAAAAAGATAATCGTCTGTCAGAGAGGACTCGAAAGAAGTATGCTAAAGATCAGAAAATCAGATAAAATACGCCATACTAAAATAAGAAAAATAACCAAAGCAACAAATGCTTTAAGCTACGCAAAAAAACTGAAATGGAAGTGGGCAGGACATGTTGCCCGGCTAACTGACCATAGATGGACTAAAAAAGTAACTTTCTGGAAAGGCCCACTAGGCAAAAGAACAAAAGGTAGACCTATTACGCGA